ACAGAATCTTGTTACGATAATGTTAGATATGAGATTAGAGTCTGTAAGACAGACCAGGCAAGCAAACCAAGGCCAGAGTCAGCCCAGGTAGGCCGGCTATTCATTTTGTTGAAGTTACTAATTAGAACTTGGATTTTTTTTTTGCAAAGATTTAAAGAAAAAGCGAAATAGGGAAAAGAGAGGATGCGTGCAAAAGGAGCGATTGATAAGAGGCAAGAGGGGAGGTGTGAAAATGACGAGTCGTTAGAAATAGCGATCAACGATTCTTCGGTCATATCGGTGGAAAGGATGAGAAGAGGGAAAGAAAAACTCTTTGATATGAGGAGAAAGGGGAAAGGAGAAACATCAAGGCTTTAAGGAAAACATCAAGATTTTAAAGGAAACATCAAGATTTTAAGGGAAACATCAAGATTTTTAATTTTTTTTAATCTTTTCAGCTAACAGATCTAATAGAAAATTTTACTCTCATTTACTATACGAATGTGGTTTATTTACTGGTGTACTGTAGTTGTGCTTTGTCAATCAAAATCATGCAAAGTAGATCCTTTTTCTTGGACAGAATTTTGATACGATAATGTTAGATATGAGATTAGAGTCTGTAAAACAGACCAGGCAAGCAAACCAAGGCCAGAGTCAGCCCAGGTAGGCCGGCTAGGGCTAGGCCCGATTTCTAGTGGTTTACGACTTTTTGTGTGCTAATAAAGCCGGACCAGGACCAGAATCTACAGTGCAAAGTTGCAATGAGTTTGTGCACTCTGTACAAGAGACTAAGCCCAGTTTGTTGCCCTCAATCTCATTTCGACTACAATCAAAGTACAGTCTACCGTACAAATCTCCTCTCTAGCCTTTCTTCTTCTCCATATTTTCGCTTCATCGGCACTTGTTTACGCTTTTCGTACCCCAAGCTCTTTGTTTAATTGTTTTCATTGTTTTGATGATTCGACAGTCAAAACATGCAAAATATGGGACCACAAAACGGAAAAGAAAACGAGATGAGTCCAATATGGAGGCTAGAGTGAGCTTGGGATTTTGATGGTGGTGATCTTCGATCATCGACCTGTAGAAAAGGGGAAAAGAAGAGCAATTGGGGCAAAAGGGGGAAATGCAGTTGTTTGTGAGAAGGTAAAGAAAAGAAAGGAAAAGAAAGAAAAAGAAAGGAAAAGAAGAGAACTGGGCGCACAAAAGCCCAAACAAACAACACACGCACTCCTTCGCCTTCTCGACACTTCTTTTGAATCTTCTGTAAGAAGAGGAGTGCGTGGCAGCCCCCTTAGAAGCCCTTTTGAGAGACTACGTGCAGTTCTACTATGTTTTTCTAATCAGAACTTTTACCACTTGATCACAAGCTTACAGAAACCCATATCTTACTGTAAGTTCTGCCCAAGCCTGTCGCCAGCTTTTGGCCTGGTTCTGACCCGATTGCTGCTATAGACTGGTTGAGATATCCTTGATCTCAAAAAATGCTCTCTAGAGCTTCAAAAGTAAGCTATGTAACTGTCCTGTCAACTTTTATGAGTCAAATTTGAGCATACCGTATCTAAATCCAAAAAGAAGCCTGACCCATCTCGTAGTACAGAAAGAGATAGATAAAACTATCTGGCTATCTTCTCTAGTTACTTAATGCATCTCTTGACACCCCTCTTCTTTATCTAAACCCTTTCAAGTCCCATTCTTCCATTGAGCTTTCCTTCGTGGCAGCCCTTTCCCTTAGAACTCTTTCCTTTTCCATTCCAAAAACGACACCTCGCACCGATCGTTGAAAGAAAAAGGAGAAAAGAGCTGGGGAAACGGCTGAAAGGAAATGCACACTAGCATCTGCGCAAACACAAACAACGAAAGGCCGATTGCACGAGAAAAGAAATGCAAATTTCGGCTGGCGTCGATCCCCGTCGCTCTTTCACAAACGTTTCCCCTTTTCGTTTATCGTGATCTCTGTCTTATTGTACGATTGAAATAATACGATAGCTGGAATAATGGGACTAGCGTCGAAAGTTGGGAAATTATTGATTTAAAGGTTTTCATACATTCGCTTGTTTTTTTTAAAAGGTGCGCTCGAAAGCTACCGTATCCCAATTAATGATCCAGATCATTAATTGGGACTACTGACTTCAAGCACTGAAATACTTGAATTCAAATTTTTCAAAGCCTGATGACGGCAGATTTTCCAACCAAATTACTGTAGTTTTTCTATAGCCAGTTTACGTTAGCTCACACCCGGATTACTAACATTTACACTGCTGAATTACGATAGTTTTTTTTCCACAGCCTAATACGGTAGCTTGTCATAATCGATTACAGTAACATAATCGATTACAGTTACAGCTGGATTACGGTAGTTTTTTCCACAGCCGCAAGCGAACCTTTTACAAAATGTAAAAGAAAACAATCTGCTAAAAATAGATTCAAATCTAGGGCATCAAATCGAAATATCAAATCGAAAAGAACGCGGATTGTTCTCTATCGAACTTTCCACAAAAACATGGAGAGTGTGATTGAAGGGGAAAATCGTGTAAATCACCGTTTTTTTTTTCCACAGAACGCTCGAGAGAGAAAAAATGCGACCGCTAACACGCGTAAATTACATGCGGTGAAGATCAAAAGAGTTTTTGTTTTGAGGAAAGAAAAGAAAGGCGGTGATTCTCGGGTTTCTCTCTTCTCTCATCCATTACTCAACTCAGATTCTCGTGCTCATGTTACTTGAATGTATTCACATCTCTTTTTTTTTTCTTCTTCTTCCCTTTTTTTCCCTTTATGTGCCATCCATTGCATCAGTTATTGTGCAAAAATGGGCTTTGTTTGAGATCGAAAAGAAAAAAAAACCATCAAGTATTACTGAATCGTTTGCGTCTTTTGATTTTGTCAAGTCCTACTGTGCTCTGTGCGTGTCTTTGTTTCTAAAAGGTGGCGAAACTACCGTATCTTATTCGATAAAAAAGTAGAGCTAAGGTTACGATAATTTGCTTTACGATAGTTTCAAAATTGCTCAAACTTTAGAAAAGTCATCATTCGTATGTGACTGTTACTGTGCCAAGTCATCTATAAAGGCAATACTCAGCGCCATTTCTCCTAACAAAACACGAGACCTATGTTTGTTGGGGGAAAGAAGGCGATGGGCTGCTATCGCAAGTCATCGAGGAAAAGCAAAAGGGGGAGTGGATTGTTTATGAACATGAGAAGGGATCTTTTGAGAACAAGATCAATTCGCAGAATGGAAAGGGGTAAAGATCGTTTAAAACAATTGAGGTAGTTAGAATTCGATCTGCATCTGGCTCTACATAGATTGGGACCAATAACCAATGAAATCAGCGGAAAATTATTCTATAAGTAGAACTTCTATAGGTAGAACTTCTATAAGTAGAACTTCTATAAGTAGGCTTACTGCTAAACTTTACAATTACATTTACAAACGATCAGGTGATCTGTCAATAACTAAAGTACTAATTGTAAATTGTACTGGCATTAAAATAGTCCTTTAGGTCAACTGAAAGATTTTGTATTGAGAATGGGGATTTAAAGTCACTTTATGCGCTATTTTAAGCCATCTCAACCCTACCCAACCTACTCTAATCAACTAATTAACTCGTTGACAACTCTCCTATCCATTGTATACTTATGGAGTTTAGTGCTTTAAGTAACCTTGTGCGTTATCTTCAACTTATGCCAACCCAGTTACCGTAATCCATTGGACACTTATCGTAGCTCAAAAAGTATTACTATTACAGTAACTTCGCAATTACTTTGACTCTGACATCAAAAGTTCAAGTTCGAATTACCAGACAACTCTTGAAAAATGATGTTGAAATAAATTGGTACTGAGAAAAACTCGCGTTGAAAGGAAGGAAATTTTTTGCGAAACGAGGCAAATTTCTCAAGCAGCTCGCAAAAAAGCCGTTCGCCGGGCACTCGTCAAAACGAAAATTTTCTCGCCCCACGACAAAAACGACAATTGCACGTCGTAAAAACTGGTTGAAATGGGGAAGGAAATTTCGGTGATGTTTACGACTGAAATGGATACGAAATTGAAAGGATCGGATTGGAGGAGAATTGAAGGAATGAGGGGTGATTTGAAGAGACGAAGATCATGTTGAAATGGACAAGTACAATGATAAAGAACTATCAGATGATCAAGGGAATTTGAAAAATTAAATAATTGAAAGAGAGCTGGATTCTTGATAAGTTTGGCACTAATAAGTGCTAAGATACTCGGGTCTTGTACTGTAGCTAAAAACAAAAACTAGAACTTAACTTTACCCATCGCTTAATGGTGGGAAGATTTCTGATTAGAGTATGTGTTCCTATCGACTACCGTAAGACCTGACTTTAGTATTTGTTCAATCTATGTTCGTCTGATCTCAGCTAGTTCCGATTCTAACAGTAAAAGCCAAAACCTAGTCAAGTCACGAAAAGCCTTTGATAAAAAAGCTTTGGTTTGTCTTAGACTAGAAATTTAGGTCTAGGAACAACCCTGAGCTCATAGTTATTGAAAATATTTCATATTGTAGCTCTCTTGTACTGTAGCTAAAAACAAGAACTAGGACTTAACTTGACCTATTGCATTATATTAGGATTGATGTAGAAATGTGAAAGTTATTCTATTTTTAAAAACAAGCCAACGGTCATTCGCTACAAAATTGAGAAAGATTTCTATACACGCAAAAATCGACTCGTCGTCGCAAACAGCTCAGCCCGGCCCGCCGAGTGTATTGAGAAAAGCATAAAAAATGCAAATAATGGGAGTTGAAAAGAAGCGAAAAAGAGCGAAAAAGACATAAAAACACTGAGGTGTAAATAGAAAGGAACGTTTGGATGGAGATGGAGAAGAAGAAAAATAAATGGAAATTTGAAGGGGACCACACACGAATGTGCTCTCTCTCTTCATTGACGATACCGAGAGTAGGACACAAGAAGTGTGTATTAGAGAGAACACTTAGTGCGCTAGACATCAAGCGATTAGATAAAAGGCTCTTAAAGGCGGAGACTCAAGTGTCAAAAGTGTCTCACCGATGCAGTCGAATCCAGATCTCCTCGTCTCCGGTGATCGTTTGTAATGTTCGTTTTGTATCGAGACTTATCTAAAGTTTGTATTTGTTGATATGCATTGTTATCTCAATTTTCTTCCTAGTAACCTAGTTTTTAGCCTTATTGAAGCTTTTTTGAGAAAGACTGTACTGTCTTGTTCCAATATCTTCTCTCACTATCTTTGACTACTGATTTTTCTAAAGCGTGTCAACTTCGTTATCTTGTCTCTAGTTTTATCCAATCTATTCATCTTTTTGCATCTTTTTATGAAAAGAAACAAATCAAAAGTCAAAAATCAAAAGTTGATAGATTAAATAAAAACTAAAGCCAAGAATATAGTAGTTATTTTGTTTTCGAAAACGAATCAGTCGACTACTGTAGTAAAATGAGATTCTGAAAGCTACAATATCTTTATGTAAAACAATCGTACCCTTCTTGAGATGAGATTTGGCGGTAATCGACTGATTCTCGATGCATTCTCGGGTCTTAACGGCTCCTCGGCTTCACGCATTTGTTGGTTCTCCCGTCGAAACGTTTCCATGGCCAGAGACTAAAATTGAGATAAGATGAAGTTAGTTTTTCTAATTTAACAGTAGATTTACAAACTAATTAGCCAGTTAATTTATTTTCCCCCACCCGTAATTTATCCTTGATCGATCGAAGAGCTTGCAGAAAGAAATCGTGACTGTTGAGCAAAAAAGTGGGATCATTTGAGACGACAAGAAGGGAGTAAAGCCTTTGGAGACCTCGCGCTTTTGTGTCCGGTATTCTGAAATTTCAAAATGTTAATGGAAAATGTCACACTTGATCCAAAAAAGCTTGCACTTATTCAATTCAAAGCTTCAATTCAAAGCTTCAATTCTGATCGCCATGACTGCCATTCACTCACACTTTCAAATCTCAAAGCACTTACCGAAATGTGAGCGCAAACGTGTACCCGTGCTCAGAATCACCATAGAAAATGTTTCCATCGTCTTTTCCATCCTGAAATCGTTTTTGAGGAAATTGTGAGCATTTTTGAATTAATCGAATTATCAAATTCGTTTCTGATCGGATAATTCTAATCAGCATATAACCATTGATAAGACAGAACAAACCTCATTTTGATCATTGCTCGTTTTTGATGAAGAAGCGTTTACATCTAAAAAAGGAAAGGTTAAGTAAAAATATATTATTGACAACATATATAAATATATACAAAATAACCTGTTTGGTTTCAAATTCACAACTTTGGCAAAATTCAATAGTAAATACCAAAATTTTCACGTTTTTAGCTTACAGAACAGATTACAGTGCTTCTATCGTACTAGGTTTTTAAAATTTAAAAGTTTCAAGCTTTTCCTCACCTTTCAACGGTCCCTTTTGAGTTAAGGAGAGCTGGGGTATCGATATTTCATAACTCAACGAGCGAAGACAAGATGTGCGTATTCTATCGAGCACGATCTCGCTGAATGCCACCTAGAAAATCAAGTAGAACTTTAATTTCTCTGTAAAGCCTACCTGTGAGCTGATATAACTCGTCCTCGTTAAATGATCATTTGAGAGGAGATAACTAGTCGTTCCTAATGATGTACACGCATCACAACGGGCATCGGGATCCTCGACAACCGTCAAGTTGTCACCGTAGTATTTCGGGGGCTCCTGGATCGGTTTAATGATTTTAAATCCTTTAATACTACTGTAACAATTGTCTGCAGGTGCCTAAATGAAAAATAAAACTAAAACTAAAACACTGGAGGTGCCAGGTACTACGCTAGGTTGCTTAAATGCAAATTGAGATAACTTTTTGAGCAGAAAATCTGTGGATATTCGTTAATGGAAATAGAAATTAATAGAAAATTTTAATAGAAATAAAAAACTAACGGTCGGCGACGTGGCTCCACTCGTGCTCGGCTCGCATGGAGAATGAAGGCCTCGATCCGAGTTTTCGGGGAAAATTTGCGAGTTCGAGGCACTGAACAAATTTGAATTATTGAGGCCAAGAATATTTTCATGGTTTCTTCGATCATCAATCAAGATATCGAGTATTGCAATGAGTATTTGAAAATTGAATTATTGCAATAGTATTGCAAAAACAAACTCCCGTATCGGTTGGCATGTAATGACAACTCTCGGCCCGTGCGTCTCGCAGAAATGGCACAGCGCGATCGCCGCTTGCATAAGCCGAATACCCAAAAGAGCCGAAAAAGATATTCACTGAAAAAACGGGAAACTTATTTATTTTTAGTTATTTTTAAGAAATGACCTTTGTGCAAAAAAAGGAAATGAAATATGGTAGGAAAGTAAAGTTTTTATTTTGAAATCATTTCTGTTTTTGCGAAAAGGGGAACAACTTTAAAATTTTAGTTTAGAAGTTTAAGTTTAAAGTTAAAAAGCAAAGTTTAAAAGGATTTTGCAAGCCAATTTTTCAATGATAAACATAGCTCCAGAATTTTTTTGATTCAGAGAATTTTTTACGAATCAATTCAAAGAAAAATTAAATTCAAGAACATTTTCAAAGCTGAAACAACAAGAAAACGAGCATTCATTTCAAATTTTTTATTTTTAAACGCTTAAAAGTGTTTCCAAGCAATCGCAAATTTAGCAGACCAGCTCATCGCCCGTGGAATCAATTCTGCGATCAAAAACAAAGCCAAATTAGCGAACTGATACCATTATTTGTGTGGCACACCTGATTTTTGCCTATCTGGATAGAGGCCAAAGGGGTTGGCAAAGGTCCAAAATTCGCCAACAGACATTGACCCATGATCTGCACACTGTTCCCTTAAAGGCACCCCGGCTACCGTAGCGCTAAGCCTCTGCAGACTGGGGCAATATTCGGAATTTCCTCACCCTCAAATTGCGAATTGACTTGAAATTTTCGTTTCGTTTTTGTTTTTTCCGACTTCTTTTTACTTTAATACTCTATTTTTAGGTGTTTTCTTGCCACGTTTGAAAGGAAGACCGACAAATGGCGACCGCTGATCTGTAAGTATTCGATTGACTATTCAAAACGGTTTAATTTTAGTTTGAGCTCTGCTCCCGAGGCAATTGAAAGCTGGGCCGAAGCCGTTGAACAAGAAAGTATCTTTTGAAAGAATACTCAAGAAGCTAAAATTTTTTACTTTAGCTCGCAGTGAATCTATCAAGGATGGCGTTAAGACAGTAACCGATATGGTGGAAGAGGATGGAAAAGTCTACAAGGTGAACCATTAAACAAGTAGTCTTTTTTTAATGTTAATGAGTTTTATTTATACTGATATTTTATTTTATGGCCTAGTTTTAGGTCGTCACTCAATTCAAGATCGTCACCAAGAAGGTCCCCCGCTCGGTGGCCGAACGAAGAGGTTGGCTGAAGTTTGGTGTTTGCCAGAATGACCCGCCAGGACCTCAAGTATCGGATTTAAATCGAATCATAACTATTGGATGATCCAGGTCTCAACTACTTATGTTGCGGAAGAGGTTGAAATGCAATTTGTGAGGAATCGTGCTGGAGAGCAAATTCTTGATGTGCAAGAGGAGAAACAACAGGTGACATTTTTATTTCCTAAGAATAATTTATCAATATTTAGGCTAAAACAACTTCTCGTGAGCATTGTCGTCATTGCAAAGCCAACGACCATTGGTCGACTAATTGCCCATACAAGGTTTTTTGTCTGTTGGAAAAGTTATTCTAATTAATTTTAGGAAATGTATCAAGTTGAAGAGGAAGTTGATTTGAACGCTGCCCCAGAGAAACCAGCTGGCCCTGGCGCGCCTGGACGCTATATGGCCCCAGGAATGCGAGGCGGTGAACGTCCCGATCAACGACGGTAAGGCTGCAACTAATTGTCTCCTTATCTTGATTTTTCAGCTCCGATGAAAACACGTGTCGTGTCACCAATTTGCCCCAAGAAGTCGACGAGCAAGAGCTTCGAGAACTGTTTACTCGTATGGGTCGTGTTCAGGTTGAACAAAATAAATCAAAAAATTTAATCTTTTTTGTTTAGCGTGTTTTCATTGCCCGAGACAAACAGACCAACTTACCAAAAGGTTTCGCCTACATCACTTACGATTTGCGACTTGATGCTGAGAAAGCCATAGAAAAGCTGAATGGTTATAAATATGAGCACATGGTCATGCACGTCGAGCTTGCAAAGTGAGTTTTTTTTATTTAAGTGGTATTAAAACTGATTTAGACCAAGTAATAATTGATGTTCTGTGGAACCGGTCTGTTGAAGAAATTTTATGGTTATGTTTTATTGTTCGTTTACAGTTTTGGGTTGATATTGTTAAATAAATTTTTATCAATTTTTGAAAATTAATTTGTCGTATGTACGTTTTATATCTAAACGTTATATGTGTCAGTTCTTTTTTTAGCAAATACATCTTTAGATGGGTCTTTTAACCGTCATACGAAAAATGCGCGCAAAAGAGCGCGAGATCCGCATTTTAATACTTGGGCTCGATAATGCCGGCAAGACGACTGTTACCAAGAAGTTTCTGGGCGAAGATACGAGTAAAGTGGAACCTACATTTGGTGAGTTAACAAGATTTTCGAATCTCATTAAACTCTTATCAGAAGCAATATATCGATTTAGGTTTTAACATCGAGACAGTTGAATTTCAAAACTTCAACCTAAATCTTTGGGATGTTGGTGGTCAAAGAAGTCTGCGCTCCTACTGGAAAAACTATTTTGAGCAAGTACTTGTCCTCAGTTTTTATGAAAATAAATTTTACAATTAGACCGAAGCTCTAGTTTGGGTTGTGGATTCAACGGATCGAGAACGATTACAAATGTGTGCAGAGGAGTTAGGCGTTAGTTTACTTTTTTCGGAGCCTTGTACAGAATTTTTTTTAGAAATTACTGCAAGAAGAAAGACTGCTTGGTGCCACACTTTTGGTGTTTGCTAACAAACAGGATATTCGCTCAGCGGTCAAATGCGAAGATATAGCAAAAAGTTTGCTATTTTTCCATGCTAAAGGATTTAAAATAGTTCTTATTATGACAATTCAATAACAATGTTTTTAGATTTTGAACTTGGACGCTATCAAGTCGCACCATTGGAAAATTTACCCGTGCTCGGCAATAACTGGAGAAAATTTACTAGAAGCGATGACATGGCTCTGCGAAGATGTTTCTAGTCGAATATTTACGAATTAAAATTAATTTTTATGTGTCTTTTTGCTTTTGTGTGTCCTCATTTTGTTGGTTATACGCGGGTATTTTGATCTCATTTTGTATGCAGAACTTAATAAATTCATTTGCATAATGGGTTTTTGATTTCCGGTTGCTAACCATTCAGGATATCTATGTGAATTAGAATTGTCTTGTTATGTGTAGTGTTATATTGTGGTGCAAACATTCTGATTTAGGAAATGCCGCCCGTAACTGCGCCACCACCGCCTGTTGTCTCCCGGAGAGAGGAAGACTCGATGAACACAGAAGCGAGTATGAGTGGAAAGGCAATCATTGGCCTCATCTATCCACCTCCTGATATAAGAAGTGAGTTTTATCTTTTAGAATCTATCTAATCCTGAGAATTTAGCTATTGTTGATAAAACCGCGAACTTCGTGGCTAGAAATGGTGTCGACTTTGAGAACAAAATTCGTGAAAAAGAAGCCGCCAATCTAAAGTAAGCTTAAAGATTTCGACCATGTATCAAATTTTTAGATTCACGTTCTTGTCTCCTACTGATCCATACAACGCTTACTACAAACATAAGGTATTTAAACATTGGTTCGATTTTTGAGCAGCAGTTTATTTTAGGTGAAAGAACTGCAAGAAGGAAAAACTGAAGCACCAAGGGTACAAGTCCCTGATGCAGTGAAAGAACACGTAAAGAAAGTGGCAGAAGTGAGTTGGACTCTTTTCGATTAGTTGTATAATTTGTTTGATTTTAGACAATCACTCGTCCTCCTACTAAATACGAATTTTCCGATGAGCCAACTACGATCAACGCATTTGATTTGTAAGTTACTTCAGTATCTGGTAGCATATACTAAATATTCAATGTTAGGGACTTGATCAAACTCACGGCACTTTTCGTTGCTCGAAATGGACGCCAATTTATGACAAATTTGATGAATCGCGAGGTAATGAAAGTTGTTTTGTTTGTTTTTTAATTTGAACTTTAGATGCGAAATTATCAATTTGACTTCTTGAAGCCACAACACAGCAACTTTCAATATTTTTCTCAGCTTGTTGAACAATATACAAAGGTATGGTTTGTTGTTTAACCCATTTCTATTAGTGATTTAGGTTCTAATCCCATCGAAAACGATTGTGGACGAGCTGCGTTCTGAGAGAGAAAATAAGAAAAAGCTGCTTGACGAAGTTGAACGTCGTGTGAGATGGGAGAAATATCAGAAAAGCTTGAAAGTGAGCTTTCATTTTAAACCTAATCTTATTTTTGTTGTAGGATAAAGCGGATGCTGAGGCTGAAAAGGAGCGAGTTGCTTATGCACAAATCGATTGGCATGATTTTGTTCTTGTACAAACGGTCGACTTTTCTGCACAAGATCTTGGTAAGTTATAGTAACTAATATTGGAAAACGGTTACTTTATTCTATCTAATACTTTTATCACAAGTGTAGGAAATCTGCCCGGGCTTTGCACGTCTGCGGATGTTGGAGCCCGAGTTTTACTCGAGGCAAGAAAAGAACAAGAAAAGGCTAATCAAGACGCTGCTATGGACATGGAGGAAAGTGATAGTGAAGATGAACAAGAAATTGCACACGAGGTATGTTGGTAAGAGTTTTCAAAAAATTTTTGTTTTTATAGATTGCACCAACACTTTCTTCGGCACCAGCCATTAATTTGCCACGCTCAACCGGACTTGGGGATGATCTACCTGCGGATATGCTTAATCAGCCAATACCAAACGCTCCAACCAAACAAGGAAATATTCTCATTCGAGAAGATTATGACCCGAAGAGAGGTATATTTAGTACTCGTTATTTAATGCAATACTCAAAACCTATCATTATCAACTTAATCGCTCTAGATATTACTCGACGCCCCACGGTCGAAGAATGGATAATCTCTCCGCTCACTGGAGAAAAGATGCCCAAAAATAAGATTACCGAGCACGTCAGGTTTGTCAATATTGTGATAGTTGCACGTAAATCTGTGTAATGGTTTAGATATAACACAGTTGACTCTCAATACAAGGAAGAACGCGACGCACGTATTGCTCAGACCTCTGCCGAAGAAGGCGTGTTTGCTCCTGGAATGGATATCTCGAAAAATCTTAACAAGTGAGTTTTCAAGTTATAAGTCTTAATCGAATGTTTTCTTAGATTTGCTGACCGTCGTACTGATATTTTCGGAGTTGGAGAAGAAGGTGCTAAACAAACAATCATCGGAAAGAAACTTGGGGAAGCTGATGCTCCTAACAAACCAACAAAGGATGGAGTAAGTGCTAAAATGAGTGAAAATTAACCGTTGACTTGTAATTTATGCAATGCGTATAAATGTTATATTTTAGATTTGGGATGGTACTGCAGAAACAATGGAAAGTGCAACGCGTGAAGCACAAAAGAAGGTCAGTTTGGGTGTTTTTTCAAGATACAAGTGAATTTAGGTGACTCTCGAGCAACAGCTTAAAGATCTTCATCGTCAACACGGTTATGTACCCGATCCAGAAAAGGAACGCATTGGAGCTCAACCGGCATCTGCTGCTTCAGAAATTCCACCGCCACCTCAAGCACATGTATGTACAGCCTTATAAAAAGTTTTTAACGCGTTTTAGGCACCGATTGTTCGTCCACCAATGCCACCACCTGCTTCAATTCCGGCTCCTCCATCTGCAATTCCGATTCCAGCTCGATCTCTTCCACCGGCTCCTCATTTGATGCCTGGCCTCCCTCCAATTCTAATGCGCGGACCTATGGTTCCAACGGTTTGTTTCTAGAAAGTGTTTTCGTTAAAATTTTATTTAAGATTGCTGTCCCAGGGATGCCAATCGTACCCATGGCAGTTCCAATCATTTCGGCTCCAGCCCCAATGCCAATGCTTGCAAGTATTCCTCCAAGGTAAGGTTTTGAAACGTTTCTAGTTTTATTTGTTAATTTAGACCACAAATGGATTTTGCCGCTCAACCACCAGCTAAAAAACAAAAGACTGAAGACGACTTGGAGCCAGAGCATGCTTGGCTCGCAAAGGTAATAGTTCTGTGTTTTTCTTTATTTTGGTTGTTCAGGTCCCTCCAACAATCGAAGTGCGTATTCTTCTCCCACAAGATCCTCAATGGCAACTAGATGGGAGCGTGGTCTCATTCAACGTCGAGTCAGCAGCCATGGTACTAATTGTTTTTTGGTTGTTGTAAATATATTTTAGGTCTCAACTCTCAAACAGAAAGTTTTTGATCGATACCAAATGCCTGTTAACAAACAGAAGCTCAATTTCGAAGTAAGTTCTAATAAATTGTTCTTGCAAATGAAAAAATTTAGAGCTTTGTGTTGAAAGATACGAACTCTTTTGCTTACTACAATATCAGTCAACATGCTTTCCTTTCTCTTGGAACTAAGGAACGTGGAGGAAAGAAAAGTAGTTTTTTACACGTTTGATCTCTGAATTATTTTTTGACTTTGTTTATAAATATGTTCATAGATAACAAGCACAAAATAATGCAAAAAAAGAAAATACACAACCTTTCAAAAATAAATAGGTAAATCATTGCATTGTAAGGGACAAAGGCACAAAAAACATCATCAGTCAAGGCCGTGCCGATACAATTGCGACAAGACTCAGCAAAGGACCCGCAGAAAGACAAATAGGTGAGAGGATGAGTACATCTTTGGAAGATACAGCTTTCAAGAATTTCTAACAGGGAATGGATGAGCCTCCGTATTGAATACCCATTGAGTAAGGTCTGAAATACTTTTCCAATTTTGAGTGAAGTGATAAGCTTACCCATCACACTGTCCTCGGAAAATATCAAATATAAATATTTAAAAAGTTCGGCAAAAAGGAATGACTGTTGAGTATCATCATGTGTCACCGGTACTTGATAGACATCCTTTACGCCAGAATAACCGGCTTCCACCTAATCGTGTGGTTTGTAAAATGTTTTGAGAGTTTTTTTTTGATACCTTCAAGTGTTTTTCGAGTGCTTGTACCACATCCCAGGCCCAGTCACGATACTTTTGATCTTTGGTAAATCTCCATAAATAAAACCAAGTTTCAACCACCTGAAAATTGAGGTTTTTATTATTTTATTACTTTTGAATTTGTTTTTATATTGATATTGATATGTATTGATAAACCTCCGGTCGAAGAATATAGTATTTTTCTTGAGAAGACACGGCAACGGCTTCCACATCGTTCGTGAAACGAAAAGCCTCGGGACCGATGCCAATTGCTGAAAGTTGAGATTTAGATTCGATTTTCCTAGTTCTTTATGAAATCGATTTTCGAAGCGAAGAGAAGACGCTGTAATGGACGCAATGGACGTGTAATGGACGTGTAATGGACGTGTAATGGACGCTAACTTTTGGTGTACCTGATTTCCGATAGCTCTCGTGACATGTGTGCCCAATATCTTTTGCCAGATCCATGTAATGCCTTGCTCGTGTCGCATTTGGCTCATTGAAAGCCTGAGAAGAAAACCCCAATTTTTTGATGCTATTTTGATCAACTTTACATCAAGTGCGAACATTCCTCCACAAAAACATCCAAGGTGTTCCATCTTGTGCTCGACTCGACTCCCTTTCAGATTGGCGAAATATCTGAAATGGTCATTGATTTGCATTTGATTTTTATATTGCGCTTTTCTTCACTTCAAATTGCTGGGACTGCTGCTGAAGAGCATTTTCTTCTCCATCGCCTCAATGGCTTCATTGTATTCCTTCTTTGTTCGCGTGTCCTGGTAAAGTCGTGTTTCTTTTGTTTCTCTAACTTTCCCCCTCCCTAGACAAACCTTTTTCCCGGTAACAAGATACTGTTTGAGAAGATATTCGTAAAAACTGTCAGCCATTGCCCCAATCGAGTATTCTCCTGAAAGAAAGCGGTTAAATTAAAAAAGCGCTAAAATCACTTTGTCCCCATTTCCCGTTGTTCGGATTCAAGTAGATTGGGTATAATCCATCGGGTTTCTCAAGAGATGTCAGAAAATCGCGAACGGTTTTGATCTGAAATGGTTTCTTGTAATCGAATCACTCCCTCTAGCTTTCACTTTATTTCGATAAATATCATTTCCGGTGAGATTCGAGAGGTAATCGAACTCGAGCTCGAGACTGCCGAATTCCGAGAGAATACTCGCACCGCCCGAGGCCCAGCCATAGTTTTTCGCTTTGCCTGAATGCTTTTGGTGGTTTGAATTTTGAGAGATTTTAAACCTGACACAATGTTGATGAGTGCCAAGGGGATACCCAGTTGGTGTGTCAAAGCGGGCAACAAAAGGTCAACAATTGAAGTGGCCTTTTTCAGGTACATCTAAAAGGAAATTTGAATATAAAAATTTGTATTTCAAATAGTCAGCGCTAGTCAGCGCTAGAAATAGTCGCTAAACAGGTTACTGTTTACTGAAATTACCTCGTCACGTGTCAAAGCATATCCCGATAAAAGACCGCCAACAAAGCGAATATTCGTCTCGAACACGGAGATATCTCCACGCTAAATTAGACGATTAACCCTCTTTTTTTTATTTTCATACGGCTAATCGCTTGAAATCGAGATTCATCTCAATCCATTTGTGCGCATCTTCATATTCTTCTTTCAATCCCATTATATAGAGAGTATCTAATGCATCGACGATCGTTGCCCCCAAATCACCGCTTCCGAATATTGATGCAGAATGACCTTCAGATTAAGGAATGCTTTATCGAACTTCTTTTTCTTTTTTACCTTTTTTCGAGATCGGTTTCAATTCATTTGAGCCCCAAGCATACTTTTTGTAGCTGTCCCATGCGAATTTTGTCATCTGGCAAAAATGTTTCGTTTTAACTCTGAAATTCTTTGAATACTTGTTTCACGGTTATTCTTCGTCCATCAGCATCATCACCAGCCCCGATATCCGGTTTTGGAATAGGTGGAGGCATCTGTAATTCGCTTTGAACGGATGGATAAGAGGAACAAACTAAGCTTACAGTATGATCTGCAACCTTTCGGAGCTTGCTGCTAAAGTTTTTATAGTACCTGGACTTCATTTTCAGCGCGGGCACGCAAGAACGACTTATCCCTTTCCACTTGATGCCGCCGACGTTCCTTAAAATTGGTGTTATTTAGTGAATTGAGTGATGCATAAACAAACTGTAGTTACCTCTAGATCTCGAACATGAACATGTGACTTATCGCCATCTTCGTGATCGTGCACCTCGCCGTGAGAATGTGCAACAGCTACCCTATAATTAATATCAAATTTTTGGTAAATTCCTTTACTAAAAGCTGATTTTAATGGAGATTACCGTAATTTGCTTAGCTACCGTAAGGCGCGACTCGAAGACATGGTCTGTCGGGGGGGGGGGGCGCCTGACGTAACTGGGGGGATCTGGCACACTCATTCCTCATTTTTCTCGCAGCAGCAGTTTGGTATCGCGAGAAAAATTGGGATTTGGGTGTGTCAGATCGATTTAGCTTACGTCGGAGCGCAAAGAATGACCAACCGAACCCATGTCTATCATATGCATTTAACGGGGTAAATTACCCTAATCCTCCAACAAGAACGCCAGTTGAAGTCAACTTTCGCAATTTGTTTTTGTTACTTACAATCAGAACCTTGCAATTTTTCGAAATCCAGGTAGCAACAAAGGAAGTAAAACGGTTCTCACCGTTCGGTACTTCAACAAATGATCGTCCGCTGGGAAAAAGTAAAGGGTCGAATAGCAAACGAATGTCATGGAACAATAAGGCACACAAGATCGCATATCTTAAACTGGTGCGGTGTGCGCGAGAGGGAATACCTACTACTGTTTTTGGTGCAAGGTTGAGTGTTTTGTGGCTTGTTTCTCTACTTCACCCCTACGCTGAGAAAGTTAAAAACGGGTGGCTAAGTGTGGAACAAAATTCGGCGACTGCTGTGCGAAAGCGCCAGCCTACGAACATCAGCAGCAATGGTAAATCACTCACTTTCATGCATTTCAACATGACTGCCAAGAAGAGAGAAGAGACCTGTCTATCCGACTTGAGTTTTTGTTGAGGGCATCAAATGAATTATCTGGTACCTTTTAATAAGCTCTCTATTACACAATCATAGAATCCGGGAAAAAACCTGAAAACAAATGCACCTATAAATCACACGTATGTAATTATTAAGAACACGAGTACGACAAAGTATCACAAGTTATCTACAAAGGAGATTTGCTGCAACTTAATCTATCTCTTTTTCGCCTCTTCTTTCGTGGACTCGATATACCATCCGGGGTCCCTCCCGGAATACCTCAGTCTTGAGCTAAAAGATTTGCAAATCTGATGCGCCATAGAACCAAGAGGAGTTGGAGCCTAAATTAGCGTTATTTACGCAAGAAGGTAAATCACATACATGGGTATCGGTAGCAGCATTTTGAGCTAACGACAAATCTTTCGCCATCAAAGCACTACCGAATCCGCCTTGATACTCCTAAAATTAGAAATTTGAATGTAACTGGTAATAGTCAAACCTCGCTTGGTGGAATTCCCCTCAATCACTCCAGGAACGGGATTGTAGGTAATGGATGACCAACAACGACCGGATTTAGTGAATTAGAACAAATGCCAAAAAGTTTTCGGCATCAGCGCCCATTCGAATACCAAAAAATTATTAAAAGGTTGCTGATTTTTTACTAGTACAAGTATTCATAACTTTATTAACAACCGTAAAACAAACCAAGATTCATCGTCTCCGACACACCAATCATTGAAATTCCAAGCATCATATTATTGCAAATTTTAGCGGCTTGCCCATTTCCAACCTAAAAGAAAAGTTAGTTTTTTAGACAAGTCAAGTCACCTTCCACCAATTGACGATGTTCTTGCCCATTTTGCTCAAAAATGTATGGGCACGATCGAAAACTGGCTGCTCATCACCGCCACCAACCTAGAGATAATTGTTTAGAAATAGTAAAATACAATACCATAAATGTCAATGTCGCATTTTGAGCTCCAACAACACCACCACTAACTGGGGCATCCACATAACTCGCTTGCTTTTGGCGAAGAGCTAACGCCATTTCAACCGACACCATCTAAAATCTACTATTAGCGTTTGAACTTTATGGGGTCCCTCAAAAAAAAAAAAATTCAACCTGGTCGATAGTGCTGCTATCCATGCAGCGGGAATTTTGCTTGCAGTGTTTCAAGAAGTCTCCTATCTCCAGTCAATACCCTAAAAACAGAACGTCTTTTAAGAAACAATCCCTTTTCAATTAATATCAACATTTTACTTCTACACTTCAAACAGACAACTACCAGCTTAACGGGAGATCCCCATGATTTTTAAAGCCAAGCGGATCGATGATCTCTCGTCGCCGCGTTCACATCGCCGTGGGAATTTTGGCAAATGGTCGCCCATCGGCTTTAAACTGTTCTTTGAGAACCTGTAAACAAAAAAGTAAATTCAAAGTTTCCAACAAACAAACTTCTTTACACGTCATGTAATGTAAATCAATTTGGGGCCGGGCTGGATGAGATTCCTGGGCCAAAGGGGCTAAAATTTCACAAATAACGAGAGCCTTTTTGTTGTTCAGCTTATCACTCATTTGACCTAGAGATTCAATGAAACTGTGATTAGCCACAATCCCCCAAAAAGATAGGAAACGTTGCACCTCATAGAAAAAAAATTATTAAAGTATGCAATTTGTAAATGAAAAATGTTTCAAAAAAAAGTAAGTCAGAAATTGTCAGAAAAAGATCAACTGCAACATGAGCAGCTCAAACGTTTTAATTTTTAAAGCTATAGATTTTTTAGCTACTGTGATTTCTCTTTAAGTGAGCTTTCCGTATTGCACTCTCTGTGGGAAGCTTTTGCCAACACAGGGTTCAATCTTTTGGGTTTAGGTCGTTGTTTGAATTGGAACGGACTGGGGAGGTTAAAGGTCTGCTTGACCCCGCAGAATGCAAATCTTAAATTGACAATATCTTCATTTTTTTTCTGCTTTAATGTTCAATTAAAGGGCTGAATAACTTAAGAAATATGCAAGTGCTCATTTTCCGCTTGGTGCTCTGAATAGCCACTCTTTAGTTAGCTTTAGCCACTCTTAATTTTTAGTCTTTTCACTTTAAATGCGTTTAAATATCTCTTTTACTAAACTCTTACTTTTTAGAAAAAAAGAGGAAGAAAAAGACGATTAGAAGAGGAGTCAATGGTTTTCAGTGCCTGAGATGTTCGATATTGGAAAATGTCGCCATCTCCGACAAATATTCTGCAACGGATTATTCGGAGAAATTCAAGGAGATCATGAAAAGTAAGGGTTTATCCTTGTTTTTAAAACGTTAGAACTATTTCATTAATCGATTCTTTCAATTTTTATTCAGGTGCCAAACCGTTTCCCCATATCTCACTTCGAAATTTCATTGATAACTCGTCGAACTTTGTGGAACAAGTATATTTCTTTTCTGCTTTAAAATATTTTAGTATTTAGTTAGAAACAGAACTACAAGAGTTCCCAAATTATGGACGAAAAGCAAAACGATCTCTACCTACTCGTATCAAAACGACCGATTTCAAGAAATAATCTTTAATTGACTTCTCAACCCAACTTCTAGGCCTTCAGGTTTGTGCTTATGCACTCGTGCTTGCTAATTTTTTCTAGAGAATTTCTCGGAAATGGGTGAAACCCTGTGCTGTGAAAAGAAGGCTGGAATCAACCCTCACCGGATCAGGTATTCGATCGCTTAGGTAATTAAAAAAGAGAATTGCAGATCAGATATCTGGGGAAGTTGTTATCTGAAACGGACAAATCTGCTTCTCCTCACAACGACCAAATTGAGTTTGTGTTTTGCCAGCGAAGGAAAACCATTCTGTTTTATTTAGGACTCGTCGTTTTGCATTTGTTTACTATCTCACTGAAGTTGGTTGGTCAAAAACGGAGCTGAAGTGAAAGCTCAAGCATCTTTTCAACTCGGATGGTAACATTATTATTTTAGCTAAAAATAAAAGCTACCTTTAGAACAATGTATGCCTACAATGATTGGTGCTGGGTTATTGCCATATCAAAAATTCGTTTCCCTGTTCTGAAGTTACTCAAAGATCTTGGCACCAAGTAGCGGAGATACTTCCAAGGCAACCGATCGAGGTAGATATTTTTAAAGACGCTCTTACGGATAACGTGACTTAGATTTTCCACTATGGATGGCTCACCCGACACGTCGCCTGGGGGCAGTCGTGCTCCGCCTGAAACACCCCTCGATTTTTTACCTGTTGATCTAAAGGTTCAACTACTATAATCACCAGTCAAGTTTAAAATGGTGGTATTTTAGGTTAATTATCCCAACGCGAATTCGGTTTCCTCATTTATACAGAAGAACGAAAAACGGAAACAAATTAACGTGTTATTCGAGGAAGAAAGTCAAGTTTTGCCTTCCTACTTTTTCTGATGCATGTTTTTTGATTTCGGATCGGCTTACTTTGAGTTTTACAGCCTTCAGAGCTAAAAAAAGATTACGGAGGCTCTGAAGAAAGAATAATTTCTAACTCTGTGGGTCCACCAACAAAGAGGTTATTAAAAATTTCCGTTTATTTTGGAACATCTGAAAGTATAGGCGAATCTCTTCCATTTGAAAAGGAAAAGAAACGGAGAAAATGCAGCTTTTGGTCACTTTTTATAAGCTGGTTGAGAAAATAATTATGCGAGAGCATTCTTTCTCAAAAAGTTACTGGACGCCGGGCTAAAAAATTATGGAATCAATTTATTCTAAAATTTCTATATAGGTCTCATAGTTCTGCGAAATCAATCGAGTTGAGCTGGGATGCTATACAGTTATGGGGGATGCAAAGACTGCCGTAAATCGAAAGAGGATGTATTATATCTTGGAAATTCATTGCAAGAAATAGTTTGTGCAAAAAAAAAAAGAATGTAATAAACCTTGAAGTTAATGATTAAGCTGGTCAGCCGGAGTTTTTCATAGGTGATTTAATCTGATTTTCCCGGGCCGATGTTGGTGGATCAAATTTATTACGAAGGGGAAGATGATTTATGAAGAGGTTTGTTTTAACGCAAACCATAATTAAACATAACACTTTTTAAGCTGACGCAGGTGTGTGTTTCTCGCGCACCCATCGTCGAAATGAACTCGGCTGCCATATTATTTTCAAAAAGAGTCGATGTTTTCTCTTTTATCAAATATGGAACCCAAAGGGCAAATCTTTCGATCTGTTAAATCTCTTTGGTAAGCGGGCAAATTTTATTTATAGATATCGAAATTAATTTTTATATCGGATACTTTCTTCGATATAAAAACGTGGAAGGCGATGAAGAAAAATGTGTAACTTAAGATTGTTCCAAGCGATTTTGCTTTTTAATTTGTCAGTTTTTTGATATTTTCTGTTTCCTGTTTTATTGATTTTTCCGGAATAAATGATTAATGTTGAGCTATTATTTATTGATCCAAGTTTTAATCCACCTTTTTTATGGATTTTTGCAAAACAAAAGCAATCTTGTTTGTGATCGGTCAGCTTGGATTACCTCGAATCTGTCTCCTTGGATATCTGGTCCCCTGGTTTGACTCGGGGCACACCATGATATTGATTGCTTTTCTGCTATGCAACGACCAAATCTCGGAAAATGCCAAAGGGTTTTTTCATTTTTAGTGCTTCTGAAGAGTTTTTTTAACAAAACAACCTCGTACTTTACAGGCAAAATGCTCAAACGAGGCTCCACCAGCCTTTTCGGTTTCTCCAGCCCGGGTCCCCACTTGGCCTCTGTATTATTTATTAAAAGTCGACTAATTCTGGCCTCTTTAGGAGCCGAGAAACCCCGCGCTGCTGCAAGAACATCAGGGAATTGCGATTTTGCAAAACAATGGTGTTAGGGTAAAGTTTCATAGTTTTTATTTAAAGCACCTGAAAGCTTTAGGTGCCAGACTCAGGGGGTTGTCTGAGCGTTGAGCAGGTTAGAAAAGCTTGCCAAACAGTCGGTGGCTCTGACTTTGTCGTTAAAGCTCAGGTAGTACTACATTGAGCAACTTTAAGCCCTGAGTCTTCGTTAAGGTGGGGCCGGGCTGAGGACGAGGTAAGTGAACCTTAAATCTGGACTTCAAGGAGGAGTTCACATTGTCTTTTCGTAAGTTGTTCAAATTGTCATTGCTAAGTAATCTTAAGTTAGTCCTGAAGAAGCAGAAAATAAGGCTGGTCAAATGATTGGATCTGAACTTGTGACCCTACAGACTGGTGCTGCCGGAAAACTTTGCAAAGAAGTAATTTTTGCAGCAAGTCTCTTCAATATCTTTTTTAGTTGATGATTGTGAAAAGAATGTTTCCACGACGTGAATACTACTTCTCGATTGCTTTGGATCGGAGTGCTAGCGTATACTTAACGATAATTTATTTTATCTAGTGTTAGCTTTAGGGTCCAATGATTATCGGCTCCTCAAAGGGAGGTATGAACATCGAAGAAGTTGCTAAAACAGATCCCGATGCGATTGTCAAGATTCCCGTTGATGCTAAAGTAATTTTTGGCAATCTTGCCCATTACTTTTATTACTCATTACTTTAGATCGGAGTAACACCAGAATTGGCTAAGGAATGTGCACACAAGATGGGATTCAAGGTAAGTAACGCCGGCAATTTTAACGTTAACTCTATTGGTTACTAATTCCAGTTTAATTGATTTTTTATCTATCTTTGTTGCTTTAGGATGATTGTGCTCGCCAGGCTGCTGAACTTATTCAACAACTCTACAAGGTCTTTGCCAAATCTGATTGCACACTCCTCGAGATCAACCCAATGGCCGAAGATGTAAACGGACAAGTGTTTTGTATGGATTGCAAGGTTTACGAACAATATTTAATCTATACAAACAAAAACTTTTAGTTCTTGGTTGACGACAACGCCGAATATCGACAGCCCGAAATTTTTGGCCTGCAAGATGAAACTCAAATGAATCAACTTGAGGTTTGTTTAATGATTACTGCTCTTATCAAAAAATTCTTGATCTGGAATTAATACATTTTTAAGGTTCGTGCTGCCAAGGCTAATCTTAACTACATCAATTTGGACGGCAACATTGGGTGCATGGGTATGCTTAATCGTTTGTTTCCAATTATTTTGTTCTTTAAGTGAATGGTGCTGGGTTAGCCATGGCAACGATGGATATCATCAAGCTTCACGGAGGTGAACCGGCAAACTTCCTTGATGTTGGTGGAGGAGCAACAGTAGAACAGGTCGCTTTTTGAACCAAAATCTTTTGAGTAATATTCGCAGCGTATCAATGCTAGTGTTTTAGGTGTCAGAGGCTTTTAAAATCATCACCGCCGACAAGGATAAAGTGGATGCTATTCTCGTGAACATTTTTGGAGGAATCATGCGTTGCGACGTTATTGCTCAAGGAATCATCAAAGCCGCCGAGGAACTTAAACTTAAATTGCCGATTGTTGTTCGGCTTCAAGGTTGTTTGTTGGTTTCAAAAGTATACTGTGTTTTTATAGGAACCAAAGTGGAAGACGCAAAGGCTTTGATTGCCACTTCGGGCCTTAAGATTTTGCCTTGTGACAATTTGGACGAGGCCGCTAAAATGGTTCGTTTTTGGGCGGTAGCCATTATAAAACGGGATTTTCAGGTGGTGAAGCTTTCAAATATCGTGCAATTGGCCAGGGCGGCGTCGGTGGATGTGAAGTTTGAGTTATCGATTTAAAAGGAAAATAGGTTTTTGTTTAGTTTTCGCAAACTTGCACCGTAGTTTCAGCTAGAATTTCATCCTTTTGCATTATCACTTCCTCCTTTTTTATATCCAAATAGGCCTTGCGCACACAAATGTCAAATCCCGAGTGCATCTCTTTTGCCAATCGTTGTTTTGTACATTTTCATGGAGTTTTACGGCTTTATAGGCAAGTTCATTTTTAATCATATGTATTGGCAGAAGATATAAATTGATATATCTATGTATGTGCAAACAATAATGGATTTTGAATGGATAAATTTATGTAAATTTTTGGCTTGAATCACAGTGAAATTTCGAAAATGGTAAAGACCCAGAAAAATTATGAGCACACAAAGCTATACAGAAATTTCATAAATCATAGCCATTGTTCCCGTCTTGTTGTGGTGTTATTTAAAGGTTTGATATGAGAAAAAGCTACGGTCATTTAGCCTAACAATATGTAAAAATCTAAAAATAGATAAAATTAAATAAAAACAAATGAGGTCATCATTTAACCACGAAATATACTATCCAGCAGTGATGAATAAAGTCACAGAACCTGTAGAGAAAATACAATAAATTGCAGACACTAGTCTCTAGAAATGCTAATGTTTTCCCGTGAATTAGCACGTATCCGAGAGGGATCATCAGTTTGTTGTGGTGGCGATTGGGTGAGAGAATCATTGAGACTTTGTGGAAGCGGGTTATCGACTCCCGCATATTGTGGAAGAATCTAAATTTTATTGACATTAGGTTTTTCTTGGGTCATGGATAAGGGAACAGTGTGATGGTAGAAGAAAATCAACATGCACCAATCAAGGGAGAAGTAATTGTTTGCATACGGAAAATGGTAATATCCGGTTGTATCCCAACTCACTCATATATTTTCATCACTTGCATGGTTCTTTGATTTATTTACTTGATTCTAAACAATGACCCGGATACAGTATACCTTGTGGATATAACCGGATAACACCCAAAATCTTGCTCAACACTCAATCGAAAAACCTTAAGGTACGATGCTCGTTTCAGCTGGAATTGTGGCAAAACCCTGAAATTATTATTGAGCAACTGTTGCACAATTCAATCATTCAACGAATAGCGGAATTCAACTCACTTCCGCGTTTCGATAGAAGGCATAATGTTGCAAAAGGAACACCACGTCGAACACCATCGAAACCATGCCGAGACCGAATTTCACCGGATTTCCATAGAAAGCCGACCAGTCATCGACATTCCACGCTTGGAGAACCTTGAGAATTGTTGAGGGATTTTCTCGATTTCTTTACCATTTGCATCACATCGAGAAGTCCACCCGTGAAATCCAAAAGCACGTTGCCGATCGACCAGCCAACGGTGCTCTTTCGCTTGTAATTGTAGACAGCCTGAAGCGTTATTTGAATGATAATCCGTCTGTTAATGATCAGTCTAATTGGCGGCAAATATTCATTCAAATGTAAATCTTCGAAAGCTTTCAGTGATTCTCTACGAAATCAATGTATTTAAAAAACCTGTGGGAAATATTTCATGCATGTGACGGCCATCTTTATGTAGGAGAGTGAGGTGACGAATTGGAGATAGGTGATGACACTGATTAGTGAAAGGAATAAAGCGAGGAAACCCAAAACAACGAGAGCACCGCCATAGAAGATGAAACCCGGATGGACACGTTGGTTTTCTCGCTGAAAATTTAACGATACAGATGAGTGTTTGTGTTACGGCTTGTAGGCTGTAAACTTTTTCAAACTATCGCTCAATATGCAAATTTGTCTTTTACCTCTTATAGTTGACTTTGTTCCTAAAAATTAGACGGTTTTTGTCTAGTTTAAGCTAATGACCATCATCTATATCCCTAGAATCGATCGCGTAAACCCCCAAAATTATATTTATTCTACAGTTTATGGGGTAAAAAAACATTTGACTTACCGTAAATATTGTAATGGTATCCCACCCCCATAATGACGGTGCGGAGTGTTGCGTAGTCTAGCTTTGAACGAGTTTTTCTCGACACTGATTTATGCTACAATGCTTGCTTAGGTATCAAAAAATAGCCCTGAATTTCAGCTATTTTTTGATACCAAAGACACATTTTTTGAAAGTACGGGCGCTTTGAAAAAATGAAATACTAAAAAACTTTTGCCACTACGCGACTGTACCCAGGGGGGTGGGGTACTATTACAGTATTTACGGTATGAATTATCGTTGTGAACGTCAATAGGTGTCCAACGGAAATACCATACTTTGGCCAATTTCACTCGAATCTTTTTGTCTTTCATTTCAATCGATAGACAATGAAATTCTCCGTCAATTGATAACAAAATCAAAAAGATCCGAGTGAAACGGCACGAGATATGCCAGATTTTCGGTTGCACGCCTATTGACGCTCATACTGATCTGTCTAATAGGCTACTTGAGTCAAGAGGATTTCCCAAGTTTAGTAAACATTTGCTGAAACCTCGTAAAGACACGCTTGCACAGCGGTGATGAGACAAGCGGCGAGAGCGTGAAGCGCGAAAATCACATCATTCAGTAGAACGGGAAGAGGACTTCTTTCGTGAGCCGATAGATATTCATTCTAGATTATTTCTATTGTTATTTTTGTCATTAAAATGATCTCTTCTACTTGCACGGTCGTGTCCCAATAGTGCATCGAATTGTAGATCGTGTACGCGGAGAAGCCGATAATGTTCAGGAAAAGGAAATCGAAATTCAACCCGACAACACTGGAAAAATTTTTTTTTTTTTTGGCTGAATATTTGGCTGAATATCTTGTCTCAAATCTGTTAGGGATTACGGTAAAAACCTTTTTCTTTGATAGTTAAGGATCATTTGTGGATAAAATGAGATACTCCATGCAAAGAAGTACGCCCAGCCGACGACAACAATGAGCACGTCGATGAAATGACTCTTCATGATCGAAAGACGAGTGTAAGCTGTCGTAAAACTGAAATTATTGCCTTGTTCCCCATTCAATTAGAATTTGCTCACTTGAATCCACAAGCTGTCCCATTGATTGTCGTACAATTGATCACCTCGACTATTGTCCGTGCAATCACCGCTTTCGGCTGTACACCGAATTTCACTTCATCTTCCAATTCAGTAAGAGAAACCTGAAGGGATTTGGTATTCTCTTACTCTTATTCTCTTCTTGGTATTTGGTATTGTGCAGTATTCTTTCTATAATCCTTTTTTTCTAAACCTTTCTCCTTTATTATATCGCTGTTTATACAGTAAATTCTTTTCTAAAAGGCGCGCATCGAAAAAGCTACCGTACTCCGGTTGTCGTTTTGAATTTAGGCTAATAATAAGCTCATTTCTGGATCACTTTCAAGATCAGGGTTATTTTTAAAAGCTATTTTTCCGAGCTTCTTAAAATCCCTTTCTTTTGCTTTCATTTATTTACCTCATTCGTCGTGTTTACAAAATCGTGATCCGATTTGATGATGAATTTGAAGGTTTCATGGGGGATCGTTCCTCTGAAAAAGAGACTTTGCATTTTCATTCCTCTGTAAACACTCGGCCAGTCCGGCTGTTCCTTTTCGATGGTGAAAAGCCGATAAACAAGTCTGGGGACGCTTTTAGCGCATTTTTTTTGTAATGGATGGCAAAAAGAGGTCATTGGCTAAGGGTTTAAAGAACAAAAAAAAGAAGGTACCTGAAAATGAGTGAAATGTCCGTGTTCTCTCCATTCACCAACGAGATATCTTTTGGAGAAAGATCGATTAAATGATCGATTGATTGGCAATGAACGGCATAAATCTCAAAGAATATCAGTAACAGGAAATGCGCGAATCTCGGCATTTGTGGGCAATCTGAAATTTTGAGGAAACTTCAGGAACTACATTAATGATCAAGTGCTCAAGTGGATCCTAAATTTGCATTTAACCCTGCGTCTGATGGCGCTCTGTTGGAGGATTGTAATGCATTGTTGAATTCAGATAAATCAATCCAAAGCTTGCTCTATTTTTAAATGTGTTTGCTAATGAACGTAATTGAAAAGAGATGGATAAATTAATATTTTAGCTAATTTTAGCTCAAGTTTAGCCAATTTTAGCTCAAGTTTAGTCAATTTTAGCTCAAGTTTAGTCAATTTTAAGCGCAATTTTCTTCAATCAGCCCAAATTCATTAACAAATTGAGGGAAATTTGAGCTGTTCGAAAGTTTGAAAATGTGGGAAAAGGAATTGTTTGGAAACAAAAAGGAAATAGATTGACCGCTTAAAAAAAACGGTAACAAAAATGGGGCAATCGGTTTTTTTGTGTAAATGCGATTGTTTGATAGAGAATGAAATGAGGGAAAAGAAAGCGAATAAATTTGAGCGAAAATGGCAGAGAGAAAAAGAGATTGCGGAGAAAAAGAAATGTGAGAAAAATGGGAGGGGCACTGTTTGAAACAAGAAGAAACAAGAAGATGACAGATCATATGATTAATGAGAAAAGGAAATGTGTGCATTGCATGAGATCGATGAAAATGAATGACTGTTATGCGCAAGGAAAAAAATGATCAAGAAAATAGTGAAATTAAAAGTAAATGTACTTGTTCACACGAATAATGTGGTACAAACAATACACAAGTACAACCCTTAAATAGCCTTAAATGTAGGAAAGAAAAACCCATATAGATGGAAAAAAAGAAGTATTAGTCCAGCTGATCGAACTCTTGATCTCCCGACTAAGCTACAAGGCTCTTAGCCAGTCGGCCATGGCAGTCTGAAAGAGCCAGATGAAAATTTGCATCAGATTTCCTTTCCGTCAAAATATACTACCCTAAAGTCTCGAGTATATGATGAAGAGGCCAGGGAGGGATCCATAAGACTGAGCACCGGAGAGGAGCAGGGCGGACGCGCCGAGCCACGCCCGGAGCAACAAATAACAGCATAAAATTGCTATAAACCCTCAATAAATTTACTTCTATTATTGTTCTTAAAAAGCAAAAAAGCTATGCTGCAGCGGGGTTCGAACCCTCGACACACCGCACCGGAGACAGCCGTCAATTTGCATGCGAAAACCAAACAGAATTTATACTCGCGACTTTAGGGTAATCAGAATGGCAAGCTATTCAGGATAAAATAAAAATAATTGACATTTGAAACATGAAAAAAGCCAACTAATTTCCTTTCTTATTTTAAGCCTTTTTTTTCAATCAGTGGGCGTGACTTGGCCACTAGCTGGGTCTGCTTGGCTGCCTAGCTGGGTTTTTTTGGCCAAAAGGATAGAAAAAGAAGAGATAGCACAAATAGCACAAATAGCACACAAAAACTAGAGACCATTACAAAATTCGCGAGAATTCCCAGTATTAATTGTTTGCCAAAGGGAGGAAAAGCTGAAATCAGAAACAAGAATATGTTGATGTTCGCAAGGAATCCCGTCTTTTATCATCATTTCTGCGCGACTCTCTGAGTGTTCGAGTGATGGCTGATGCAATTGTTGTGTCCCATTCAATCATCATCTTTTTTTGAACAATTCAGATGGTATACATTTTGTGCGCATTACGTCAGCTATAGGATACAGATCTTGTTATGACATCGAGTGACGACAAAAGTTATGATCGAAAGAAAAACTATGATTGCTTTTCGAAAAACGTTCATTTTTAGCCAAGATCAATTTTCTAAAACGTGGATAAAACGCCGTTGGGAATTTTTGTAGACGTATGTCTACAAAAAATAAAAGTGTACGATAGTTGGAACTGAAAAATGCAATGGATGCGGGGGTGGGACAAAGGTGCACCTTTTTTTTGCGCACCCGACCAAAAGCGCACCTTTTTTTTCGCTGGAAAAGGCCGTAGAGCTTGAAAAATGTTTCCACATAGGGGAATCATATGCGTAGATTCCGAATTTCGACAAATTAGAACTCGCTGACACGTCAAATTTGGGCTAAGAGGCAAAAACTGCGGAAAAGCGTTAAGTTGCGAGTCAGCGAGTTCAGCGAGTTCTAATTTGTCGAAATTCGGAATCTACGCATATGATTCCCCTATGTGGAAACATTTTTAAAGCTCTACGGCCTTTTCCAGCGAAAAAAAAAGGTGCGCTTTTGGTCGGGTGCGCAAAAAAAAGGTGCACCTTTGTCCCACCCCCATGGATGCTTTTATTGTCTCGTGCAAAACGTTCGATTCTTTTAAAATTGAAAATCATCATCGATCAGACAATTCTTTAGGATTAACCGATTGTTTTCAAAAGTGAATCACAGGAAATTCGGGATGAAGCACATGACTGAAAGGAAAAAAAAGACAGAAGGACAGTCACTTTTGAATCCCCTCTTTTTGTACAAAGGATTTCAATTTACGTGCCGGAAACGTGCCCGAATTTTCAGGCAACCATTTCCCATTTCATTGCGTTTACTTTTAGGAAAGCTTGTACAAGATTTTTATTTGGTCTTAACGGAATATGCAATTACATTTGTGTTCTTTTTCAGATATAAAATGGGCAAAGTGAAAACGATAAAAGCAAAGGAGACGACGAACAACGGGAAGAATACTCAGGGTGGGGGTTTTTGTGTAAAAGCTAAAATTTTAGATATTTAGGTAACTCTAAACTTAATCTACCAGTGGAAAAATAATTTCTTACATTTATGATAACATCCTTTTCCCAGGTCTTCCATTTAACACCGATTTCGGTCAGCACATCCTCAAGAATCCGGGAATCGTAAATGCCATCGTCGAAAAGGTTTGAAAATTTTCAATTACATGATTAGAAATAGCAAAACTAGAAGCCAAAAAAGCACTGGTCGTTTTTTGTTTAGAGTGCTATCAAATCGAGCGACACTGTGCTCGAAGTTGGCCCTGGAACGGGAAATTTGACGGTGAAAATGTTGGAACAAGCGAAGAAAGTAGGTTTTCGTTTTTCGAAAAAAAACTGGTGATGCTTTTAGTTGATAGCTTTTGAGCTCGATCCCCGGATGGTGTCCGAATTGAAAAAGAGAGTCCTTGGAACGTGAGTTGTTTTCTTTACAGAAACAAGTGTCTAGAGTTGGGAGCTGTCTAGTTATTCCCCAGCTACCTAATGTTCTTTTAGCCCCGTTCAAACTCGACTCGAGGTTCGTCAGGGTGATGTGATGAAACAGGAATGGCCTGAATTCGATGTTTGCGTCGCTAATCTTCCATATCAAATCTCGTCTCCTTTCGTTTTCAAGCTCCTTCTGCAACGTCCACTTCCCAGGTAGATTTTTATGGAATAAAGTCTAGTTACCGAAACTCCCAAAACCAAAACATTTGTTATTATGAATTCTAAAAAAAATCATTTAGATACGCTGTTTTGATGTTTCAAAAAGAATTCGCCGAGCGACTATTGGCCAAACCGGGCAGCAAAGAATACTGTCGTCTCTCCGTGAATGTGCAATTACTAGCAAAGGTAAGTGAGCGAAAGGGTTTCGTATATATTAATACGATTCTAGGTTGAACATTTAATGAAAGTGAAACGAACCGAATTTCGTCCTCCTCCACAAGTAAGATATAGTCTTTATTTCTGGCTTTGCATAGTAATTTCAGGTAGATTCTGCGGTTGTTCGAATCGCTCCCCGAAATCCACCACCACCGCTTAACTTTGATGTAAGATCTAGCTACTTTAGTTTACAGTCTATATTAATAGGAATGGGAGGGCATGTTACGCTTATGTTTTATGCGAAAGAACAAGACGATTCTCTCCATTGTGCGCCTTTCGAATGTAAACGACTTGCTTGAGGAGAACTATCGAAGAGTTTGCCGGATGAAAAATAAAGTTAGTTTTGATTCAGTTTCTTGTGGATAAAGAATTTAGGATATTCCGGAGGATCTCAACTTCACCGAATTGATCGAGAAGGCGCTCACCGAATCAGGTTTTGCGGAGAAACGAGCTCGATCGATGAAAATTGACGAGTTTCTTCAATTGCTCATCATTTTCAATAGAATCGGTGTACATTTTCACGTTTGATTTACTACTCTTAACTTTTTAGTTGTTGTTTTCATGTTATTATGGTTGTTTTTTTGTTATTGTTGATTCTTCATAAAGTTTATGCCAGATTTCTATAACGATGTAAAAGAAACAAAAAACGAGCACTACTCGAGGATAGATACTAAACAGTTCTTAAATTGAGATCAACGCATAATCGGAAATTTGACAAATAATATCAATGGACAAAGACGTGCAACAGCAAGACAATAACCCTTAAAATCACAATCGATAAGGCACAGATATGAAAGTTGATAAAAATCAAAATGAAAAAAAAATACACTACCTAATCACAATCTTGGAAAAAACTCACATAATCACACAATCACTGTTATCATTTGATTGAGCATTCACAGTATCGATTCTTCGATCTACGCTTCTTGATCGTTCCCGTCTTCGCCTTTCTTGATTAGCCGTTGTCGGATCAAATGCTGCCCGCAGCGCTCCTCGACTATCCATTCCTGCAAGGCCCAAAGTAACCTAACTGCAACATTTACAAACCTTTCAACGGATCTCGTGGCACGATTTTCTTATTTGTTGATGCTGATTCTAAAATGATGGGCGATTACGAGAAAATGGTAAAAACCTGTGACACCATTTTGTTTTATTTCTTTGTCGACTCGATTTGTCGTCATGTCATTGTTCGAAATCGAAATTCCGCTTGCATCGGCCACAACTTCAATGTGTGCAAGGAAAACTTGGAGAATCGGCAAGTATCCGGTGCTAAATGAGGCATATATAATAACATTTAAATATTTCTTACCACATGTCTTTTGCCCAAAACATCAACTCATCACATCCGTACTTAAGTCTTTGAAGAGACGTTGTTGGTAGTGTTCGTGCAGTTGTCACATTCACGAAGTTTCTCAGACAGCTTGAATCACGGCGCAGTAAAGCCAGCTAAACATAATTAACTATTATTTAGAAGGCAAAAAGAAAACCGACCAAGAATACCCAATCAGTGGCTTGCGCCTGTTCGAAAAGGTTGATCATGTGCAACAATTGGGCATCACTTGAATCCGATCCGCGAACTGTCGCCCAGCCACACAAGAGATCGATACCTAATAAAATATTGATTAGTAAACTTAACTTAAAATTAAAATAATGTGATCAAAATTCTAATTACCCGAAATATCTTGAGCGGCTCCATTTGGAGTTCCGGGAGTGGGAAAGGTGATCGAAGAAGGCGTGGGACTCGATGTTCTTCCTTCATCATCTATTCTGGGTGTTCTTAGCTCTCTTTCACCCGATCCTTCCCCACTACTGCCTTTGCGCCCGTTTGACACTGAAATCAAGTGTAACCTTTGAAGAGTTCATAAAACTTACTTGCTGCTAACTCCGTGGGCCTGAGCGGAACATCTTGCACTATTGTTGAAGCTGTGTCTGATATCAAATCCTCCGGGAGAAGATTTTGAGTTTCTATAATACCTAGATCATTTCATTTTAAAAGTAAAAACTCGATACCTTTATTTGAAAAAGGCACAATTGGCGACGAAGGAATGGCAGGATGACTTGTTCGTGGTGTAGCTACACAATGCATAAAAATGAGAGTTAAAAAAGAACTCACTTGCTAAGCTCACGGAACTTTGGCTTGTTTTCATACTCCCGAGTTTACGCGCAAGATGATCAACTACTCGATGCCCAGCCACTGGATAAGGCCATCTAAAAAAGGGGGTTTAATATTTAGCTCTCATAGCATTAAAAAGCTCACTCGAACTGTGAATGAAGCCTTGAGATGGCGGCTGACCAATCATTGACGTTTGTTGAAACCCCCGAATTTGTAAGCAACGACACCAAATCAAAATTGAGATGAGCGCAAAAGAAACCTATTAAATGAGCAATTTTAGAACAAAAACATAAAGGTAACCTAGATCACGAATGCAATAGTCCCGTAGTAAATTTGCAGCATGCTCCTTTAATATGGCTTGCATTTGCGTTAACATAGCATTCGCTGAATTCGGTGACGGAGGTCCGAGATCCGAGGATAACGCCTATAAAAGTTTACTAAAAGTAAAAAGAAAAATTAACCTTGCTGAGTCGTCTCCCTGATCCACCACTATCTTTTCGAGTGGCTCCCGTTGGTTGAGTATCGTGGCGCATACGAGATGACGATTTTGTTGTAATTGCTAAGCAAAAAAATTCTGTATATTTTACGTAATTAACAATACCTGCTTGAAATCTCGTGACAAAGAGTTCATCATCGGCAGAGGTAGTGGTTCCTTTCCGTCTTGACGCTACTTTGGCCAGTTGTGGTGGAGGGGTCCTCGGTTGGCTTTCAATATCTTCAGCGTCAATGGAAGAAGCAAAACGAATCATATCTTGGGCCAAAGACCATTCTCCCGCTGAGAGGGCTTCTCGTAATAATCGAGCTGCTTGCTTAACAATAATATTTTACATAGAAAAAACTGTGGCTACAAACCCCAAGACTTGTATTTGTATTTTCAATGCTTTGTAACACAATAAGATAGCTGGCAGCTGTCTGCAATTCTCCATCTCGAAGGCACATCTAAAAGACGCTTTAGAAAGCATACTAACAAAATAAAAACTTCAAATGTGTCATTCGGTGAGCCGGTGACGCCAAACAAAGCTGGCCAAAGAGCGAGTTCGGTTTTCCTTGCACAATGAGCCATCGTCCGCAGATTTTCGGGAAATTTTTTTATGAAGCCGACAACACGAGGTAGTAACGGATCTGAAAAAAACGGTAATTCACCCTTGAAGATTTAAAATGCTACCTGGAATTGGTTCGCTACTTGTTGCTTCCTCTTCGAGTACTCCGTGCAATAACAATTCGAGGGCATGTGGAAAATAGGGAAGATGACGACACGATGACGCTATTTCAATTGCAAACTCGCCCAAATTCTTCTTGAGAAGTTCTTTCAGGATGTGATGTAGAAATACCTAAATGCAAAGGGTGATTCAAATTTGAAGCTAAATAAAGACCTCGCTATTTCGATGGACGTTGTAGAGAGTGGTTGAATGATTTCCTCCATAAACAGTTGGAAGACTCTCGACCCCCACAGCCACGCAATCCGAACTATAGATGACTAAAAGAAGAAATATTAAGATAATATAATTAACACTTACTAACAGGTCGAATATCAAGAGTAAATGGTAACATGTTACGTCGAGCATGGAACGACTCTTGTTGAATGTTTCCTCGGCGAGAAAGAGTTAACCACACCTAAATGAGAACAATGACAGCAAAATTCAGATGAATATCAAATGAAAACCTACTTTCATTCCTTTTGCTCCACAATAGATCCACATAGCATTCGACAGATGTTGAGCGGATCCTGTAAATTGATTTCATAACTCAAAAGTTTCAAACTCGAGTCAAACCTGCTTTTTGAGTCGATCCATGTGCTCTATCGTGCCATAAATGCTCCACAAATGAAGCAACCACTATCGGCTGACTCAGCTGCAAGTAAAAATATGAAAACAGTTAGCTTGCAAGGAATAACCTGAAACTTCACGTCCTCATCTGTATCGGTGGGCATATGTCCTTTCGGATTCAAAGTAATTAAGCGACCGGAAACATTCACGAGAACAGTGTCGACGCCTCGAACAAAAAATGAAGACTCAGGGACTGAAATATTTTTGCCTTTTGAAAGAAATAAAATGCTTACCATGCATATTCTTTGGTTTGTCTTGTATCAACTCGGTGACATGAATAGAAACTAAACAAGCCGGGTGTGGAATCAGATCACCAACACGAATTTCTGCCGCTTTTTCAACTGCCACTCTCACATAAGCATCCGCAGACTTTGAGCTCTGCAGAAAATACAGTTGTGTTGCATTCCTTATTTCATAGCTCTTACCTGACTAGCGGTCAATCGGAATAGAAGGATCCTCGATTCGACATCAAATGTCACAAGGCAATCTTCGCTGAAGCAGGTAAGGGGTAATATTTAAAGGGCAAACAAGTGTGAACTCACCGTATGTTTAGAGCTAAAATACGAGCTTCAGTATCATATTCGGAGCAATATTGATTATCCAGTTTCGTATTCAAGGGATAAAACCTACATCGGTATTCGTCTTCTCCGCAAAAATTATTTATACCGTAACAACTCTGCCGCTCGCTCGACATTACAGCACGCAACTCCAACTGTCCCTTTCCAAATAAATACTCCTCCTGTGGTGATAAGTTCGCGTTCCTACAAAATATAAATTATTACATTTACCGAAAATTACCCACCTGTGATTCATTCCCAAAAATTTTCCATTTTCCAGTTGCCAAATTTCCATGTGCAAATCCATGAGTACCAGCTATTACAAGGAAACGGGCCTCTTCACGATCAATGGAAGCAAACTACAGAGGAACAGAGTTTCAAGACAGCAAAAGAATTTTTACTCTGATCGGCCAATTATTTGCGAGATACTCATTATGCGGGGTTAAAGTTGTCCAAACAGAGTGTGGTGCAGATGCTAGAGGTTCACGTTCCCTTGCCGGCGATAACAATAACTTTGAAGAGCCAATCAAGAGAACGCGAGACGAATGTTCCTATACAATTTTGGGTCATATAAGAAAGAATAAAATCATACCATTGTAGGATTATTTATGGAAGCGTTGTGAACGATAGGCAAAAGAGATAAGCCGGTTGAACGAGCTATCCATAGATGTAGCCCTTCTGCTCCCCATTCTACACTCATTAACGATCCCATTGGAAGCGGCCTAAATCATAAATTCATTTTTTTCGACGAATTTATTTTCTAGTTCCTTTCTTTTGCTAAATCAGCTACTTACACGCTGTAGGAAGCTTCTAGTGAACACCAAGTCTGTCCGCCATAGGCACTGAATATTGCAAGTGCGGGAGTCGTCGTCTTGCTTTCGTTTTTCTAAAGATGATTACACAAATTTAGTTGGACAATAAAATGAAACCATTGGGGATTTGTTTTTGGGACCCCATATCACGGCAAAAGCGGCTCCATTTTGCAGAACGTTGATTCGACGGACCGGGCCAAGCCAGTTTAATAATTCTGAAATAATGGAATAGTTTGCAAAAAAGCCCTAGAAAAACCATACCTGGACCATCTTTGACTACCAAAGGAACCCGAAATGTTGATAAAAGAGCACCACTCACGTCATCAATGTGATACCCGGCAACGTCACCACTAAAGAAATATTTTTTAAAAATAAAACCCCGAGTAGTTACTTGCTACATCCAAAAACAAGAAGTCGGTGTTTGTGATTGACATCTACGCATGCTGCATCATTTAATTGAAGAGCCCAAACGCCAAGTAAAGTCTGAGGCAAGAATAAGCAACTTAATAAAAGGTATTTATACTGTTGGATGAAAGCGTGGATCGGAAGATGTGAAAAGAGAAGCCCTTCCATCATTCAATACCACACAATATCCACCCATCAACGGAGCATAAACCATATCCTTGATAAAGGTTCCTTCCGGAATGAATTCGGCTATAATAATTGATATAATTTCAAAAAAATTCAGAAAAAAATTACGTCTGCTTTGTAACTGGTCGTTAGCAAAGGGTACTGAAGATAGGCGAATGGAATATTCAGCATCTACCTAAAGTTCAGATGAAGAACATTTATGATGCAATTTGTTTCACCTGGCCAGACCATGAAATTCGATGAGCGAAACCATTCGTTAGGCTCACCAACAACTCTTCTCGCATTGACACGGCACTAAATAATTTTAATAAATAAATCTTTTATAAAACAAAATTAAAACTTACCACGTGGCTTTAGCGGCGAGATTTACAACGACAGCCAAGTTCAGCTTTGTGTTGGGACGAGGTTCCTAAATCGAATTTTGTTTCTTTAATAAAAAATATAACATCAATAATAAGTCAAACGTATTACAAAAGTACCTTCATGAAAAGCTCCTGACTTTGACGTTGAAATTGTGAATGTGCCGAATCAATTAAATTATAGCAATTCTCATTGGAGGTTTCCACACGGTAGATAAGAATGTGATTTCGAGAGGTCTAAAAGAAATTGAAGTACAAATGAAAGCTTTTATGCTTGTTTGGAAATATAAACGAACCAAAACTGCCAAAAACGAAGAATCGAATCGCCAATAGATTCGCCGAAAAGCTCCTTTCTCCAGGACATCAGCCGCATCTCTTCCCAATAAGCACAACAAGACTTGGGGCTAAAAAGCAAATAAATCTTCAATTATCCAAAGAAAACTTACTTGTGCAAGGTATAAATACAAAACATCGTCCGTGACAGCGGCTATCGTATTTCGATCTCGATTCGCGCACACATAATGAACAGGAGAACAATCAGATGAGCTCTCTCCATTCCACGGTAAACGAATTTCGGCCTCACATCCATACTAAAAGAAAGGAATTTGTTTTTACATTGCTAAAAGGCTTACCGGGAAGAACATGAATTATGAATCTTGAGTTTAACGGGTTGAATAACTTCGCATTTATCGTTTTACCTAAAACTTTGACATTTTTAGCGGAGTTCAAGGATAAATTGTGTGAGGACAAAGGTCTGGAGAAAAGATGGTGTAAATTCAGTTGGAGGGTCGGGATGGAAAGCACACTAATGAAGGGTCAATAGGAAGCAGCGGAAAGTGGAGAAGGAAGATTACAGGCGGTCTTATTTTGTCTCCTCTCAAAGGGCATTCATTTCATCAAGTAGTTTTGTCTGAATTTTACCCAGAAACATCATTTATTGTACCGCTTGGGGGTTGAAAATTTGTAAAAAAGGCAACGATACTGTTTGGGCTCTGATTTCTCTCGTTTGAAAGTCTGAGGTTTTTATAGCTTTTCTTTCCACAAAACAAATTTGCATATTGCGTGACAGCCTTTTTCGAAAATTATTGAGACAATCCAGATTAAAGCGCTGCCACGCGGTATGCAAATTGAGATTGTGACATAAAAAATTTTTCGCTTTTTCTCTATACTTTTGAAGTACCGATATTTTTGATACTGAAATGCTCCGTTTTCTTTTTTCACTCGAGCTTTTTTAAAATTCTGCGATAAACGAGATTTTTTTAAACTCTTTATTAAATTTTCTCTATCACAGTAATTTTAAAAAAGCTCGAGAGAAAAAAGGAAACGAAGCATTTCAGTATCAAAAAGTGTCTCCACATGGGGACACTTTATGGGGATATTTGTGGGCGGTACTTCAAAAGTATATTTTTCTCACACAATTTTTTTGACCTTGTCGTGGCCTTTAATTAAAGAAGAAGCACAGATTTTGATATGGTTCAGATTTTAGGTCTTTTTCGTTCATAAAAAAAAGATTCTTCTCCACTTTTTTGTATTATGCATCCACGATCTCTTTTCCCTCATGTCTCTTCCGAAAAGTTGTCTCTAACAAAAAACTCTGATAAAGTTTATATAAAAAAAAACCATGTTGTGTTAAATGCACCAAAAACTTCCCGGATCTCTATGAATGCGTTTTTTTGTTGTTAATCGACGTGAACAGTTGTCACTCAAGAGAGTTTCCTTTTCTCCCTCTTTTCCTTTTTTCCTTGGTTACTTTATGACTACCAACTTGGTTTAATGGATTTTCACATTTAGAGATTTGAAGACATCAATGCAAAGCTGATGGACGGGTTAAGACGTGCGGGTGGCCTTACCGCTCAAGCACAACTACTATGGCGAGCAACTTCGCAACCACGTAAAAAGGTATTTGCTGATTTTTTTTTATCGGTGATAGTAGAAATTATTTGATTTTTAGTTGTTGATTGACTTCTCCTCGCCGAACGTCGCAAAACAATTTCACGTGGGTAATCTCAGATCGACACTAATCGGACGATTCATCGATAAGGTTGCTTAAACTTTTAAATGACCTAATACAATTTTCTTAAGGCGCATCGAAATTTGGGCGATGATGTGACTTCGTTGAACTATCTCGGTGACTGGGGAACTCAATTTGCACTCATCGCTGCATATTGGCCACAGGTTAGTACTTTACGCAATTAATCTCCCCTTTTAATTGAGTTCAAAATTTGAAGATCTAAAAGTCATTGGAGACCTATATAGAATCGACCTTCCGATGCATTTTGGACAAAAGTGAGCGATGACGAAAAAATGAAGTTGATCCAGCAATGTTATGTTGTTGCTAATAAGGCAAGTTCACGTTTTTTGATGGATTTATTTTTGAAAATTAGATGTTAACGACCGAAGGTGATTTCAGAGTGGTTGTACGTGACACGTATAAAAAGATGGAAGATTTCCTTGTCAAGTAAGATTTATAAATTTTATGAGTTTCCTTTTTATCCAGTAGAGAAATATGAATTTTTAGAGGAGTAATCGAGGATGAGGTGATGCTACTTTGGAGGGATATTCGATCATTATCCGAAAGACATCTCGCACATTTTTACAAATTACTGGATATCACTTTTGACAAGTACGCTCTGTTTAAAAAAAAATAACCAGTCATTTGTTTTATTTAGAACCTTTTTCGAGTCGGACGAAGTAGCAGGTGCAAGAAAAGTTATCGATGAATTGGTTCAAAAAGGGATTGCTGTGAAGAGAGCAGATGGATTGTAAGTTTGACGGGCTTATTCTTTCATGAAATCATTTTAGATGGGTAGTTGAAATGGAGAAAAAGAATGCCGAGGGTAAAGAAGAATATTCAATCGTAAAGAAAAGCGATGATACAACACTTTACTTGACAAGGTAAGAACTATTATGATTTTACCATTTTTGTTTTATTATTTTAGAGATGTGGCTTCTATCTTACGACGTGACAAATTATTCGGAGCTGATCGGTACCTCTATGTTGTTGATCGAGCACAAAAAAGGCATTTTGAGGTAGATATTTTCTTCAAAAATGGCAGAGTATTTACTTTGTGTAGGAAATCGGCTATGTTCTTGGCAAAATGGGACGACGAGATTTGGCGGATAAAATTGAACATGTCATATTTGGACGTGTGCAAGGATTGTCGACAAGGTAAATTGTGATGTTCCATGCCAAGATTGGTCTCTTTGTCGCACATATTCAATTTTGTTCAGATTAGGCAAAACGGAAGCTGTCACAGATGTCATCGAACGAGGCTCAGAATTGGCAAGACAATACATTAAATCAAGTCCCACCGCCAAAGTCAAAGAAGAGGAAATAGCACAGGTTGTAGATGTTCAGCAAAAATATTCACCAAGTTGCTTAGTTATCACGCGTGCTTGCTTTGGATGCTATCACGGTGAACACGTTGAAGAGAGCGCGAGCTTCTGAATACGAGTTTACTTTCAAAAATGCTTTTGCACTCAATCAAAACAACGCTCTTCTTTTACAGGTTTCTTTACCCAATTTGGATATTTTAAGCCTGTTTAGGAGAAATATTCACGTTTATGTTCGATTGAAGCTAAAAATGCCGAGTTGCTCCCCAAGTTAGATGAGGATTCGAGAATCAGCGAGGGTTTTTAATAGTGGTTAATAAGCATCAATGTGCCATTTAGATGAAGGAGCAAAACAATTGATTGATTTCCTTAACGCAACGCCAGGAGTTTTGGTGGAGAGTGCTCGCCGGATGGAACCATGTCAACTCACCGTTCATCTTATTCAACTGGCACATCATATTGGAAGAGCCATTGCCAACCAAAAAGTAAACATTTCGATAGCAAGATTTATATTCGATATTCATTTTTATAGGTTTCTGGGGAGTCGATTGATGTGGCTGTGCCTCGTCTTCGTTTGTTGCTGACAGCTCGTCAAGTGTTGGCCGATGGGATGACATTATTAGGACTGAAACCGACTAAAGAAATGTGACAAATAGCACCGTCTGATCCGTAAGTGCCAAAGTTTAGTATTGATGTATCTGCTAACTTTAGATGGAATTTCAATAATTATATACACGGTCAATTGCGGATAAGCCAAATGGAGACAAGAGAATGGAATCGAGGACGAAGATTTAATAAAGGAAAAAAGGGAAACCGATTTCAGCACTTAAAAGAGGTAGTCGGTGATAAAGTTCTGTAAAACCATTTTCTAGGTTTTGTACTGGAAGTGGCGCAGAATAACAGGACGAAATCTAACTCCTCGATGCCATTTTCATTGTGCGGATGATCGTCATCAGCATTAATTTGACTTATTTCTTTCCGTTCAATTCGTTGACGAACCGTGAAGAAACTGCGATCATTATTTTATGGGTCTTTCATTTAAAATTTACTACGCTTTGGATCAGACGGTTAAATTACAAATTCAGTTTTTTTGGTACTTGTATGGTTTACATGACCCATTTTTTTGCTCGAAATGGAAATGGATTATGGCGGTTTTAAGGTGCGCTGAATTCGAATTTCGCCATCCCAGGTTGGGAAAATGCACTCCAACCGAGTTATACAATTTTTGAAAAACGTGTTTTTAGGCGTTTTTGATGTTTTAAATGCAAATTTTACTAGCAGTTCGGCTTAACCCAATGGGCTTGTTTAACCTGTTCAAACACGTTTAAGATCTTTATAACGCCCTGAAAATAACCAAAAGTCAGCATCCGATCTAATGATCGCCACACCAACGTCATCAATGAGTTCCTATGGAAGCAAGAATTTGGTCATGCTTCAGCGTTCAACTTCTGGAATGAAGTTCGTGACATGTATCCCTGCGAGCAATAAGGCTCATTTAAAACATCAAAAGCGCTTAAAAACACGTTTTTCAAAAATTGTATAACTCTGTTGGTGTGCATTTTCCCAACCTGGGATGGCGAAATTCGAATTCAGCGCACCTTAAAACCCCAAAGTGGTCAATTTCGAGAAAAAAAATGGGTCATGTAAACCATACAAGCACCGTTTTTCTTTTCTTAAATCTATTTTTTCATGCTGAATATAGGCTTGTTAGATTCCGTTTTGTATTTTATGGTTTAGTTTTTTTGTTACTTGAGTTTATAAATTTTATTCTGATAAAGCATCACCAAAGCTTAAAAATAAAAACTGAGGTAATATTGATCAAAATCAAAACGAATGAACAGCAAGGTTTCTAAATTGGTGTCTAGCCGTATAAATATATCGTTGAGTATCAAAATGGGTTATAAATAAATACAAACAAAACAACGAAAAATCATTTAAATAGATTGTGCATTCACTTCTTTGGATGAGCAAACTCCTTCAAGTGCTGTGGATTCTTTCGACTACAAAGTGATCCCCATCTAGAATTAATGGGTTGCATTTAGTGATATAAAACCGTTACTTGCAAGCTGGCAAGTCCTTCTGCTCGTCTTTTTTGTCATCTCCCATATTTTCCTCATTCGACTTCCTTTTCTTGCTCTTTACAGGGCTCTTTTCCTCTTCTAGCTTTCTCTTCCTTGGGCTGCGCTTTGGCGATGTGTTCTAAATATGCCAAACTATGACTCATACTAAAAGAAAATTACCTCAACAGCGACATTTTGTTCATTTTCTTGCTTCAATAAATGCTGCTCGTCTTTTTTGTCATCTCCCATATTTTCCTCATTCGACTTCCTTTTCTTGCTCTTTACAGGGCTCTTTTCTTCTTCTAGCTTTCTCTTCCTTGGGCTGCGCTTTGGCGATGTGTTCTAAATATGCCAAACTATGACTCATACTAAAAGAAAATTACCTCAACAGCGACATTTTGTTCATTTTCTTGCTTCAATAAATGCTTTGTGTCATCATCTTCGCCCTGAATTATTAGACAACTAGTATAAATGGCATCATAGGTTTGAAATTAACATGGTTAGAGCTCACCTCCGAATCGTGCATTGCTTGTCCCAGAGCTAGCTTGTCTTTTGAATAAATTGGGAGTGAATCATCTTCGTCTTTATCAACATCACTTTTTTCTTTTGAATTTTCGAACAAGATCTAAAGCGAAAAATAACTTGAGTCTGGCCTTAATGCCAACCTTCAATTCCCTGAGACATGTAGCCGTTTCTACATCTTTGTCGTCACGAATTTTTGTCACACGTGGAAAACGAATCGAAATTCCGTCAGCCGTATGGTTTGTGGATCGAGAGAATTCGGCGCCTATGAAACAATGCATATTCTAGGGGTCCAGATGTTAAAAAAACCTGTAATTTCCCAAACTGGTGCTTGCTTTGGATCCATCATAACAAAATCTGGGCACAATTGAGAAGAACAACGAAGCCATTTGGGAAGCTTTTCGACATCTCGTTTAATAGCACGCATCTAAAACCTTCATAGATAAAAGTTTGATCAAAAAAAGCACTTTTGGCTTCAATTCCTTGTTCAACCTGTCGAGAACTTCATCTGTGTGTCCATTACCCATTTTACAAACAGTCCGATACGTTTCAGTGTCTTCATCATATACTCCCATCAGAAAGACCGACATTTTACCGCCTATTAATTCCTTTTTTGAATCAAGTTCAATTTCTAACCTTTGTTTCCAGTTCCATAATAAGCTCCAAGAACAATCAAATCAGCAGTGTCAGCCATACCACCATCCTCCAAATAATCTTTCTTCACTTTCAACCAATGGCGCTTTCCAGGCTCATACACTCCATTCAAATCCTAAAAGCTTGGGTTACATCCAAAGAAACATTGAATACCTTGAGAACAAGCCCTTCCAATCCTTCATCAATGGCTTTGAGAATCATAGTTTTCAATTTATGATTTTCCTAAAATTAATGTAAAGTGTCAAGTGTATACAAAACCAACTCCATGCTTGATCACTTGATAATTACTGTGCATCACGTGATTTGGCACCTCCTTTAAGGTATCTTCCAAGAATTTCTTCCTTTCGGAGAGCGGCCTAAAAACCTTTTGTAAAACGTACATGTCTATAATACTTACTTGTCCTTAACAGGTACATCATCATAAAGCAGACAATCAAATACAAACAAGCAAGGAACAGCATTCGAGAATTTCTCTTTTTTGTGAATACCAAGTGTTCCAAAGGGAAGAGGTTTGCCTAAAAAATCAATCTTTTAAAATAGGATGTACACCCTACCAGTAGCTGTGTCAACCATCAAAATTTCGGCATCCAAAATCAGGTCTTTGGCATCAGGGAAAGCTTTGACAATATACTTATCAACGAGAGCAACCTATCATCACATTTTCTGATCAAGTTTAAATTTCACAAACCTTGTGTTTTACCACAGGCTTCAGCGAACGTGAAAAAAAGTCAAATTTGTCTCCCTAAAATGATTCTTCTTTGATAACAGCTGCCTATTCACCTTTTTATGTATTTGAACACGTTCTCCATCGTACTTGATTTCAGCCAACATTCCATTTGAACATCTTTTCATGGCAAATTCAACACTCTTGCATGCCTCAGCCTAAGTTTAATAATTTACATCAAAACTTGATAATGGACTCACCAACATAGGAAGAATTGGTGTTCCAAGAGTGATGTTCACCTAGAAGCAAGGTATAAAAACGTTGGAAATCTTATAGTACCGCAAGCGAGGACTTTTCCCCTGAAATTGCTCCTGTTTCAACTCGTTTGACAATATCCGCTAGATCCCTGAACAAAAGAAAAGATTTACTAACTGTAAATTTTTAAAAAACCTGCAACTCTGGAAAGCCTCATAAGCATTGGGATGAAAACCATCAAAGATGACTTTTGCACCTAGATAAATCAAGAAAAGTTAAACTTCTGACTGGTTTAAAACCTGCGTTAAACCGCATGTCCTTTTTGATCAACCGCAGAAGGTATTGCAATTCTCGTGGAGAAAGCCTAAATCAATTTAGATGTTTTTTGAAACGTTTCCATAATTACCTTTTTGTAGCAAAACGTAGATGCTCCAGCTGATCTTCATCGTGAGTTTTTTGTGCAAGTTTATCTAGCCAACGATCAATCTGTACTTAAAAATTAACGACCACACCAAAAATCAATGCAACCTTTTGAATACTCCAATCGCTCTTTTCAACAGAAAATTTGAAATTCTCAGCGGCTTCTTTAATTGTTTGCGAAATGTCGCCATTCTTATTATACTCGTCTGTGAGTTTCGCAGGTGGTACTCCAAAAATCTAAACAGACTTTGAAAAACCTAGAAAAAAATTGCTAGCCTGAGCAAAGTGCTTGATTAATTGACGTTCTTTAATGTTGTACACGCGCTGATCAATGCTGGGGATCAGGAAACGAAGAATAAGCAAGGTATCACCGTCATACCCATCTAAATAAAAGTATTTTGTGAATAGATAATTTAAATTACCCGACTTAAAAAAGCGGCGTACACAATCGGCTTTGTCAAGATGCTTGTTAACGTCTGCAATGAGCTCGCAAAGTTTGCACAACTAAAAGAATTCCATAATAGCTTTTCCATTTTTTAACCTTTGTAAACAAATTGAATTTGCTTTCTTGGTTCGCTTTACTCTCTTCCGTTTCCGGTTCTTCCTTTTTCACAGCCTTCAATGGTTCTCTCTTGCTGAAGAAGGCAGCTGCCTTAGCACTGCTTTGCTGCTCACTATCCTCTTCCTAAAACCTCACTAAACTGTCTAGTGAAAATAAGTTTTGAAACAAAACTAGATTCCTCCAAAGCTACCTTTTTGACAGCTTTTTTAACAATTGGTGTCAAAGTCCTCTGAACGCCGCCTCCCTTTTTCTCGCGTGTTTTCACCAAATCATCGATAAGCTCGGTGACTTTCACCTTGTCTTCATCAGTCATGTCAATCCAACCTACCCACAAATAGATTTAAATGCTTAATTTTATTTTACCTTCAAGATCACCGGGCTCCTCAATCACTTTTGTTGTGGCGCGAGCCTTCATGAAAGTGTCAAAAAGACAAATTGGATGAAAATACCTGAATGTTCAAAATATGTTTCAAATTTTAAACAACCCACGATTTCATATCCGGTGGAGGTCCTTCCGCATTTTGGACAAACGGATTGGGCGTGACCTTCGCCAAGCGTAATTCCTAAATTCAACATTTGAGCACCTGGACAACAATTTTAGATCTACAAGTTGAAAGCACTCACTCCTTTAGGTAGTTGCAATTTACATTTCTTGCAACCAGCTGCACGGACGGCATAGTCGCACGAGTAACGGGTACTCATCTCTGAAATGAAAAGCGAGTCGAGTGAAAGTTTGGCCACAAATTGCACGACAGCGCGAAGCATTAGCACATTGCGCTAAATTTTTAAAGAGAGAAAATCCCGCCTTGACAACGAGAAAAAAAGAACGCACAGAAACAAAATACTAAACGAGGGTAGGGGCTGATTTGCTAAGAGAATATTTGCACTCAAACGCGTAGCCACACGTTACAGGGAAGGGAAAAGGGGTGAGGTGTGTGAGTTTCGAAAAAGGATGACGGCATGAAAAGATGAAAGATTTACGGGACAAGATTATGAGAACTAGAAATGCAAGTGAACCGCGTGCGATAATAAAAATTAGCATTCTCTATTGAGAAAAGCAAGTAACCGAGTGCAATAAAGATATTCAAGAAAAGAACTTAAATTTCTCTTGAATATCTTTTGTTCTAGCATAATTTAAAGGATATTAACTCAAGAAGGGTAACACAGTCGCACTTTGGCTGTCCCTCTTCCTAACTCCTCCCTCATTTTCGCGCCCATCTTCCTCTTTGATCATTCTTACGCGCACTTTACCCCGCCTAAGCGGATATCTCTCTAATTTTTATGCACAAATGCATATTTCTTTTAGCTTTCCGTATTTTTATATCTCAAACTTTTTATATTTTTGCTTCTAGAAGATGGACGACGTAGTGATGCTGTCGTCAGATGATGAGAAACCATCCTCGTCACAAAATAGCCGTCCTTCTGTCACTGTTTCGAGCACGGCAAAAAAACAGGCGAAAATGTTGGACTACTATTCAAGTAAAACAGGAGGTAACTGTTCTATTGTATCTTAAAATTGAGCCCCTAGAGAAGTTTTATCTTTCGACAAAATGACAACTTTAGGTGGAACCACGAAAGCTAAACAAGCGACTCCAAGTGCGACGGTGAAAACGAACTCAAAGTCCAGGAAATGTCCCAACGAATCCAGGTTTGTTATATTAAAAGTTTTTAACTTTAAATTTGTAGTACCCCGAACGAGGAGACACTGAATAGTAAACAACCATCTACTAGTCAGTTGGGGAAGGTAAAAGATGAATCCGATAAAGTAAAATTTGGTCTTGTTACCAAACTTATGTTTTTTTATAGAAGGAGCAAACGCTCACTCCCTGCATTGCTCCCAACACTGGTATCATGAAGAGCCCTTTGCCTAGCGAGGAAATTGAGGAAAAGGCTAAGAATATTTTGAAAGTGAGGATTTGATCTGTGAACATATCTAAGTTTTAGTAGAAAGTATTTGGTTTTTCTTCATTTCGGAACATTCATCAAAGAAAAGCGATTTTGGCTATTTTGAAACGTAAGTTTTCTTAACTTATAAGTTTTATATTTGCTTTAGGGGACAATGATGTTTATATCTCTTTTCCTACAGGAGCTGGAAAGTCTCTTTGTTATCAGGTTTTTTTTTGGCGGCTTCTTGTAAGCAAAAACTTTAGCTCCCAGCTTTGCTTTATGGTGGAATAACGATTGTCGTTTCACCTCTAATAGCGCTAATTGTTGACCAGGTAAAACTATTTGTATACACAAAATACAAAGTATTAGGTGACTGCACTACAACAGAAAGGTATTCGGGCCGTTGCGATAAACTCAAAAATGACCGCCGATGAAAAAAGAATCGTACACGAGGTTGTTTCTGAAAATGTAAAACATTAAAGTGCTTAAGGATTTACGACAAACGATTCCAACAATTAAGCTGTTGTATATTACACCAGAAGGAGCTTCATCGGATCCTATTCAAAGGTAATTCTTATTGAGAGGCTTTACATGTATCAAGCATTCAGACTACTTGAATCCTTGAACAAAAGGAATTTGCTAAATTACATTGTAATCGACGAGGCACATTGCGTAACGCATTGGGGACATGACTTTCGGTACATTTTTGAATTTTCTTTATCTTGTTAATAAATTTAGGCCTGACTATCTGAGGCTACGCTCTTTAAGAAAAATCGCTCCACAAGTTGTTTTCATGGGTTTTAGTGAGCTAACAAATTTTAGGCCTTTTGGATTGCTCTTACAGCCACCGCTGGGAATCAGGCGGAAGATGACATTCAAAAGCAACTAGAAATGGTCAAGCCGCGAATATTCAAAGTGCCTATGTCTTAGAGGCTTCTTTTAAAGTACAGGATTTAGACTGGAACCTATCGATCAAACCTTTATTATGATGTCCAAATCAAAGAACTTATTCAAGGGCAAACACCTGAGGTCGGTTACATAGTTTTTTTTATTGTGTATTGCATCGTTTTAGCAACATTTGATTAGATTCATTACGAGGATACTTTTTGGGAAAAATGATGACGTTGACCTAAGTGAGGTATTTAAACGTGTTTTTTCTTTGACTAACTTAAATTTTAGATAAAAACTTTCCCAGGTTCAGGAATTATCTATTGTCGCACCCGCGATGAATGTGAACAAGTATAAAATTTTTTTAAACTCTCAAACTTTACCATTTAGATGGCTAGTGTTCTGGCAAAACTGGAAATGAAGGCATTACCGTATCATGCCGGGTTGAGTAATAAGGTATATAGCTTATTATCTTTTTATAATTTTATATTTATTCAGGTTCGAGATGATGTCCAGGACAAATGGATGCGAAATGAGTTAGCAGCGATTACCGCAACGATAGCTTTTGGAATGGGTATCGATAAGCCGGATGTTAGGCAAGCTTTGCTAGCTTTATGATAAAACTTGTTCATGTGTAGATTTGTGATTCATTGGACTTGCCCTTCAAATATGGCAGCTTATTATCAGGTTAGCAAAGGGTGATACTCAATATGCCACTTTGTTTCAGGAGTCAGGGCGCGCTGGTCGTGACAAAAAGCGCTCGTTTTGTCGAATTTATCACAGTAAAAGTGATAGTGGCATTCTCAAATTATTGATTAGCCGGGAGCTTGGCCAAATAAGAAACAAATCGAATATCAGTGAAAAAGCGAGGGATGACCAAATGAAGGCTATTACGCGTGGCTTTGAAAAAATGATGGGGTACATAGAGTTACCGAAGTTTGTTCATTTTGTTTTGTTGTTTAAATGGCTTTAGGTGCCGGCATGTTGCTATGGCGCAATTTTTCTCTGATAATGAGACAAAGGAGTGCAAAAAGAATTGTGATTATTGCGCAGATCCCAAAAAGGTAACAAAAATGAGTGATTTTTTAATTGAAAAAGATTTAGACAAGTAATCTCACGGATAAATTTCTAACATTGTCAAGCACTGCCCAAGCTTCCACCTCACGGGTAATGAGAAATTCGGCTGTCGATAGTGATCTTTATGGTGGAGGAAAAAGGTAATATCGGCAGTTTTGACCGTAGCGCAGTATACCTAATTATACCTTAATTTAAGGGGTTACAAAGAGGATAACGATGACATTTATGGATCGTTTGAAGATGGAAAGTCACGAATGGAACGAGAGCAGAAAGAAGAAAGATGTCAACTCATCGCTTCAGAATTGGCGAAGAGACACAAGCCCAACGTAGTTTTACTTTTAGACCCTAAAGTTAGTGTTCGTTTAGGTCAATGCGGAAAGAAATAATCCCTCTCAATCTCCAACAAATGAGCAGGGTTTGATTAGAAAATTTGCTGACAAAATTTTGGTTTAGCCTCTAAATTGGTCGGCGCTAGTATGACTCGGATTCCAAATGTAACAATAACGGTAAATATTTTTAATTTCTTTGCTTATTGCTCATTTAGAGGCGAATGGGGGTATTAACGACTTTCGAAACAGCTTTGAAGTCTAATTGGTTAGATGAGAAACATCAACTGGTTAGTAGCACCCTGGATTATTGATTTTTTTTGTACGGCTGGCTAATTTAGATACCAACTGCTGCCAAAGAAATGGAATGGGAGATTTACTCGTCTTCAAAATATGCAACGAATTACAATCACAAAGCTGCTTCAAAAGTTTTTGACTTTTATTTTTACAAAGGACTAATTTTAGCATTCGGAAATACAAAAGAAGACGAAAGAAAGCGTCGAGTTTGAATGGAAACCAAAAGAGAGGACATCGACTGTGCCTCCACAAGTGCAAGATGGTTTTGTTACAGCTGCACAAATGGTCGCTTAAGCCCCAAATGTCCATAAATATATTTATTCTTGTACTCTTTGACCATTTACTTTTATAGGATATACATACATGTTATGTTTATATTTTTCGGTATTGTGATAAATTGAATTGTTTTTTCCAATAAACCTTGTAAAAAGTTTTTTGTTATTGAGCAATTCCTAGCATATGGGATTCAAATCTCTTTTCTTTGTTCGCATTGGGATTGGGTAGGTGAGTACGTAGTGCTGCTATGTGCCCTGACCACATTTTTCCCTAGTCATAATAAATGTTTGGTTTTTATAGATTGCATGACATTGCTCTAATAGTAATATTTTGTCTCAAATCACAAAAAAAATTGAGTTGACATTTTTAGATTATTGTTGTAGAGAGGTGTGTGCGATGGGGGTACCGAAATTTTACAGGTTGGCTATTTATAAAGCGTTTGTGATAAAATGTTTTTAGATGGGTGAGCGAGCGTTATCCATGTCTCAGCCAAGTCGTTTCGGAGGCACAGGTAAGGCTAAATTTTTGCATAGGTAAATTCCTTCTCCAAATTCAGGTGCCCGAGTTCGACAACTTGTACCTTGATATGAATGGGATCATTCATTGCTGCTCTCATCCCGATGACGACGATGTCATGTTTCGGATCAGCGAGGAGCAGATTTTTACGGACGTTTCTGCGTATATTGATGTAAGTTTTAGGCAGGGTGTGGTATGTGATGTCTGTTTAGATGCTGTTCAAAATCATTCGCCCTAAACGTGTCTTTTTCATGGCAATTGATGGTGTTGCTCCACGCGCTAAAATGAACCAACAACGAGCAAGAAGATTCATGTAAGTACATATTTAGAATAGATTAAAATAATGTTTTTGCATGTTTACATGAGTAATATTTAGGTCGGCAAGAAATGCGGAATTTGCGTTAAAAGAAAGCCATCCAGACGGAGTAGAGTATTCCCGAAGGAAGTCGCTTTGACTCTCCGAATTGTATTACACCGGGTTTGTTTTTGTCTTTATTTTTGTATCATAGTTTAAAATTTAGGTACTCACTTCATGGTTGCGTTGCATAAAACATATTTTGGACAATTGGGTTCAACACAAAATCGAAACAGATCCACTTTGGAGACAAGATGCAGCACCCTGAGTGGTTTTGTCGGGGGATGATAAAGACACCATAAGCGACTTCAAAGTTTAAATTTGAATTTTTTAGTGTCCTGGAGAAGGAGAACACAAATTATGGATTTGTCTGGGCGGAACGTATATTGTGCAGGTTGAAGTCAATTGAAGGGAGGTTGAGAACAAAACAGACCAGAGTATGATCCAAATACACGACATTGCATGTATGGACTCGATGTTGATTTGGTAAGCAATTTGTTTGCCATTCAATCCACAAAACCCAGATGATGCTCGGACTTTCTTCACATGAGCCTCATTTTTCCCTTTAGAGAGAGGAAAAGCTAAATTTGCAGAGTTCAACCATCAAAGTAAAAGGGAAATGATCGGTTGAAAAGGTTCAGTTGGGAAGTGCACCCCAGCTAAAAATTCTAATACTAAGTTGCTATTTAGAAAAGAACTGAAAATGTTAGCTCTTTCATTTGCTCCATTTACAATTATTCCGGGAGTCCTTGAACAAGCAGCTCTTTTCGGCATTAAAGGTAGATTCTCGAGACATTTAATGAAGGTTAAAAAAAAAAATTTCTAATACAAGATTCTTTTTCCTTTTGACCTTTGAAAATACATATCGATGATTAAGCTTATGGGATTTTTATTAAAAGTTTTCTCAACTAATCTCATAGTTATTAACATGAGGTGGAAACTGATTTCCACCCCACATCTTCCCAATGTACATATTCATGACGATGCTTTATTTTGCTTTATAAAACTTATGCGCCGAAGTTCCAACTTTGGACGGTAAGTTTAAAAAAATATTTACACTGTAATGCAATTGAATGCTTTTAGGGTATTTGAACGAAAAAGTGGAATGCCTCAAATGCAATTTGTTCGAGAAATTCGTGCCTTTCTAAATCTATTAAGAAAAGGGGGAGCTGGAAATAGGACCGGATTCCTGGACAATATGCTATAGAAAAAGTTTGGCGGAACGACGGGAAAATAATGAGGAAAGGATTGAATCGCAACCGGCAGGCCAGTTTTAAGCTTCAGCAAAAGAGGGACACCTCCAAATGTGAAAAAGTGAGTTAAAAGAGGTTTCATCTGAATTGCATAATTGATCGACCTTGTTATTTTTCTCTGCGTGAATGGCGGCTTTCCGATCCGGATATGTCTTCTGCAACTGATGATATTATTATTATTGATTACGGGGACCATAAGATTACAGGCTAATGGTAAAAAAAAATTTTTACCTTTAAAGTTTTTTTTCTAGCTGCATTGTATCGTCCGACGAAGAAGACTCTTCAAAACAATCAAAATGAACGATCTTGTTGGTGGTAGAATTCAAACTGCGGAAAGATGCATTAAACGCAGAAATGTCAAATTCACAACCAGGTTTTGGTTTTTCTTTTGCAACTTGAGTGTATAAATTTTGAGAATTATAGACATCCGTACGTAAAGAAGAGTTTCAAGAGAAATTGAAAGAATAAGAAACGCAGGATGTTGGCTTGATAGCGAGCTTTCGGAAAACACAAGTTGAGGTTTGACCATTCAGTTTCTTCTGATTTTTGTGCTTTTATCAGAATGCTGGTCGACGACGATAAAACGAATCAATCGGAAACGCGCGTCATCGGCGGCAGTGGTTTACTGCGATTTCGTGAAAGCAACATGCCATATTTCGCTTTACGACTGTATGGCTTCAGAGATAAAATGTACTTCGGCAACATCTCTGCCAAACAGAAATCTGCGCACAAGCAGAAAGGCCGCACATCCGAGCTACAAATGAATTTATACCGTACTATCACGGGACAAGTTTCAGCTGGTTAATTGGTTGGGTTTGCTCTGTTTGATTTTTAAAGTAAATTATTTTCAAGGTACTACTCCTTTCCACTATTCGCCTTTCATTTCGGATCTCATCAATTTCACTTATGAAGTCGACATGAAATTTTGAATTGGAGTTACACCATTTCGGCCATTTGAGGTGCAGCTGTTGGCGGTTGCTTCCAGCCGCTGAAGTGCTGCATGTTTACCGTATAGTTACAAGGAGTTGGGAAAAACTGTGCTAAGTTATTTAAGTCTTTCAGTAACTCATGAAAGACCGCAAACTCTCTGGTCCTGATTTCTATCCAACCGATTTTTGAGATCGATCTGAATTTTATGTATGAATGATTAAGAGTTTTTGGTTATTGTTAGATATTATTTATAGTCCAATATTTTGACAGACGAATTTCAATTTAGGAAGCAGCTGTTCTTGTGCGCTATTTTTTCATCAAGACCAAGCTTATTGGAAGCTTAGATCAAATCAAAAGGTATAGTGTTTGTCATTGGCTGAGTTGGGGATCAATCGGATTAATTAGCAACTTTTAGTAAAAAATTTGCTGAGCAACGAAGAAAAGTGCCTTCGAAACGCAATATGGACTCGCCGCCGCTATTGATGCTTTGGTACACCGGTGACATTAGCAAGTCCGATGGAAAACTGTTAAATGTATTTTTCAAAAATTAATTCGAATGTACAAAATATTTTTAAAGTCGAACTACAATGATAAAAACAGCTCGCATTATTACAAGTCAACGGTGATTCATGGTAATCTCTTTGCAAGTAGATTAAATTCTAATTAAAATTTTGAGGAGATACTGATGCCTCTCTATCAAGCTGTAGATGTGTACTTTCCGGGATTTAGAATTATGTGCCACATTCCACAAAGAAGGCAACGCTAGATTAGGCCGGGGTGCCAAGGTTTCTGACTTTCAGTTTATTTTGCAAAGCCTCGTTTAGGTGTCAATGAGTCTCCAGCAAGCAAGAAGGAAAGCATTATTTTGAAAGCCAACAAGTAAACGTAAAGAACTAGAAAAAGGTATGCTTTCAGAAAATTACCCCTGGCACTTTTGTATTTCAGCCGTGTTTGAAACTTTGAGTGAAGAACTCCTCAATAAACAAGTCTACAACGATTGGCCGATGCTAGCTTTTAAGCACTTGTTTCTGAAATTTGGACAGTGGTGGCTTGACTCCTGTTCTCTGAAGTGGGAAACCTCCTGGGCATTTTTAGACTGAGAAGTAATTTTTATAGCATGGAAAGATCGAGAGGAAAAAGAGCTCAGGATCTCGATGATCAAAAGGATTTCAAGGATTCAAGAAGTGGCATTCGGAGACATGTGAGTGACTTTATTTTTAGCTTTTATTTTACTGTCTTATTTTAGTCGTCTTGTCCGATACGCCATTGATGTTGTGGGCCTATCATCATATTGTTTTCTGCAGAAAGTTTATGGGATTGTCCGTGACAGGTTTTAAAAATTTCTTGCTTTTGAGTAATAGTTCAAACCCTCAGTACGAGATGGTAAGCGAAAAAGACAAAAACAAAGGGGATCTAGCATCCCCCATTTCGAGATGTCTCTGTGTTGCTCTGCAAGTCCTTGTATCGGTTAGTTCTCAGCAGTTTTCAAAAAAAAATTGTAGCTTTAGAACATCGCGATTGAGGAAAACAGAACTTGTGCGATATACCGATCGAAGAAGCATATGCAGTCAACTCAAAGGTAGGTTTTAAGTTACCAATCAGGCTCAGCCAGGGGAGGGCGCAAAAGTATCATTTTTAAAAAGCTTTTGGTCCCTCTCCCGAAATCGGGTTGTGTGGTTCTTACTGGATGCCTTTCCTTTAAAACGTCTGAATTCTTTCAAGTTGTTGCATTTTTTTCAATTTTCTCAGGGGTCGAACCCTTTTGGCCGCTCGGGGGGAAAATTTTTCTGACTACGGGTCTATACCCAATGTTTCTGATTGGTTTAGGTCTTTGGTCATGGAACCCTCATGGGATGCTCTTTGCACATCCCGTTGCCGTTGTCAGCGAAATTAAAAACCCTGGAACACCGTGAATGTATGTTTATTTATTCTTTCATTTTAAATTCAGAACTTTAGGTCGAATCATCGCGAATGTGCATTATCTATAAAGGCGCGGATGTCAGTGATCTCGTCAAAATCGTTTCAAAAATTCTCTGCACCGCTTGGCTTCAATGTTTTGAAGCTGGAAAGCGATCTGGAAGTGCGCCTTGTTTTTAATTACGAAAGTAATCTCAGAAATTAGTTACTGACGAGGTTCCTCACGCGAATAACTGGAACTGTTCATCTTGTGACAGAAAGTCGGAGAGAATTTATAATCCAAATGCTACAACACCTCGTCTCAACATTGGACTTAACCCTTCTGCTTACCAAGCAAAACAAGGAGGTTTGAATTTTTGCAAAAATACAAGACTGAATCCTTTAGGTTCGTGATTATTCCAAAGCAATACAAGAAAACGGATACAGAGTTTTCTAATCGGGCTCGTTCAGCTTTTTGATGGAATACCGCAACAAGTCACTTTTGGACTCTTCATTAATCTTAAAGATTCTTGGTGATTTCGCGATTTGATTACGTACTCGAAAAAGCTGAAGAAACAAATATGAGCACTATTTCGCGGAGGATGCAAGATCCTTTGCCCGTAGTGGAAACATGTTTTGATGCTGGTTTGGCCAAAAGAAGCTCTGAGGCAGGAAGCGAGTCAAAGAGTTGAGAGAATTTACATGAAAGAGAAGCCTGAACAGCTTCCATAAAGGTTATTCCGAGGCGATCTCGACCTCAATGCATCGGTAGTTTTCTCGTACCTTGTGCATAATTTTACGTTGTTTTAGCTAAGCTTTGGAGAAAGCCGACCGTAGCATGATACGCACGAGGGTTCTGATTAGGGGGAAGAAAGTGCCAGTGATCAACCCAGCCGTATCATCGAGTATGTATTAAATTCTCCCTAAAATCCAATATTATACGCTTTGATGGATGGAAAATGTCATGCTTTGATCCTAAAGCCGATTGGGTTTGTCTGGACCTCCAGGAGTGGCTTGGTGTTGCTACGAAGGTGGAACGGTAAAATTGCTGTGGTAAACAATTTTTTGTGAACTTTTTGACTCGAAAATATAGGATCATGGCTGGCACTATTATTGGGTTGATCAATTTTGTTAGAGTTCTCTCTTTGACAGGCCTTCGCAAAAGATGGTTACAAAATTGCGGAGCAATTTCCTGGGTTGCTTATCTCTTGTAATATTTGAAACTATAGTTCACTCACACAATGTTACTGTGGGCAAAGACACAAATCATCAACATAACGTTTGCAAAGAGCGTAAGGGAAAAGAGGAGCAAAAGAGCAAGAAAAAGGTTCCCCCTTCTTCTCTCAATACAAATCAAGATTTATTTTAGAAGCCAGCACAGACCCGTAAAGTTTATTGAAACAACACCGGGCCCAAGTACACAAAATGGGAAACCTAGGAATGAAAACCACAGGCACAGGTAAGAAATTCGGGCTGCTTCTGTATTTTTATGCAAATCAGACGTCTACGGCTAAGGTGACTGACTTTGTTCCGTTGATTTTGAAAGATAAACCAAGCAAAATCACCAGTAAATATGGTCAGTTAGGTTAGCGAAGCCATTTATTAAATTTATAGAAAAACGTGGAAAAGAAAGTCACGGAGACAAAGCCAACAGCAAAATCGCTATCTACAGAGAAGGTTGAAACGGTCTCGACTGATGCAAAAGTGGGTGCCTGTTATTTAAGAAAAGAAAGTTCATTTTCTCTCTTTAGAAAGTCGAACTTGAATTGTCACAAATGTTGGGCATTGGATTCACTAAAACCAAATCAGGTTCACCAACATTACATGAGCATGACGAAAGTGGCAGCGGTTCTGTAATTTCATTCCTCCAAAAAGGCGCATGGTCAACGTCGAATAAAGTTATGGAAACGCTTGAGACCTTAAAAATGAATTTTAGACATCAGTGAATGCAACTGAAGTCGAACCAAGTAGTAGTGCTGAAAAAAGTAAGACGAAGGAAAATGATGAAAACCAGGAAAAGGATGAAACAGGTGACTGGGAGGAAGTTGGAGAACCTGTAAGTGTCGAACAAAAGATTGTGTTTAATTCAAGGTTTGTTTATTTAATAATAATTCTTGGATTTGTATATCTAGCCAGCGGGGAAGTTTGAATTCGCAACCACCTAGAGACTTCAGGCAGGTCAACTATGGAAGAGGAGACAATTTCAACAATTACAGGTACACTTGTGCTGCGTTAAAACAAATGCATAATTTTTAGTGGAAGATCTCCCCGAGGTTTCATGCAAAATTCAACGTTCCGGCAACCACAAATTTTTGTTAACGTTAGTGATCTTGTGTTAATCCTATTTTAATAACAATTTTTAGCGTGGGCCTAGCTATTTCTTTGGAAACAGCTCAACGAATCCAAGAGGAATGCAGAGAGGAAGAGTCGGGAATGGTTATCGTAATCAGAATCACGAGCAATTGTTGAACAATTCAGATCTTGCACCCAGTGCGGTTAGTTTTATTTCTTATATCTAACCAAATTTAATAAATTTCTTTAGGTTTCTCGGCCTCGTTTTAGTCGTGGGCGAGGTGGTTTTAACTCCAAAAGTTGATCACTCTGAAGTAGAAGCGCAACCAACATCACCACCAACTACAATGTATCTATTAGATTTAATATATTTTTAGTATTTGACGAAATTTAGCCAACAAAAAGCGAGCAAGGAGCTCCACCATCTGATGCTGTACCAACAGAAAATTATTCTAAATTGCTTGGCACAAACAAACCAAGAAAAATCAAGACTTGCCGCAAACTTCAGTTCGACTTGGTCTTATTCATTGATGTTTGTTTTGTGATATTTTCATTAAGTATTTTTGGGTAGAATTTTTAAAATATCCTTATGGTGAAATGATTAAGTAGCTGTTATGATTTTTCCAGTGATTAATTATTTACTCATTAGCGTCTTTTATGTTTTTCCCTCACATATTATTCTAGGCGTATCAAAAGGATAAGGACGTCCGTTATATTTTCTAACAAAATGTTTCTATCGACTGTGTTTTTGACCTGTATTTCGACAACTTTTATCTGTAATTCTGTTCTAATATCTGTTAAAATAAAATATGTTGTTATTATTAGTTCTGGAAATCAAGAACGTTTAATATCAATTCCAAAAAAATATTTTGAAGTAAGAAGGGCGAAATTGATGGATGATTGGTTTGGGTGGTCACAGTTTCTTTTGCGCTTGTTCATCGCGTTCAGTCTCGCTATTTGGATATCTAATTTAAACGGGGTTTCGGTTCCTCGGTTCTCTCTAATGTCGAATAGTTCTCCTCTCGGGTTTTTGTATCATTGTCTTTGTTGGTATGGCCAAAACAGAAAAAGAAAAGAGTTCGCTACAGACGATCAATCGATATAAGCAGCCAGGATGGGGGAAGGCCGACTCACCCTCCCTTCTCTCATTCCTTCCCTTCCCATCATTCCCTCTCTTCTTTCCCATTCTTTATTTGCTAATAGGTCATTCAAAGTGGTACATCCGTTTCCTGAATAACTTTTTATTTCAATAAACAAACATCTGATGTACTTTTAAAGTTCTTTGAAAATTTTCTTATTTTTACCCCTTTTCTGAGCTTGAATCACTTACGAGACAATTCAGGATGTCTCAAACTGATGAGTCGGATATCGAGCTGAAAACACGTTTTGGGGGCAGGTAAAGGATTTCTTTTAATTAGGTACCTAGCTCTTGAAAATAGTTTTTCCTGTTTACTTATTTGAAACGTACGTTTAGGTGCTCGTTTTGTATCAAGGCTTCCACTTCGCCTCGAGACATTCCTCGGCTCACTGAGAGAAGCCTGCAAGCAACAACAAAATCAGCCGATCACTCCGTGAAATGGATTGACGATGAAGGTGACGATGAATAAAAAATAGTTTGATAAATTATGTTCAGGTTTTGACCATAGTAAGCTTCCTTTTAGGAATCCTGTACAATTTCGTCACAACGAGAGCTTGATGAGGCCGTTCGATTGATGCGAGAAAATGATGAAGCTGAATTGAATGTTCATGTTTTTCAAGTGAGTTTTGTTAACTAAATGGGTTAGTTAGTGGTTGCTTTCTTTTTTTCTTATCCTGTTTTCCTTTCTATAACTTTTCCAAACTATTATTTCAATACAATTACAAACTTAATCATCTCCTCCCACTGGGATACGCCCTCACGTTCGGAATTTTTAATTGGTATTACTTCCTTCCCGTTTCTTGTTTTCCTTCGTCGCCCTCGAACCGCTCTCTTTGTTCAATGAATAGACGGGGTGGCGGGGCTGTCCCCGGGTTTTTGGAGGGTGTTTTTTTTTTTTTCCCTTTTTTCGGTCTTCGAAAGGTGGCCCTTTCTTTTTCTCCTCTGGATCCCTCCCCCTTTTTTCCCCCGGGCGGGGAGGACCCCCCTTCTCCTCTTCTTCCCTGTATTTCCCTTTTCTAAATTGCCCATTCCCACTCTTTTCCCCCAAAAAACTTCCCGGGGCCGGGCCCCGTGATTCGGGGGGCTCCCATGCGACGTTCCTATTATCATCTTTATTAGGGAGCGCCCCGGGTTCGTGCTTTGGCTTGTTTTTTGCTGGCGCCCAGTTCCCTTTCTTGCCTGTGCGTACCCTTTTTTTTCTATTTTTTTTTAACAAATTCGGAGGGGTCATTCCTTTCCCCCTAGTAACTCCGATTTGGGCCTTTGCTCTTTTATTCATGTCCTTTCCGAGGGAACAAAATCATTTGGTACAAAAAAAAAAATGCTGCCTAAAAATTGCTGTTTTTCTTTTTTTTTTCTTTTTCCCCACAAAAAAATAAAATAAAAAATTTCTTTTTTGTATCGTAATAAGAATCCCCCACATTTCAAATTTATATACCAAGCTATGCTTATTTTTTTTTTTTTTTTTTTTTAAAAATATAATTTTCAGGGTCTTCCTGCCCTGCCTGGCCTTCCCGCACATGGAGAAGATAGTTGGTTTTATCTAAACAATGTCGAATTTTTCCAAATCTTAAAAATCATGTCTGTTTTATGTTTAATGTTTATTTTAGAAATGTCTATCGACGAAGTGCGACGCGCTGGAAGAAATTTTATCATGTCAATGGGCATCGTTTCCAAGCCAAACGTCTTAGTGGTACTTTTTCAACCATTGTTTAGTGAGTGTTGCACCTTTTGTTCATTGGTTTTACTTTTTGCGGAAAGCGGTTGTTTTAGCGCCGAAAATCAACAATTAGCGCTTTAGCTGCGATTTTATTAGAATGAAAAAGCTTTCAATTTCGACCTTTCATTCATTTTTGCATTGATCACTATTCGTGAAAAGCAAAGCGAGTGTTTTAAGATTTTTCTGTTTTTATTTTTTGCCGGAAAAAGTATTGGTTTATTCCTATCAATTTCCTGATATAAAATCAAACTGGGGGCAACAGGGATCTTTGAAATCTGTTCCACGATCTTTGAAACCTATGGTAAATCTCAAGCGATTTCGATGTACAAAGTAGACGATCTCTAAAAATATAGCGTCACTTTTGTTAACTTTGTAAATTTAGGCGTATCCAATGCATGATTTGTCACGACTACATGTGGGGAATCGGTCGACAAGGATTTCGATGTGCTGATTGCAAATTGTGTGTACATAAGAAATGTCATCGTTCTGTGCGCACACCTTGTGGAGATGTAAAGTTAAAAGCTTGTTAAAAAGTAGCATTTGCCATTTTTAAGAATGTGACACCAATTTTTCCGGAACGGGAGAACCTGCGCCACGGCCACTTCAGCCACTCAATGGTCATCAACCTCAAGAGGTAGCTTGGTATACCTAGTTTAGTCAACAATAGCCTGACCGGTTTAAAATATAGCATTTCTCTTAGATGAAAGGTAATCGAAAATGGCGCTTTCAAAGAAAGCGAAATTGAGACTGATGAGAATGGAATTTCGGTAACAAGAAGTAGCTTTTAGCCATAAACAGATTGTTTAAAGCCATACCCAACGAGAACACAATCCGATAGTCGATGGCAGGTCTCACCTAAACGACTTCAATTAGTTGACCGTTATTGGAAGAGGATCGTATGCTAAAGTAATTCTCAAAAAAATAGTACCAATGATATTAACTCTTTTAGGTCGTGCAAGCTGAGCATAAAAAGACGAAACAAATTTATGCGATCAAAATCATCAAGAAACAAATGTTCAATGAAGATGAGGTAATTTTAAGAGCAATATTGCTTTGAATCGCAAAGATTGAACTTCGGTATGCCCATGTTTTAGGACATTGACTGGGTGCAAACGGAAAAGAGTGTTTTTGAGGCAGCTTCCAACCATCCTTTCCTTGTCGGCCTCCACTCATGTTTCCAGGTTTATACTTTTTTATTTTAAGTTGTGCTCTTATTGATAGAAGTTAGGAATAAAATGATTTAGACTGATTCCCGTTTGTTCTTTGTGATCGAGTTTGTTCCTGGCGGAGATTTGATGTATCGTGCAACGACAACGCAAATTGGCTGAAGATCATGCACGGTAAATATGAATGTGACTTATTTACACTACTTGAATGTTTTTCAGATTTTATTCAGCCGAAATCATCCTCGCTTTGCATTTCCTACACTCAAGGGGCATAATTTATCGGTTTGCCTTGGCGTTTTAAAAATCATGAACTTGATGATTTAGTGATCTGAAACTCGACAACGTGCTCATCGATACGGATGGACATATTAAACTAACGGATTATGGAATGGGCAAAGTAATTTTAAATTTGCTTAACTTATTGATAGTTTTTTTAGGAAAACATCGGTCCTGGTGATGTGACGTCTACATTCTGCGGTACTCCAAACTACATTGCTCCCGAAATTCTGAGAGGAGACGATTATGGTTTCAGGTATGGTTACGGTTTTGAGAAGTTTGGCAATTTTGTAAGTTTAGCGTTGATTGGTGGGCGTTAGGTGTGTTGATGTTCGAGATGATGGCCGGACGATCACCCTTCGATTTTGTTTCACCGACTGGAGATCAAGACATGAACACCGAGGGATGCCCTTTTCCAGGTTTGTTTGTTTTACTGTTTTTACCTTTTGGCATTTTGGTATAATAATCAAAGATCTGCTTTAGACGATTCTCGAGAAGCAGATTCGAATTCCACGCAATTTGTCGGTGAAAGCTTCCCAAGTTTTGAAAGGATTCCTCAACAAGGTGACATTTAATTTCTTGTCTTTTGTCTTGCATTTGTAGGAGCCAACAGAACGGCTTGGTTGTTGTCGAGATTTAAGCCAGGCTCTTCAAGACATGCAAGAACATACATTCTTCAAAACATTTATCGATTGGAAATGGTAAGTTCTAAACTTGACTTTTCCAAAATTTGTGTTTTTAGCTCGAACAACGTCAAGTACCTCCACCCCTATAACCCAAATGTCACCGGCATGCGAGATCTTCAGCATTTCGATCAACAATTCACCGAGGTAGCATTTTGCTTTTGTTTCTATCCAGAACCTTTACTTCTCCTGCCCAATTTTGATTAAATATTTCTCTTTAGGAAAATCCAAACTTAACTGTCGATGATCCATCGGTTATTGCCCGAATCGACCAGAGTGAATTTGACGGCTTCGATTATGTGAAATCCTCTTAAAATGAGCACTGAAGACGAGGTTTAGTTTTCGGTCGATGGTCGCTTTGAGAACAGTTAATTTATTCAAGTTTATCTCATTTTTATTCTACCCTTCTACTTTTTTACTCTCACATTGTGCCACTTTTATCAACCACAAATATCTGTTCCTTTTACGCGTTGTGTCTTTTTGAGACTGTGATTTCCTTTCTTACAAGTCTTGCATATTTATTTTATTCCCCGAAATTCCATGTGCTATGCATATGCTCGCATTGTGTCGTGTTTGTCGATTTAGGCGTACTTCACTTTGACACAAATTTATTCTTTTGACAGGTTGCATACCCAATTCATTTCTGTTGTTTTAATCGCTCCGATTTACTGCAATATTTTTTAGTAGTAGCCTTCTAAAGAAATAAAATTTACCGAGTTTAACCGGAGATGCAAAAAATGGAATGGTTGAGCGTGGAATGTCAGAATGAGAGATTAAACTTCAAAAAAAACAAAGCAATAAATTATCGAGGCTACATTTCTAGCAAAGAAACTATCTAAGATGCGGTGGACCGACGCAGAGACACGTTTTGCGACAAAATAGGAACCTCGTGGGACGGTGTCGCTCACACAGACCACCATCTGCCCAATCTCTAGAAATTTGGATATGGAATTAGCTATTTTGCATTGATTCATTTATTCATCACCCACCGACAGAGTGGCCCCTTTTCGTCCTCTTCAGTGGCACAATCGAAGACGAAAGGACGCCCTGAAATGATTTGGCTTAGGTAATTGAAGGTTTAGCATTGTAAACAAGTTACCGTAGTTCCCTAGAAGAGTTTTACCTTTTAGATTTCATTGAAAAAAAAAATTGAAGACGTGAGTCTTATATTTTACAGGTTTTACGGTAACTCATTTGCATGAATGCTTTATAGCTCTTGGAAAATAGATCTCTAAAGCGATCCCATAACAAATTCAGCGTCTAATCTTTCAATTATTAAATTTGTTGATTCCGATTTCTAAGCGAAATTCGATTTCATCAGCTTTTCTGAAAAAAATCCCAATCAGAAATCGAACGTTTCCAAAATGAATATAGCCAGGTCTATCTGCAAATTTCAGTCAATAACTTACAAGTTTTCTTCAACGATTTCTCGGCAATGATCTTCGCCGTCGGCATCAGCTCCTCTGAATTACGAAAATGATTACAAAATTGAATGATTAGATTTTAGTTTAATAAGTATTGCACGTGGGTTTTAGTTATCGGTGTTATCGGTGATTTTAGTTATCGGTTTTAGTTATCTGTTTTAGTTATCGCTTTTAATTATCGGTTTTAGTTATCGGTACTTTTAGTTATCGGTTTTAGTTATCGGTTTTAGTTATCGATGCTTTTTTCTCACTACGAGTGCCGCGTGACTCGAAGAGGGGATTTTTGAGGAAACGCTCGGGTCGACTTTTCGCTTTCTCAATTGGCGGGATTCCCGGATAGCCGACAGCATGCGATGGATCTAAAATTATGTAAAAAAACTGTGCTTTTTTCAATGAAAACCGATGGGTTTTGTGTCCGGTTGAAGGGGTCCTGTCGGGCCTGAAAATGTGATGCTTGGGGAAAGTTTTGGGGAGTGCTTGGGGGAGTGCTCGGGTTTACGCAGAGATTACGTGACTATAGGTACAGTAGGCTCAGCTTCATTGAGCTTGTCTTACTCTACATAAAATCGATTGTGTCGTAAATATGTTGAAGTTACGATAAAGTCTGGACATCATATGGATCTTTAAAAAGTTCAATTCTGCAGTGTAGCTTTTTTTTGGTTTTTCCACACACCTTTCCCCTCCTCGTAGCCAGATGGATGAATTTTTGGCTCTAAAAGTGTTAGGATTATTAGGATTCTTATAAGTTAAGATTTTTATTAGTTAAGATTCTTATTAGTTAAGATTCTTATTAGTTAGGATTATTATTAGTTAGGATTATTATTAGTTAGGATTATTATTAGTTAGGATTCTTTTTTTTAGTTTTTTTTTTTTTTTTTTATTTTTTTTTTTATTCTTTTTTTTTTTTTTTTTTTTTATATTTTGTGGGTTCTTTTAATTCTTATTAGTTAGGATTATTATTAGTTAGGATTATTATTAATTAGGATTATTATTAATTAGGATTCTTATTAGTTAGGATTATTATTAGTTAGGATTCTTTATTAGTTAGGACTCTTATTAGTTAGAATTCTTAAAAGTTAGGATTCTTAAAAGTTAGAATTCTTATTAGTTAGGATTCTTATTAGTATTAATTACAGTGCTATTATATTTGTTCATTAGTATTCTATCTTTTATCTTTTATCAATTTTTACCCAATCCTGGTGGCTCGACGGGTTTTCTAAAAGAAACTTTGAAAAAAAGATTTGAAAAAACGGCAAACTTTGTCGTAGCTTGGTTTGTTGGTGGTGGTGCTGAAATTAAATGTAATTTAAGCTTAGAAAATTATTTGTACTCGGATACGCGTCTTTTGGCTTCACTGTTGTTGCTGTTGGTTCTTCAGTGCTCAATTCTTTCGGCTGCTCACCGGAAATCTCGTTAGCCAACACGCTTCCATTCTGGAAATTTGAAATAGTTAACCATAGACTGAAGCTACAATGTACCGAAGAGCCTTAATAGTTGAGAATTTTAATGAAATAGACAATACCACGGTACTGTAGTACTGTAGGGTAGGTGCTTTATAAGTTCTGTAGGTAAGGTGCTTTAGAAGTTCTATAGGTAAGGTGCTTTATAAGTACTGTAGGTTCTGTAGGTGCAAGTTTTAAAACTTTGAAACCTGTTCAAAAGTTGTGGTCGTTGTTTTAAGCTGATCGCTTGAGTTTTCGGGTTCTAGGAGTGGCTGAAAAGTTTATCGTTTTTCTTATTTTAGCTAATGTTTTTTGTTTTTCAATTGTCCATTTTTCCATTCCCAATTGTCCAAATGTTTTTTTTTGTTTTCCAAACAGAAACCTCCAATTTGCTTGTCTCGTGCGAATCATCATCATTTTTGAGTAAGGTTTCTAAATTTTCAACTAATTTTGTTTGTGTAACCTCTTTTTTTTTACTAGTTGTCGTCGTTGAAATTAGCTCTTCTGTGAATGCGATTGGCTTTTCGGAAGCTAAACAAAACTTACAATTAGCTATTTTATGAAAGAGTTGTTTAAAACCGTTTTAACCGTTTTAACCGTAACCGTAAAAACCGTTTTAACCGTAAAAACGTTAAGGGTTTAACCAATCAACCAAATTTGAGAGATAAAATTTTGCATTTATGATATGAATCTCAATCAAAATCCAAATTTGGTGAGGATGGGGAATCAAAAAAAAATGATTGCCGACTCATCGCCTTTTAAAAGCTCACTTGTTTCTTGTGTGGTTGAATCGATGGTTGGGGCATTGGTTGCTTTGATGGTTTCAGCTTTGATGGTTGGGGCATTGGTTGTGTCAAATGCCGTAGTTGTGACTGTAGATGGCGTTGACTCTTTGCTCTCCGCTGGTAGAACGATTGCCGCATCTGAAGCTTGTTTTCAAGATTCGAGAATGAACTTTAGAGCTTACACGGATCTCCAGCAGCAGCTGTGCTTTGTGTTGTTTCACTTTTCGCCAGTTCCTCTTTTATTTTTCTCTGTCCTTGCTCAGTCATATGTTTCTCGGCATCTTTATTCAATTCAGCCACTTCGATCTCTTCCGAATCGGTCGGTTCTTTGTCTTCTGTAAAATTGAATAGGTTGAAAAGGTGAAGAAGTTGTAGAAAATGTTCAGCTAGGGAATTAAAGACAAATTCTCACACTGTATTGTACTGTACTGTACTGTGTACAGTACAGTACAATACTGTTTTCTATTTAATAGCTCTGTACTGTAAACTCACTACAGTATGTCGATGTGTTTTTAAAGCTATTAGTCCGATACAAACGAGTTTAGAGAGAAGACAAACTTTGCGAGAACTTTAAGTGAACACAAGTTAGCGTTAGTTAGCGTTAGGATCGTTAATCGAAGTCTACAAGATGTAAAAGTGTAAGATCAAGCTTCTTGCTTGATATCCTCCAATCCCAATACTCACTATGATCGATTGGTGTGCTTGCTTGAGCGATTTCCGTGGCAACAGTTGTAGTTGAGTATTTTCCATGATCTCCCGATTTCTCCGATGCATATCCACCACGCTCCGGCTTATCTGTTTCTTTGATCGTTTCTTTTGAGGCTAAAAGTTAAAAAACAAACATATTGCAACACTGACAAACTTCAAGTGAATACAAAGAATTACTGTAAATACTGTAATAGTGCCCCACCCCTCTCGTACAGTCGAGTAGTCGCAAAAGTTTTTTAGTATTTAATTTCATTGCTTTTTTTTAAAGCGCCCGTACTTTCAAAAAATGCGTCTTTGGTATCAAAAAATAGCCCTGAATTTCAGCTATTTTTTAATATCTAAGCGCGCTATCGTAGCATAAACCAGTGTCGAGAAAAACTCGTTCAAATTATTCCGAATCCCTACCGTATTATTTGGGGGTAAAATTTTTTTTTGTTTTATTCTCTATATTTTTTTTAGAATAATTAGGAAATATCATAATTTTTTGTTTTCGAAAAGTTTAGGGGTCTTTGCTGACTGTGTTGGTGTTAGTTTTGGGTTTATAGTTAAAAAGAAAGCTAGACTACGCAACACTCCGCACCGTCATTATGGGGATGGGGTACTATTACAGTATTTACGGTCTGTGAAAATGTGGATAAGATGAGCTTAGTTAGATAATAAAATTGAGATGATTTCAGTGAAGATCTTTTGTACAGAAAGTCAAAGGTATAAACAATTTTTGTATGGCTTTGAACACATATCCGTGCAACACAAATATTGAACCGTTAACTTGAGTTAATAGTCTAGACTTCAAGAGACGTGGATTCTTGGTTCAACGGCACTCAAACCACCAGTCACTTATAGATCTTATAGTCACTGATACTGTTAACGATGACTTGGTGCTGGCGATGACTATTCGAGATCTAGCAATCTTGGCAGCGCTTAGCACTGTTTCAAGTTAAGTTCCGATATCTATAACTCACTCGTTTCTCCATTTCTTTCACCATTTCCTTGTTCATATCCAGAAAGCGGGCTCTCCCCTTCTGCTGATTCTTCTGGTTCTAAAATGGATTCTTTTAAAATATCATTGTCAACTCAAACGTGTTGATGAAGATGCTTCTTCTCTCGCCAAAGCATCATCTTTTTCTGAAGATCTTTGTTTATAACTTTTAGAGTTTGTTCCTCGCGAGTAAGTAATCGAGTAAACTCGAGTAAAATTTGAATGAGTAATTTCGATTAAATTTCTGGTCGAGTAACTACGAGCAATCCTCTTTACACATTTGAGTAAATTGAATATCTTTACGTTTGAAGGGAATTTGCCACCAAATCAGTTAAACGGCTGAATATCTTTAAAAAGACTCGTATATAACTCGACAGTCATGATTTTTTGCTCCATTTTTTTGCAATAATTTTTCGCTAAAAGTACGCACGGTAATTTTCCCAAGTTTGCGTTTTAAAAAACGCATTACCCACGAGGAACACACTCTAATCGGGGGTGGGACAAATGCGACCTTTTTTTTTGCTGGAAAAGGCCTTAGGCAAGGCCGTAGGGCTTCGAAAATATTTCCATATACGCAACTTAACGCTTTTCCGCAGTTTTTGCCTTTTAGCCCAAATTTGACGTGTCAGCGAGGTGTGATTTGTCGAAATTCAGAATCTACGCATACGATTCCCTTCTATGAAAACATTTTTGAAGCTCTACGACCTTTCCTAAGGCCTTTTCCAGCAAAAAAAGGTCGCATTTGTCCCACCCCCCTCTAATCACTTTTATTTGCGATAAACCTGTAATCATTGTGATTGTCGTCTCTTCTCCACTCCCATCGTTCATTTCACCCGATCCTTCTGTGATCTCCATGCCCTTTGTTGTCTGTAAACTCTAGATAATATTTCATATAAATTTGATTTGACCTCAGTTTGTGCTTGAGTGCTCGTGCCAACGGTGATGATTGCCGCGAATTGATCTCCCTTTTTCTCAACGGGGCCTGTCTCGATGATTGGTGATTGCCCGGATCCCTCAACTGAAGATCTTTCATGAATTATCTTTTATGAATATCTTCAAGTTTAGAAAATGCTAAATTGCTAATCTATCCAAATTTCTTGTTAATACGTGCCGGTGGATTCAGCCTCGATTTGGGGTGTCGTCAAATCGGTGACATTCAAAATCGACCTCCATTCAGGAACCTAAATTGAGAAATTTCTATGAAAAACTTTTCTTTTTAAATTATTTAGATATTAGAAAAGTAGATTTTATAGTTACTTGTAGATAAGATTTGAATAATGACTTGTTACCGTATTTCTTCCGAATAGAAGACGGGGTAAAGATATCATCGCGTACTCCTGCATAGCAACCCCTTTTTAAAATTTCTTTTCTGCACTTAAAGCTTTCAATCCAAGTGCTATAGAGCTGGAAAAGGGCTCAAAATCGGGGGATAGTCAAAACAGCGCCATAATAGAAAAACGTTCAAAACAGCGCCGTCAAATTTCTGTCTGTTAGCTCATGAATCTGTTAGCTCATGTGGTATTTTTGAGTCATTTTCCAGCCCTATAGCACTTCATTGAAAGCTTTTATGCAGAAAAGAAATTTTAAAGAGGGCTGCTACACTGGAGTATGCGATCGTACTCTTTACCCGGTCTTCCTATTCGAAGAAATACGGTATTTCCTGCTCAAACGATCGACTTTTGTCTCTCCATCGATTGTCGTCGTTTCTCCCGATCCGTCGAAATCCTAAAAGAATGAATCTAAGTCTAAAATCTGTAGTTTATTTTAGATTTTAGATTTTTTTGAAATTACGAACTGGAGTTTAAACTTTTAACACATTCACGACGATATTTTACGTTGGATCGTTGATTTCTCGTGAATGTGTGAACAAAAAAAGATGCCTAAAATTCCTCTGGATATGTAACTTTTTATCCCCAATCAGAATATGTTTTTTGTTTTCAAAATGAGAGGTAGCAAAAAGGTTAATGAGAAATTTGAAATCAGCACCCTTGAAATCCGTGGGTGCAAATTTTTGGTCTTTTTGCTGACACAAATGTGTTCGTCGTGAATGTGTTAAGCAAGCTATAGCCATGCTACCAAGCAAGCTATAGCCATGTTATCAAGCAAGCTATATCCATGCTATCAAGCAAGCTATAGCCATGTTATCAAGCAAAAAGCAACTAAAAGCTATTTAGCCATTAAAATAAGTTAAAAAAACTTTTCAAAATGTAAATCCTTTCCTCGGGTTCGACAAAAGTGTGGCTAGGGAAAGCGGCGAGTTCGGCTTTCGATGGAGGAGCTGGCGGAGAAATGATGTGAAGAGATGACGGGAAGGGCTAGGGAAATGAACAAAACAAAAAAAAAGGAACAAAAAAAAGGGTATGAAAAGATTTCATTAATCAATCTAAAGTTTAGTTTAGGTATTCATCGATCAATAATCAAGTCTAGTATGCTTAAAGCTATGGAAACTATTTGGCTAAGTCTAGTATGCAAAGCTCTAGCCAAATAGTTTCCACCAAAATTCGACTGACACTCAATTAAGTTCATAATTACTTTATGAACTTTACAGTTCTTTGAGAAAAGAACTCTAAAGTCTTTGTTTATTTTAATGTCAAAAACAAAAGTATTCAGTTGAAGTAAATGATCAATTGAGGGGATAGGCTAATGTTCCGCCATCTTTCAAGTTTGAGTTGAAGAATTTGAGACATTGCCTTATGTCAGCTGAAATTCTTTTACTCAGGCATACAGCAGTAAAACGCAATTGAGGGGATAGGCTAATGTTCCGCCATTTGATTTGCAGCAACTTGGTCTTTTGCGCAACTCGCCATAACTTTCTTCTAAGTGGCTTTCAAAGACTGCTTTGTGTTTCTTTCTTGAGGATCTTTTATCTTTTCAGTGCTGTTTTGAGTGGTGTCCTGGGTGATTATTGTGATCTTGTTTTGTCGCTATTCAACTGAATAAAGCATATATATATACACTACTGGACAATGAAATATGATATTTGAAAAAAGATCGTCACTTTCGCGCGTCTGTAACTCCCTTGTCTTTGCCGTATTTCTAAATATTAATATTACCATTGTGTAGCCCTTGAAAAGAGCTTTCAGAAAATGTATAACACTAATAGTTTAAACTCAAAGACAAGAGAGTTACAGACGCGCGAAAGTGACGATCTTTTTTCAAATATCATATTTCATTGTCCAGTACTGTAGCATTGAAACTGGGTTTCTAAGTAAGCCAATCTTTATGAATTTCATGTCATTTTGTTACACTTATTGAGATCTACAAAATGAAACCAAAATCATATAAGATTAAGGTAGGCTTAGAAGAGGAGATTATGGCGAGTTGCGCAAGACCAAGTTGCGCAGGATCGTAAACGATCAAGTTGCTGTTGCGCATAAAAAACTGGCGCAAATTAGCCTACCCCCCCCAATTTAGCTTTAGTTAAGCAGAGCAAAACTCTCAAATGAAATCAGTGGTAAAGCGGCTGCACGCAAAGCAAAATCAAAGCAAAAACTCGAGGCTCCGATTCTCCCCGTGGCCCTTTTTTTCTTTGCCATTTCCTTCTTTCACTTCAAAAAAAAAACTAAACATAAATTTTTCTTAAATTTTATAAAATTAATGAACTAAATCGTCCGGAAATTCTCGAAAAACTTACATTTCCCATCGTCTCTTTGTCTTTTTCTTTTCCCTCTCTTTCCGGGGGAGCACTCGGGCGTTGACTGGCCTCTGAAAATCCCTTTTCGCGTCCACCCCGTCACGAGGTCTTGTAGTGTAGTGGTTATCACGTGTCCTTCACACGGACAAGGTCGCCGGTTCGATCCCGGCCAAGACCTACTCGTTTTTGCTTTTTTCAAACCTGAGATCGTTTTGTTAGCTCCATCGGTTGCACACGGTTTTCCATGCAATCCAAGGTCTAGATTTTGATTTTAAGCTTTAAAGCCATTCTTCTACCAGATAGATCTTCTTGTGCTCGATCGGGATTTGCTTCACCGAAGATTTTTTCGACTTTGGTTGGAGCTAAAATTCAATTTAATAGGATAAGGCTAAGAATAAAGTAAACAATCAAAATTTCGTAAATTAGATTACCGGGATTTTTGTCAGCTTCAGCTTCAGCTCCCGCCACTCCCACTTGATCATCTTCTTGTGGTGGGATTGGGATCGCCCCGGGCACTGTAAAGTCATCGTAAAAGTGATAAGGATCTCTTACTCACCCGGTACAAGATCATATTGTGGTCGAGCATTGGAGAATCTCAGAAAAATGAGAAACACATACAAGAGTAACCTTATGATCATCTAGCTGAGTCTTGCTGAAATAAGTTCCATAGTAAACTTGTTGAATGTTGCAAAGAAAATGAGAAGGAATCGAGCCGTGTGGGAATCCAATTAAGAATCTAACCTTGTATTTTGTGCTTAAAAATTGGAAACACACCCTTTCTGGTGCAGTGAAGGACTTCAATTTTGCACCCCAGAAAACCGGTCCGGAATTTTTTAACCACAAATGGTTTACACCCCAAAGAAATCTATAGCCTAAAGTCTAAGTGGAAAAGAGAAGTGAAAGTGTAAACGATTCGGGGAAACGCCAAGAAAATATTGTGACCATTTTCTAAAACGTGTTAACTAACTGTTAGCTGTTTTAACTGTTAACTTACTTTTCAAGCACAAAGTTTACACCTCAAAGAAATCTATAGCCTAAAGTCTAAGTGGAAAGAAAGTGAAAATTATGCTTGGTTCGAGAAATGCCAAGAAAATATTGTGAAAGTGAAAATTAGCATTTAGGGTAAAAAAAATAGACTCCAAAGATTTGCATCTTTACCCTGAGATTGAATCTAGGCGAAGAGAAGAAGAAGAAGAAAGAAGAAGAAGAAGAAGAGGAAGAAGAGGAAGAAGAAGAAGAAGAAGAGGAAGAAGAAGAGGAAGAAGAGAAGAAAGAAGAGAAGATGAAGAAGAAGAAGAAGATGAAGAAGAAGAAGAAAAATTGAGTTTTTCTTTCATTGAAAAGTGAAAGCGAGAGATTTCATCTCACTAAATCATCTATATGCTAATTTTTAAGCTATACATGTAGTCTAGGTGGAATAATGATCCTAATGAATAGCTATGTAGTATTCATTAGGATTTAAACTTTGACCGTAAAGACGTCGGCCATTTGCGCCTACCATTTTGGCATGTGTAGTTTTGAAGATAATAGGTTTTTTTTTTTAAAAAATGCAACCCATTTGGCATATGAAAATTGCTTGGAAAGAATCATTTCTTAAAACATTTTGACAATGACAATTAAAGCAATAAGCAAAACTGGAATTGAAATAAAATTTGAATCATTTCACTTTTGCAAGTGCATCGATTTGAATGATTTTTAAAGACTTTCACCCTTGGCATTTATGAGAAAGAGACAGAGAAAATCCTTTGGGTACTTGACAAGAAATTGTGAAAAGGGGAAACATGGAAACATCCTTATATCAAGACAAATGCAAAGCTAGGAAGCTAGGAAGTGGATTTGAAAACGAAAGCCATACACTCAATGAGTCAGATCACGAAACTACAGAACTTACAGAATTTCATGAACTGTTTGTTTAGCGAATTTGAATAGAACATTGACATTGACTTAAGTGAAACGGTACCACAGAGCGAAACGGTACCACAGAGCTAAAGATAGCCAAATGCTTTGTTTTCTAATCTTTTACTTTTCGAACTTTCAAAAGAAGCTTCAAATCTTCAGCTAGAATCACATCAAAAGCCTAATAAACAAATAGTTAATAAGTGAAGGAATTCGCAAGAAAACGTCGATTTCCGGAGATGGGATTCTCAACCAAATCCCAACCAATTCTCAACCAACTCTCAACCAATCCTCAACCTCAATTCTCAACCAATTCTCTCAACTCAACAAACTCAATTCTCAACCATACACCAACCTTTTGCTTTCCAGTAAATTCCCCTAACCACTAAGCTATCGGTTACCTTAACTTCCCAAGAGAAAGAGGGAAATACAAGGGGGAAGAAGAAAGGAAGTACTATTATAACAGGGCTACAAGGTGTCGACCCATAAAACCAGAGCACCAATCAGTAAAACGGGTTTTTGCCGGAAGTTTGAAGGCTTAAAGCTTTTCAATTTGTGTCATCAAGTCGTCCTGTCAAAAGCAAACTTAAGATGAGTTAGTCTTGGATGAAGCTATTGTAAATATAAGTATAAACATCGAACAATGTAGTTCCTTTATAAAGAATGAATGAATCAGATAAAAGCGATCAAAGCGTAACAAGGAATTCCGAGACTGGAGGAAGAGAAGCGATTTTCGGTGAAAGGAGCCAACCTCGATAAGTGGAAGAAGACTGAGAAGATGGGGGGAGGGGAAAGCGGTGAAATTGGCCATCACTTGACAGAATCTCCATCTTTTGGGCGTTCAGGTGGAAAAAGAAAGGGAAACAAGCCGAGATTCCAGCTGATTGCCCCAATCATTCCAAAGCTCTTCACCTTTTTTTACCCTCTCGATGTAACCAGATGCCCTTGGGTGAAATAGGCAACTTTTTCTCTGGGTTTTACTTGGAGAATTCGCAACTCTGAATCTGGTACTGGGTTTTGCGTTTTCTAAAACGTGTTAACTAACTGTTAGCTTTAACTGTTGGCGTTAACTGTTAACTAACTGTTAACTTTAACTGTTAACTGACTGTTAACTGACTGTTAACTGACTGTTAGCCTTAACTGTTAGCCTTAACTGTTAGCCTTAACTGTTAGCCTTAACTGTTAACTGACTGTTAGCCTTAACTGTTAGCCTTAACTGTTAGCTTTAACTGTTAGCTTTAACTATTAGCAAAAACTCTCCCATGTTATCTTGACTCTAGTTGTTTAGCTAATTGATCTAATTGCTCTGTTTAGTTAATTGATCTGTTTAGCTAATTGATCTACTTAATTGGAACTCGAAAACTTATTAATCTAATTGTTGAAGTTATTAAAAGATCGGATTTGATAGATTTTGAATCTAGCTGGCTAGTTGTGCTACCAACGACTAAAAAACATTGAAACAATTGTAAAAAGCTCAAAAACAAATTCTAGAGTGACCTATAGACGATTCAGAGAAACTTCTCTTCTCAATAACTTCTCGTTTTCATTCATTTCCCTATTTCTGAATGTCTATTGAGATTCCTTGTTGAAGTATCAGAGAATTTCTCTCTTTACTTTCTTACTTTACTCTTAATTTCTCTTCTCGATCTTCTCTTCCTTTTCTCAACTAATTACCGTCCACTCTTTAAGTGTTATTTATTATGTGACTTGTAAAAGTCAAACATTAAACCCAGTTTGAAAATCAATCGTTTGAAAGGCAAAGTTTTGAAAAGCAATCGCTTTTCAGAACTTTGCCTGAGCCTGAGCAATCGCTTTTCAAAACAGACAAAACAAAAAAATAAAAAGTTTAAAAGCTCTTTCGTGCAGTAGATATAAATGAGCATTTCTTTATTTACATAAAAATTAAATCTGTGATTGTTTCAGCTCTCTCTTCAATCGCTCAATTCGCAGATCATCAAGCAATGCCGTCCTTGTGGTCATTTCCTGAACATCTCCATTTCTCCATGTCACTCCGTGTTTCCCCAATCCGTTCTGACTTGCCTAGAAATATTGCTCGCGGAACATTTCCTCGACAGCTGATGAGCATTCGATCTGCGATTAAGCTATTGAGCTTGGACATATCTATGCTTATCTAGCTTGGACATATCTATGCTTACGCTTACTCCGAAATACTGTAGATACTGATTTCTAGTATTTTCAATGATTACCAAATTGCAGTAAGCTTTTCGCCTACCTCCAATTCATCATATGAATACGGTTCTCTCAATAACCCATTTAAAGCGTCGTTTCTCGATCCCGACCAATTCCCACTGTCACGCCGATCTTCCATTCTGAAAACAATTAGTTAAATATTTTTTTTTTAATATCAAGAAAAGCAGATGATAAGTATTTTGTTTAGCTAAGCGTTGTGGAAGCTTGAGATTTCTTTAAAAATCACTTCTTAGCATTTTAGCAGGATTTAAAAGTGCTAAAAGATGATCCAATGGTTTAGAGATATTCAGTGCAAAGCTGTAAAGTGTAAAGCTTTAGAGATATTCAGTGTAAAGCTTTCTTTTCTTTTTCAGCTTTCTTTCACCTTCAAATGGTCGACTTTCATCGAAATCTATTCTAAAAAAAAAATGATTGAAATTTGATTTAAAAGAAAACGTTGAAACAAACATTTTCGTCGATCCATCGATATAACTATCGCCAGGCGCATGTTCACGATCGTAAACTAAAAAAAGAGTTTCAATTCATATATTGTCTTTCATTTTTCTTCTGATCTTTAAGCAATCAACACTCAAATATTCAGCTGATAAGACTAGGTATTGTATTCCTCTGAAATTCCCTATCAGTAATGCGTTTTTTAAAAAGCACAATTGGAAAAAAATTACCGTACTTTTAGCAAAAAAAATTATTGCAAAAAAATGACGCAAAAATGACGAGCCCCGCATTATATACTCAGCCGATAAAAGATACTCAGCCGTTTAACTGATTTGATGGGAAATTCCCGTCCAATGTAAAAAATAATTTTTTTTTTGAAAAACCGGGAGTGGAACAAATGCTACCTTTTTTTAGCGCACCTTTTTTTCCGCACCTTGCCCATTAGCGCACCTTTTTTCGCGTTTTAAAAAAGCTCTAAAAAGCTAATATTAACCAATTTCTATTCCAAAAGTTGTTTTTCTAGGTAATTTTGGGGCGTAGAATCAAAGAAATTTTGACATAACAGAGCGTAGCCAGACCAATTTGAAAGACAAAACGACTGAATAAAATTACAGAAAAAAATCGATTTTTCTGCTTTGTATAACTCTGTCCCGTTTGTTTCCACACGCTCTGTTATGTCAAAATTTCGATTCTACGCCCTAAAATCACCTAGAAAAACAACCTCCGGAATAGAAATTGGTTAATATTAACTTTGGAGAGCTTTCCACAAACGCGAAAAAGGTGCGCTATTAGACAGAGTGCGGAAAAAAAGGTGGAGCAAATGTCCAGAAGATTGCGCAAAGAAAGGTCGCATTTGTCCCCATCCCAAAGTCTGCCCCCAAAAATTGCTTTTATATTTTTTCTCGCACCAGGCATACTTTTTAGAAAACGCATTACTCGACAATTACTCATGCAAATTTACTCGAGTAATTACTTACTCGTGAGGAACAAACTCTACCCACAAGATCTCAACTATTCAGCTGATAAGACTGATAAGACTGAATAATAAAGATTTAAAGCAAAGAATTTAATGATTGAATTCTTTTTTCTATTACAAGCTAATCTAGAGTGCAAAGAATGAGAGCAAGAATGTTTCAACCCGGTTCTAAATGTCTCAGTGGACATGTGTTTTGGAAAATTCCTGCCTCTAATAGTAAGGCAAGAGTTTGTTCACTGACCGGATTGTCCATCAACTAATCGTTTCTTCTTTCTCTTTCTCTTTATCCCGCAATAACCATTCCGTCTTGCCATCACGAAAAGAAGAAAGAAAAGAAAAAGAAAAAGTCCCCCACCGGCAGCCATCCACCAAAGAGTTGGCTCGTGAGAGGATTCTGGAAAATCCTCTGATATTTTTCTTCTTCTATTCTTTTGTTCTAATATTTTTGTGACAAACCGGTCTCTTCGATGGAATATCGAATCACTCGGCACGCGGGGAGGTGTAATTCGGGCGAAGAGCTCGCACTCGTAGCTCGATTCCTGGAAAGAGAATTTGTGAAAGACATCGATTTGGATGGAAGGAGAAATGGTGGGGAAATGACTTCAGCCTGAAAATCGATTACTATAGAAAAATAGAAGAAAGAGAAGAATATTCAGCTAATCTGTTGCTTTTAATTTTTAGTTCCTTTATAGTTCCTTTATAGTTCCTTTATAGCTCCTTTATAGTTCCTATTTAGTTCCTTTATAGTTCCTATTTAGTTCCTTTACAGTTCCTTTATAGTTCCTATTTAGTTCCTTTATAGCTCCTTTATAGTTCCTATTTAGTTCCTTTATGGTTCCTTATACTAGCGGGATATTGCTAAAAACAAACAAAACATGAAATGAGTTCTTTTGGAAAACAGGAGAAATTCGATTTGCCGCCCCAGAATTGACCCTATCTTAATGCCATTTCCTCATAAATAAATTCAAAGATATTTCCCAAGAACAAACCATTTCCACAAAGCCATCCATATCACTTTTCATTCCTCGATACTCAAGACGATACAATTGAGCGCCTTCCGAGCGTTCCCAGCTTACCTAAAAAGATTTTAAGAAAGATATCTTTAGCACCACACTGAGTCGAGTTGATGCCTATTTTACGCTTTCAAAGTTTTTCCAGAAGCTCAACACTCTAATCCCCAACAAGATCTCATTGTCAGCTACATTTTCCGATCCCACATCAATAGATTCTGATAAACGGTTCTCGAGATTTCGAGGAATTTAGGCGACGCTCAGGGCGCACTACTATTAAAGAAAATACGGTAATATTAGATTGGTAACTTGAAAGTTGGTACTGCTAAAGCAATTTTCTTATATTGGTAATAAAATAGACAAACATGCAAAAATTAGATATCTACATAGAAAAAATAAATTTAAATCTAAAGCCATAACTAAACAGTATCTGATATCTAAGCTTATAAAATACGAAGTCTAATTCTTTGAGCTTGGCCAACAAATACTGATACTAACTATCGTATTTTCTCGAATAGTAGTGCACCCGGGCGAGCCGAGTTGATGCCTATTTTACGCTTTCCTATTCTTTCAAAGTTTTTTTCCAGAAGCTCAACACTCTAATCCCCAACAAGATCTCATTGTCAGCTACATTTTCCGATGGTGGGATCGGTTCTAATAGGTTCTAATAAGCGGTTTTTGAGATTTCGAGGAATTTAGCGAAAACTATTACAGATTATTACTATTACAGAAAATACGATAGTCTGCTTTCAGCTGACAATAACGATAACCGACAGAAAACCGGCTAATAGAAAGAAAATGAAAGCGAACTTAACTGAATATCTTTAGCTTTTTATAAATATTTTGAATAGATATTCAACTAACAACAAAGATACCATATTATTGATGACAGCCATCGACAAAGGAGCAACCAATTTCGAGCAAACTAAACGATTCAGTTCAAGAAAAATATTTACAAAATTTAAAAGCCAATTTTTGAATTTCAATTTCATGATTGAAATAAAATTGAATCTTTCTTATCCAGTTACCATTTTTTTCCAAATAACTCGAATTAATCGATCCTTCAGAATTCCGTGCTTCGATCAGTAAACGATAACGAGAAAAACGAGAAAGACCTGGATAAATGATCTATTTTTTAAAAAAATCATTTCCCATCTTTACCAAACAATTCAGCGTGCGTCTCTTTTGTTTGTAAAGTTCCCTTTTCTTCATTCAAGTCGACATTCTCGTAGTGAATCGTGAATGTTTGAGGCAATCCTGCATCGTAGCCTAAAGATTTTTTGATTGGCTAAGAACTTTTAAATATATTAAAATAAAGTTAGTTTTTTTAAAAACATACTAAAATCAGTGAATCTTGTCTTTCAGTTTTACAAATCTCACCGGGATTCCAATCAACGACCAATCCATCCTCTCCCAGACATTGAACCGAAGTAATTGCTGAGGCTTGTGGACGAGTGTTCTGAATGAGCAAAAGCTTTTCAAATCATAAACTTAATCGCGTCTACCGTATTTCTTCGAATAGAAGACCAGGTAAAGAGTATGATCGCGTACTCCTGCGTAGCAGCCCTTTTTAAAATTTCTTTTCTGCATAAAAGCTTTCAATCAAGTGCTATAGAGCTGGAAAAGGGCTCAAAAATCGGGGGATAGTCAAAACAGCGCCATAATAGAAAACGTTCAAAACAGCGCCGTCAAATTTCTCAAAATCCAAAAAAGCAAGCCGGTTCAAGTTTTATATCAAAAATTCCTTGCGTTCTTGGCTACATGATGGGTGAAACAGTTTTTAAAAAAAGTTAATATTTCATAGATAAAAAGAGCACTCAAAATGGGTCTCTAAAGATATTCAGTTAATCAACTGAGTATCACTCGACACACAATGAACCGGCTTGCTTTTTTGGATTTTGAGAAATTTGACGGCGCTGTTTTGAACGTTTTCTATTATGGCGCTGTTTTGACTATCCCCCGATTTTTGAGCCCTTTTCCAGCTCTATAGCACTTGATTGAAAGCTTTTATGCAGAAAAGAAATTTTAAAAAGGGCTGCTACGCAGGAGTACGCGATCATACTCTTTACCCGGTCTTCTATTCGAAGAAATACGGTACTTTTATTCAAAACCAAATCAATCTCTAATCAATTTTTCAGAACTTTTTTGTCTAGAGTATATAAAAGAACATTGTCTGTCTGTCTTTTAAAACTTCTATGCCAATTATAAAAGAACAGTGTCCGTCTATCCGTCTTTGCGGACTCTCTCATCCATGTTTTGAACAATAGAGCTAAAACTTCTTTAAAAGCCTTAGAATATAATATAGTTGTGCCATTTCAAATAAAAATGGCCAAAAATAGAAGATTGACTGTTATCGGGATCGAACCCGGACCGTCCAGACCGTAGAAATGGACCTTCCCGACTGCGCCATAGAGACCGGCGAGCCCATCCGGGTTTTTCGGCTAGTTAATCATAAATCTCATCTACCTGTACATAAAGTCTCATCTCGGATTGAACGGTAGCCACAGAATTCGTGATCACGCAAGTGTATAAGCCGTGATCCGAATGGGAAATTGTGGGAAGACTCAACTTTGGAGAAGAGATTCGACGCTGCAAATTCGTCAGAATATGTTTTTGATTGGATAATTGATGATTTTCCGTCAGAATAATTGATAGCTTAATGTTTTTATATTTGTTGACAAATTGCTCTCAAAAGAAAGATGAATTGAATGTGTAAAGAAGGGAATGTTTGCAATTTTCAACATTTTCAACTTGCCAGTCTAATGCCAATGAACACCATGTCAGTCTAATGCCAATGAACACAATGCCAGTCTAATGCCAGTCTCGCTTACTCGATTTCTCAACCAATACTGTATTGGAATCGGATCACCGAATCCATTGCATTCCACTTCAATCGATCCACCCTCTTTCGAGTATATTAATGGCGGTGGCTTTGTGGAGAAACGGGGGGATTCTGGAAAAGAGGATTTGGAAGAAGATTTGGAAAAGAGGAAGATGGGTTTACAAAGCGTTTTAGAGAACGCATTAAGCTTAAAGCTTAAATCTTCAAAAGCTGACCAGCTATAACAAGATGAATCTCAAAGGGATCACTCCTTCCAACAGAATTCATTGCTTCACATCCATAAACCCCAGCATCGCCATCAGTGCTTCGATGGAAAACCAAGTTTGTCTAAACTCATTTATCTCAATTTCATCATTTTCTCACAAACCCCATTAGTCGTTTTCAGATAAACTCCATTTTTTGTCCACAAAACGCTTTCAACCTTAAATTTTGATATAAAACAAAAAAAGGAAACGAGAACGAGAACACGAGTTAAAGTCTGCCCAAACTATCGTACTCTTTGATTTCTATTTGATACAATAAGCTTTATTTCATTTTATCTCGCTTACTGGTGGTTGAGCGTCAGCTTGACACAAAAGATCGACTCGGCTTCCCAATGAAATCGTGTAGAGACGCTTGGAATTACTATGAATCGTTGGACGATCTGTAAAATCGATAAAAACATTTACATTTTCGCATTTTCTTCACGTAATAGATCAACTTTTCTTAATGCTCACAATTCACTTGTAGATAGGCTTTCGATGTGGCCGGTTTGCTGATCCGATTGTCCGCCTCGCACGCATACCATCCAGTGTCGGTTGGACGAATTGGCGAAATTGAAAGCTCGGCTTCCTAAAATGAATGATTGTGAGCCTCTTTGCCATTGGCAATCTAACTTTGAGCACAAACTTTCTTGGTGTTCGGCTTTGTAATTTGGCTTTTTGGCTTGGCTTGGCTTGGCTTGGCTTGGCTTGGCCTTTGAGAAGCTTGGCTTGGCCTTCGAGAAGCTTGGCTTGGCCTTCGAGAAGCTTGGCTTGGCCTTCGAGAAGCTTGGCTTGGCCTTCGAGAAGCTTGGCTTGACCTTCGAGAAGCTTGGCTTGGCTCTATTCTTAGCTATTCTGGCCTCACTAGCTTACGGATTGTGGGACATTTGATACCATTTTCCCATCGGCAATTCAACTTTGAGCTCAATTTTCTTGGTGTTTGGCTTTGCAATTGAAATAGTTTTTGCTTGAAAGACTTGGTATCAGTGATATTAAGAATATCATTGATAATATTCAAAATTCAATAGCCGAACACCAAGAAATTTGAGCTCAAAGTAGATTGCCAACTTAAAGTTAGATCGCACAGAAGCTTCTCAAGTTCTTCTATTGTGAAAGAACAAGATTTGTTTCTAGAAAGTAGTGAGAAGTTTCTAAGATATCTAATAAAGTTTTAAATTTGCCTAGATTTAGTTTTATTCTACCCTTCCCTACCTGCACTGTTGCCCTTAATCCAACATCGGTTGTCCTTATCGGTTTCCCATTGTATTTCCAAGAATATGTGACACTAAAATATTTCTTATCCATTTTAGAAGCAAACAAACTTTTCAGGAAAAGCGCTTGCATGACAATTCCAGAAAACATTAGCTCCCTCATTGACCGTTTTGTTCGATGGAGCATAATCGATCGTGGTTGGCTCTAAATGATTACAAAATGAAAGATATTAACTAAGTACAGGGTGCGTCATAATTATTGCAACAAGAGCTCAAAGACCGTTTTCCAAACAGCTTTCTTATTTTTTTTGCCCCCTTTTTTGTTGTGTTGCGTTCTATCTTCTTTATTCTTGCCTAATTGCCTCCCGCTCACACGAAGAAGACTGTTCAGGACTGGTGTGTGGCCAACTTTCCCTCAGTGATCACCAAGGATGAATGGCCTCCAAACTCACCGGATCTCAATGTGATGGACTTTTCCATTTGGGCAATCTTAGAGGCTAATGTCTGCTCTCGAAAACACACAAGTTTGGATTCTTTGAAGAAGTCTTTGACCAAAGGATGGAAGGCGACTCCTCAAGATGACATTCGGGCCGCAGTGGAGGCATATCCGAACCGATTAAGGGCTGTTATCAAGGCAAAAGGCAGTCATATCGAATGATCTCTTGTTTCCTTATTTGTTACTGTTAAATAAAGCTATTTCTGTTTAAAAATCTTCTTCCAGTGAAACTTCTTGGTGTGCAATGCTTTGAGTATCTTGTTGCAATAATTATCACGCACCCTGTACAATACAATAACTAGAATCAGATATTAAATGATATCTGATTCTAGTTATTGTATTGTACTTAGATAACAAATATTTTCTGTATGCTCAGTACTTTGGTGCACAGTATGGAAAGTAATCAGCCTTTAGAATGAAATTAATACTTTACTCAACTCACTTGCAAATCTCAGAGATATCCGCGAGCTTGTCTGCCCTTCGCTGCTCTGAGCTTGACAAATGTAATCTCCCTAAAAATGAAATAAAATGAGAATTGAATTTGATCTCACTTTATCATCCTCGCCGAGTTGCGTGATTGAAAGGGTCGAATTTGCGCTTATCGTCGCTTCATCCTGAAAATCTTTTTTTGTAACAAAGCTTCTGAGTACTTTGAGTTTAAAAAAACAATACTAGCATGCTATAAAAGTTTAGATTTAAATCTAAACTTTTATAGCATGCTAGTATTGTTTTTTTTTACCTTTATCCAAGTGATTTCCGGTGGTGGATTCCCGTCAGCAACACATTCGATCGAGAGCGATGTTGAGGGTAAATGATACTGGATTAGACCATCCGGTGGACGAACAATACGAGGAGCTGCTGGAAATGGATTAGAATGCATCAAGGCTGTAAAAACTAAAGCCAAGCATATTGTCTAAATATTTGAATAACTGTGACTTGGACTTGTTACAGAACAGTTTTGCAACAGTCCAGAAGATGAACCTCGCTTTCGTTGTTTCCATCCAACTCCGCAAATCATCTTACAGTTAGTTTTGGCCTTCATTGTAGACCGGCTACGAAAAATTTCAGATTCTTCACTTGGTTCCCAATGGAAATAGATTCCTTTCTCATTTCAACACCAAAATTTATCGCGTAAAACAATACTTTCAATTAATCTGACATAAGCAAATGATTTGAAAACGAAAAAGAAACGACGACGCGGCACTCCAAAGGACTACCTCAAAATGGCGGCGACGTCAATTGGAATACGACGTTGCGCGAAAATTAATATTTAAAATTTGCGACACAAATTCAAACTTAACATGAAAACGTTTCGAAAAACACATTGTTTTCTCTGAAGGTTATTCTCAACTGAACCATTCAACTGAACCATTCAACTGAACCATTCAACTGAACCATTCAATTGAACCATTCAGCTGAACCATTTAACTGAACCCTTCACCTGAACCATTCAATTGAACCATTCAACTGAACCATTCAATTGAACCATTCAACTGAACCATTCAATTGAACCATTCAACTGAACCATTCAACTGAACCATTCAACTGAACCATTCAATTGAACCATTCAACTGAACCATTCAATTGAACCATTCAACTGAACCATTCAATTGAACCATTTAACTGAACCATTCAATTGAACCATTCAACTGAACCATTCAACTGAACCATTCAATTGAACCATTCAGCTGAACCATTTAACTGAACCCTTCAACTGAACCATTCAACTCACAATTCACGACGATTTTCATCTGTATTCCGAACTCGGGTCTGGTCGGTGTACGGGAGAAACGAGTGAGCACGCATTGATAGACACCCTCATCATTCAATTCAATCGAATGAATGGTCAAACCGAGTGGAGGAGCACGACCAAGACGACCTGCGCAAATGAAATTATCATTAATGGAAAGAAAATACCTTGTAATTCAGGCGCCGCATGTCCATTATCTTGAGTAAAAGCACTGAAGATCAATTTCCCGTCTTTTCTCCATTCAATCGAGTATTTTTCCTCATCCGGCAATGTGAGTGCACAGGGCAGAGTCAGAGATTTACCCGATGGAGACCAAAGGATTCTCATCTGCAATTTGAACGAACTGTAAACAGCCAATATCTGAACAAACAACAGACTGAACATCTTTTAAACTCTTTAATCAGCTAGAATATTCAATTTAACCGGATACTGTAATGAGACAGAACTTTACAGTAGTCAAATATGGTACAAGGAAATGAACAAAGCTTAGGACCACTTTAACAAGTAAATACCAAAAAGCTAGCTTATCAGAAGCAAAAAGATATTCAATGGGGAGAACAGGTGGTCTAAGAATGGAGAATAGAGAGTAGGAGACAGCGTTCAGAGCCATCCATTGACACCAATCCACTACTTTCCCTTTCTTCCCTTCTCCAATGGGACACCAATGTTTTTACAACGTGTATCCACCAAAAGCTGTGCCCTTTTCCCAAACACATCCCAATTATCCTCATTTTGTAGAAAGTGAGTCAAAAGTATGCTAATTTTCGAATCAAATTTAGATTTATTTGCAAAAAAAAATTCGCACAAAACTGGAAAGATATCAACTACGGTAATACAGTTATAATACAGAATGAAGAGATTGTAAAGTTTGGTAGCTTATCTTAATCTATCTCAATCTATCTCAATCTAAAAATTTTTATCACATATTTTTTTTTTAAAAAAAAATAAAAAATTTTTTAATTTCGTTAGCTTCTCTCAATCTATCTCAATCTCAAACATATTAACTACGATAATATTATAATACAGAATGAAGAGACTGAAAAGTTCGGTAGCTTATCTCAATCTTAAAAAAAACACATGCAATGCAATACAAATAATAGTTAGTTGTGTGCAAACAAAATGGTTGACTTGATTCATTTCATGAAAAGGCAAAAAGAAGCACGCGAGCATATGCTAATTGCTGAAGGGAAAATGGATAAAAAGGAAAAGGCAAATGCAAGTAAGAAATGAAAGAAATTTGAGGGCAAAAGGATTCGAATTGCCTTCTCCTGGGAGATCTCCAGCACCATCTCTTCCGATTTCTCATTAGATCGTTGGAAGAAACAATTAGGAAGCCCACTAGAGGCTTTTTGTTCTATTCTTTTTCCACTCATTGTTTCGCGGTGGTGTGATTTGAGCTCTACTAAATCTCAAGGATTTTCCTGGTTGCTCAACCGGGTTGCATTTTAGCTTTAATCCTTGTCCATGTCCTTGTCTAGAAACGATTCTTCGTCTTGTCTTACCGCTTGTCAGTTCAGTGCTAGAAAGGGCGTGTTTCTAATTTTTGTGTTCATGGTTGGCTGTGGCTGTCCATGATCATTCAAACTATTGAATTCAAACTACTGAATTTAAAAAGGAAAAAACTGGGTTAGTCAATAAGCAACTAGCAAGTTTTTTTTTAAATTTCAATTTCCAAAAAAAAACATTCACAAATGAAAGTTCAACAAAGCACAAAAAGTGAAAAATGAATTAGTTTTTCATTCCTATAAAGCGTCTAAAGATTGGCCCGCAGTGGATGAGTCCATACAGGGTCAAGAGGATGGCTTAGATAATGGGCGTCCCCTTGATCCCCTTTTCCTCTTCCTCTTCCCTTTCTTTTCCATATCCACATGTGCTTTCACACATCCACAATCCACTTATCCTTTCATAAAAAAAAACGTAAACAAAGGTCAAATAAAGGAGACTAACCGGAGATTGTGATACTGAATAGGGAAGTGAAATGATATATCTTTGATGGTTCATTGGGTAGTGCTAGTAAGCTTTTAAAATACATAAGAATTAAAATAGCCTGGGAAACTAAGTGGAAAGTAGAGTACGCTTTGTAAGTCTTGAAATGCAAAGTTCGTCTTGTTACGATAAATCTGAAACATCATAAAGATTTCACTAAAAGAGAATTCTGTGGGGATTTTCCCGTTGCTTAACTCACTTCAAAGGGCGATTTCGCCGATTTGCATACCCGACGGAACTGCAGGAAATTTGAATTTCTTTTGCTTCAATTGTTGTCTGGAGAAAGGGAAAGTGGTTTAATATTGTGCTAGTCGTTTAAGGGTGACTTATACCGACTAAGCCGACTTCTACCGACTAAGCTGACTTCTACCGACTAGGCCGACTTCTACCGACTAAGCTGACTTCTACCGACTAGGCCGACTTCTACCGACTAAGCTGACTTCTATCGACCAAACCGTCTTATACCGACGACTTATCCAATTGACTTATATCTAATTTTATTAATTTAAGTTGAGCAAAGAAATTGGAAATATTGGAAAAAAAATAGAGCAATTTCAAAGAATTAGTTAGATTTTTTTTGAAAAAATCTAGCAAATAGTCGATTGAAAAGCCGAATAAAAGAGATTTTTGTCATTTAAAACACAAAAGAAATGCACAAAAAGAGCTGTCGCAATGTGTTAGTCCATCAAAAAAGGCCAAAAAAAGTGACCAAAAAAAGATTGATTTTGTGGAGAAAGTTTCTATGAGGAACAAAGTATTGTTTGGGTTGGCATTCAATGCAGATATACTTGCTAGATACCATACACCAGTAGAACATTAGGGTATGAGGCTTAAGGATTGTCTTATCTAAGGATTATCTTATTGAGTATGTTCCTCTCAATTTGCTCACTCTTTAGAGTGTGTAAACTTGCGAAAACTACCGTAATCCTGTCTGTAATTTGTATCCAATCTATCTAGCCATAGAATTGAAACACAAGTAAATGAATTGGCTTAAATTAGAGCTTTTGAAAGTTGACACTTTTAGAAAACGCTTGAGTAAAGAAGGAGCGTTTCTAGGCAAGATCGGCTCTGCGAAGGTTCGATTTCTTCAGAAATCTTTTTTTATGAAAGACATTTAAAGATTGAGTACAGTTTAAAAATCATAAAAACAATAGATTTCTGAAAAAAAAAATCAGAATTTCGTCTACCGTAATCCTATCTGTAATTTGTATCCAATCGATCTAGCTATAGAATTGAACCAAAAGTAAATGAATTGGCTTAAATTAGAGCCACGTTTACGATAGCTTTTGAAAGTTGGAACTTTTAGAAAACGCTTGAGTAAAGAAGGAGCGTTTCTAGGCAAGATCGGCTCTGCAAAGGTTCGATTTCTTCAGAAATCTTTTTTATGAAAGACATTTAAAGATTGAGTACAGTTTAAAAATCATAAAAACAATAGATTTCTGAAAAAAAAAATCAGAATTTCGTCGAAAAAGCGCATGTAAATTAACGGGGTGGCAGTAAAAAGTGGACGGGGAGGGGTCGCAAAAAGCAAAAAGAGAGAAGTCAATTTGTGTTCGAGAAAAAGGCAAAAAGGATCTTGATCTTAAAAAGAAAACGAAGAAGACATTTCTTTTTGTCGTTCAACAAATTGGAAAGAAGTGTGCGAAGAGAAAAGAGAGCGGTAAATTCAATCCAGATGAGAAGGAAACTTCACACACAACAAGTACAAGGGGAAGAGCTCAGGAGAAGAGATCAACCACTTATCAACCACTCTTTTTACAAATCTTTTCGGTCATCTACTTATCCAGTACATTAAAACTCTTAAAATAGAATCAAAGCTTTGAAAGAAATTCTTTTTTTTGAAAACCCTCTGATTGTTTATCACTTACAACGACTTCTGTGCTTTCTAAAAGATGGAAAAGCTACCGTAATCCGGTGGATCGTATCCTGGCTTGATTAATGGAACAATTTATGATAAGGCTTTACTTGTTAACTTCATTTATAAATAGGTTTACTGTAACCTCTAGAAAACGTTTCAATCACAAAGTAATAAGCTAGTCATCAAAGTAATACTATAAAGTAATAGTTAGCCAGTAATTAGTCAGTAGTTAGCCATCAATTTTAAAAATAAAGCCTTATTAAACTTCCCAAACGAAAGCTAAAGGATTTTTTCAAAATCTCACAAAAGGAAAATTCTTAGTGTCTATCAAAGAAAGAGATTAGAAATCAGATATGCATGCGAAGAATTGCCAAGGAAAAAACAAAAAGAATTTTCTTGAAAGATCTTTAAAAACTCGAAAAAAAACCTATTTTCCACAACAAAATGCAATTTTCAAAAGACATAGACAGATCGGGAAATTAGTTTCCCCCAAATAACCGAAAAGGATCTCATCACCTCATTCACCGTCCATTAGCCCATTCATTTGTTTTGCAACAACACAAAATCGATTTTCCCTATTAACTCTAAACAAAACATCGTACTGAAATTATAAATAAAGAAAATTCGATTTATTTTTTTTTGCTTGTAACAGGTGCTTTTTTTCTGAAAGAAAATAAGAAAATTGGTCGCGAAAATCTCATAAAAAATAAATGAAACGATTCGGCTTTTGAAATGAACCCAAAAATGGGGAAAGATCTCAAGAATTTGTAGACAAATTTCGTATATTTTTGAAGAAAAGGGAAATTTTAATAGTTAAAAATGTAGATGTTTACAAAAAATCCATCTTGAATCATTCTAGATTTCCAAGAATAGTTTGTCCCTTTTCAACTCAATTACCCACTACACAAGTCCCACTGTCATCTCTCGAAAATCTCAAAAGGCGAAAATCTCAAAACATCTCAAAAGGCGCGCCGCCTTTTGATCTGTGAATTGCTCGAATTTTGGGGATTCTCGTGTTTCTGCTGCTTTTTTGCAATGTTGACAAAGCATGCTACAATATTTTCTTTCATACATGCCTCTATTTTAAATAACTAATCTTTTGTGAAACGAAATGTCAAATCAATCTTCACGCAAACGAAGCAGGTAATACCAGATACTTTGCAATAATAACAAGACATTTTAGAACCTTATCCCAAACTTTTGTTGAAACTCCAAATCTTGTAGTCGAAATCAATCTACCAAGATCCTTTGATTTGGCGGAGAAGCGTCGAAAACGTTCCGAGAGGGAAAAACGACGCTTTCACGAGTTCAATAGCACTCTACAACAGGCACTTGGGTATTCTGAAGCTTGAAAAATTTGAGTGCCATTTTAGGGCGCCAAATGCTAGTTATATCTCGGATAGTACCCAAATTCCGTCAACCAAAATCAAATACATATTACTCAAATCTTAAGATCAAAATCTAAACTGATCAACTTCACATTCCAGAATGGTTCCATTTGTGTCAGGCCGCCCGGGTAGACTTGAGACAATCCACCTCATCAGCGAGTACATAAAGTTTTTGTGTCAAATTTTAGAGGTAAGCTTTCTTTTGTCTCAAACATATTCATAATCATTTCCCCAAGGCTCCTCCAAAAGAGATCTCATTTGCAAGCTTCCAACATCAAGTTATCAAGATCACGGGGATTTCACACGTAAATACAAAATTCAAGGTCAAGAAATCAAGACAAATTTTAGATTGCCCGCAAAGAAATTGAGAAATGTGCTTACTTGGAGAATCAAAATATTGCATATCCCGAGTCTCAACTTAAATATTAAGTCTTGTTTTGATAAATATATTTATTAGACGTATACACAAACAAGATTATGCATAGCAATAATATTTTGAATATATCGATTGTCAAAAAACGCAAAATGAAAAATTTGATAACTATTTGAATACACAAACGCATGAGAACTAGCAATTCAATGACAAATTCTGAAAATATGCTATTCTACTTTCTTCTTGTCAATCGCTTAATGGCGAGTTTTCGGAGTTGAGACGAGAGTCGATTTTCCCCTTTTGCGGTGCGTAGAGAAAAACGCCTAGATAGAAAAATTATGCCATTTTTGAATTTTCAAAAGATTAAGAAATCACAATAATATTTATATATGTAATCATTATATATGTAACACAAACCTATATAATGAATGCGGCAAAACGTGTCGAGTAATCTCCGAGTAAGCGCTCGGTGGTGCGCTCGTGGCCAACTCTTTCGTAAACCGAGGCAACTGAATCAAAATGTAAAGAAGATGACACGTGAAAATTACTCGATGTAATCGACCACTCCTTAACATTTTCTCTGCTACCCGTCTTGTGTTTCCATATTGCGAGTAAGACCTCAACGTTTTCAGTCGCTCAATTCCAAGTCTGTGATAAGGGCGAACCTGAAAAAAGTAACTGAGCTAATAACCTAATTCATAAATACCCTAAGCGTTCTTGCATCAATCTCCCAAACGGTCCATTGAAATTTGCTGGTCCGCTTGATCTGAAAGATGGTTATTAAAATAAAACCGTGACCGGATTAAGGTACCGCTGGCTCTTTGGTGGGAAAATTAGTCACAGTTTTAGCCGTTGAAGCTTGGAGATCCATGACTCCAGAAAGTAAATTGTCCGTAGTCTAAATTTTAGCAAATTCAATAATTTAATTCGTCACTAACCGCTTGAATCCTGCGTAAATCGGTGTCAACAATCAAAACATCGTCCACATGATAGATAACCTCCATGTCCGTGTGTGATATGCCTCCTGGAATTGCCTAAAGTGAGCTGAAAATTGTAAAAGAAATTCAAAAATACCCTTTCGAGCATTTCTGTCACATAAATATAGCAGAGAGTCGTTGACATGGAAGATCCTTGAGGAATGCCCATTAGCTGTTTGAAGTATTTTCTTCCGTAATAAATCTCAACTAATTTATTTTTTCTAATAAAGAAGAAGCTCACTGGAATGCCAAACATATCTTTGATTGCCGAAATAAGGTCACTAGCCGCATAATCCTAAACTTGAATAGTTGAAAAAATAAGCATTTCTTAAAAACCATTGACTGAATGCTCCTCTTGGAAAACGTTGACTGATCCTCGATTTTAATTTTGTTAAAGAGTCGCTCTTGTGCCTAAAATTGAATGCATTGTCGAGTTGACTCCAAGGCAGTCTGCCAAAGTCAAGCTGAATAAAGTAAGAGAATTTTCAGTATAAGATATGTAAACTATAAACCTCTTTTATGCTGAAAGCAGCTGCACAATAAAAGCGGCACTTGTGCTTGCATTCCAACACAAAAATTCTCTGCGCCTTGTTCCGTTCAAATGCTCTAAAAATAGATTCTCCAGATGAAAAATTAAACCCTACCCCTTTACAACGTTCTCAATGAGTTCGAACAAGTTTTTTAGATTGATGTTGTCGTAACATCTTGAAATATCCGTTTGTAGAATAAAAGGCCTTTTTGTGCCAATTCTTAATCGAAAAGCATCAATAATTTTCCCACAATCACGCATATCTAAGAAACTTTGTAGTAAAATGATAATATTTCTAAGAAAACTAAGCAAACTCAAAATTATTAAGTAAAACCCACGATAGACAAGCTTTGGTAAACAGGCACGAAGCGCAGAATTGAGTTTTTGTTCCATCTCTTTTAGCTTAGGATTGTAAAAAGTGGCAAGAGCTCGGGTTTTCTTTTTATCCACAACGACCCACATTCGTCTCGTTTGAAACTTCTGAAAAGAGCAAAATTATATGTGCATAGAAGCTCAAATTTGAACTTGTATTTTTTCCGCGTTGACTATTATCCCTAGACGCTTGGTTTCGCCATCACGACCATAGGCAAGGAATCCACGTAGTCTTAAAAACTTCACTATTGAGAGATTGATGAGAATAAAAACTTCAACACTTTGTAAACAATCTTCGGAAATAGGAGCAAATACTGATTGCGATTCGCCACAATAGGAAGACAAGCACCCCTCAAATTTGGTTTTGTAACGGCTTTCGCTTGATCAACGTTCTCATAAATAAATGAATACCTTATAACTTGCAAAAAGAGTTTGATGAAGAACAAAGCACACCAATCTCGTATTGCACACCGAAGCTTGCTGACATCCTGAATAAGAAATGATAGTTTAGCAAAGCTTTTGATACCGATAGATCAAAATAAACACAACTTACAATCTCTGCAAAAGAAGACAAATTTCTAAGCCACGGAATGGCCACCATCTAAAAACATGGTACATAAATCTTAGTGTGGAATAACCTTCAACTGCGGTAATTGCTTGGATAATGGGTAATTCAAAGGCCACATCGAAATTCCGCTCACGACTTCGAGGATCTTCGTCAAGTTGTCCTTCCCGAGAAAACTTTCCTAAACAAATTAGATAGACAGTAAGTGTTAATCTTTAACTAACTAAAAAACTTACGAGTTTGGTAATCTCACAAAAAATGTTTAAAAAGCGTGTGATCTTACTCGAGTTGAGCCTACCATAAAGTCTAAAAAGAGCTTTTCATTGAAAACTTCAGCAAACGTACATAAGCTCTTTGTCATTCAAAGATTCAAAGTCTTTAAAAAAAGAATTCACGATCTTTTTCATCTGGCCGCCAGTGAGAAGATGCCTTTTGACACTTTTCCAAGCAGAACTAAAAATGGAAATTTCAGAGAGTGAAAATTTTTGAGCTGAAATTAACACATTCACGACGATACGACCCACCGGTGGGTCCTACTAATGACAATTATTTTTGATGTCAACTCAAGTTTTTAAGGACTTTTGTTATTTATTTCGCAGGAAGTTCTTGGTAACTTTGTACTAGTTTCCAAGAGGAGATTCAGGACTATCGAATGGCCATAATAGTTTAGTTTATCTTTGAAACTTCACCAAGTCATCAGAAAAAAAATTAATGACTACGCGACTCTACGCCAAAAATGCCGTCTTCGCGAATGTGTTAAGCATTGCAAATGCTGTTTAGCGCAACTTACATTCAATGCATAAGAAACTATCCATATATCTACTGGAAAGAATCGGTAATTACCCTCCAAAAGTTCCAGTGAACCAAACTTACTAAATTTTCTGAAAAGATTGTTGATCGACAAGCCGAGCATTGCTGGGATTTATTATTTCTTCGATGGCGGCAGTAACACATTTCTCATCATCGGAATCGTTGGTAGTTAATTTGGAAAACTATATATGCCGTAATCAGGTCCGTAGCCAGAATTTCGCGACTTTCAGTCTAACGACCCGAGCTCCTCGAGGCTACCCCAATCAATTTCTGACCCAGAAATTGTTTTTTAAAAATTTCAAGCTACAAAACTGTTCAAAAAGTTTTTTGAAAAAATTCAAAGGGCTCGAGATTTTTTGCATTTTAGTGCAAAAATTTCGAGTAAAACTTTTTTTTCTTTTTTTTCTTTGGTAAAACGAGTTTTTAGGCACTAATAATTGATTTGACAAAACTAGTGTTTTTTTTCAGAAAGTAGGGGAAATTTGGGGGGCAGACCAACAACACCTCGACTGAAAGTCGAGGAAAGTGAAAGTCAGTGAAAGTTAGACTGAAAGACGCGAAATCCTGCCTACGGGCCTGGCCGTAATTATCAACAATTGAAATGGTCAAATAAATACCATAAAAGCGTCGCCAACATTTTTCCAGCTTTGAAAGGCGGAAGTTGTCACCGTCGAGTTATATACGCCCCGACATTTATGGACTCCATTACCTAAAGTCGATTTTAACCCAGTTTTCTACATCTTCAAAAATTTCTCCTCAAACTGTTTGGAAATCATCGTTTCCAAAGCACTTATTTTTAAAGAATAGCATTTGCATTGCTCCAAAAACCTCTAGAGAAACAAACTTGGAAAATCTCTTTGTGCTAAACAGTCAATCCGGCGCTTGCTCATCTAAAAAGCAACATTACAAATGACGAATCAACTGACCAAAACCATTAAATGCTATTTTAGGATTTTGAATGTGTATTTCACAAAGTTTTTGAAGTGACTGACTAGCAAACGCTTTATTCACGCAAACACAGTAAAAAGAAGACTAGTTGGTTTAAAAAGCAGACTAGTTATATGGTTTGTTCAGATATGTAAGTTATGAAAGACCAACTTCTCGAAACGGGCAATGCAAAATTGAGAAATTTTATAAAAGAAGACACCGACCCTTTTCGCAAAGCAAGTCTAGTTAATGGGTAATTGGTCCTTTTGGCTTTAAAAAGTGAATCGGTAACACAGATAACAAAACTAGGGAAATAACAAGGAAGTGCAACAAAGCTCAGTTACAAAGTACAACATTGTATATGCAAAAGGCTAAAGTCACCAGCATCTAAAGCAGGAAAAAAAAACAAAAATTACACCCAATACCAAATTAAATGCCGCAGGATAAACAATTAATTTACTTAAGTCTGTGGGTTACGGGGCAAATTAGAATAAGAATTGTCATACTCGTGAAACGCATGATCGTGCACTTTAATTTCTTCTGGCGAAACATGTATAGCAGGTGTTGGATCCACGACAGGTTCATGTTGTTCTAGAAATTTGACTTGCTCCTATCATTTTTGCAATAAATTTAGCCCTAAAAGTCACGTTTTACTTTTTGAAAAATAGGCACCTTTAATTTCCGTCGCCTCATCACACAAAGTACATAACGAATTCTCGGATTCAGCTGAATGTGGAGTTGTGCGAACACCGACTGCTTTCAAGATCTAAAGATATAATATTAAAACTATCCGACTTTACTTTACTAACCTCTGTCAATTTCTTCGAATAATCCATATGTCCTTTCACCTAAGATTGATGCATTGATTAATCAACAGCACAAAACAAACGATATGCGAAACATTGTAGTTGACAATTTTGCGATTCTTGATGTTTATTGCAGACGTTCCAGCAATCGCAAATTGAACCGACATTGTACGGTACACAAATCTAAAAACACATTTGTTAAACAACATAAATTTTCAAACCTCAAAAGCCAGTCTGTTTCACAATAGCCATTAATGATGCGGCCGCCGACAACGTGAGAAATTTGTGACCATTGACTAGCGGATGCAGAAACTGAAGCTTACGTAGATAAATATAACTCATGTATTAAACATACCTGGAGCACCTAGTAAGACAACATCTTCCACGATTCCTATAAAAATTAAGGATAGATAAATAATATTTACAATTAACTTGCCTGCAGAGTCAGTTCGTTTGCTCATTGCCATGAGACAGTGAAAAATCACCCGTGCGCCAAGCGAATAACCGACAAGCGAAATCGGGCGCGACCCTTGAGCGCGGGAAAGCAAAACCTCCGCCAGTTGCTCGCCAACCTATTATTCGAATGCTATCAAAACAACTGAAAAGAATACTACCTCGGCACTTCTTGCGATAGAAACATTCCATGGGTTATCAAGGACACTCGCACACGAAAGAATTGCCACCGGCCATGCAACTGCTGCTACCAACCCTGGTTGGAAAAAAAGGGTTACTCTTTTAACTTTAGCTTACCGGCTAAAGCTGTCTGCATCAATGCTTGTTGAATTCCGGCGCTTGCAGCAGCACTAACAAGATATTCCATAGCCTTAATTATTTTACTAAAGCTTTTCTTTCAAAAAAACCTTTCCAAGCTCTTCGAGATACTTTGATTCATAACGAAGTGTATATTGTTCTTTGCTTTGGCTCAAATGACGCCATGAATAAATGAACGCTTGGTCATTGGTCTGAATTTTCTTTGCGCTTTCTCAAACTTAAAAATACCGAAGATTCGTTAATCCATCCGCTTACTGCCAAGACACAGTTCAACGCGTGACCGTTTGTAAGTGGTTCAATGGAAAACTCTTCAATAGCTCCAACCCGTTTCTTCATCTAATTTAAATGGTTTTAGTCAAACAAATTTTGCTACTTTATATCCTGCTAGACCAGCGCCTGCGACTCCAAAAGTTGTCCCCAAAATTGCCGCCCCAACGGTCGTTCCAATTGCAGCTGTTGCTGCTCCTCCTAAACAGCTCCATGCGCTAGTATATTAATATAAAAGCCATATTAAGTATATATTAATATAAATACCAAGAACTGCTCCCGCGCCGATGGCAACAAGAGGAGCAGCTAGACCACCAGTTAGACCTAAAACATGTTAAAGACTTCCAAACTCCAAATAAAACAATTCTAGCATATCAATTTCAACACACCTATAAGCACTCCACCGACTCCGCCAGCAGCTCCAATCATTAGATACCGTTTGAGTTTCTTGCTTTTTGCTATCTTTTCTCGTGCCTTAATCGACTGCCTAAAATAAAAGATTTGCTTATTAGACAATACAAATAAGTTCACTGAACCCACAACTATATACTAATATCAATTTAAGGATATTTATTGGGGACCACACTACAATAACCTACCCATCTTTGACCAGCTCATTGCTATAAATTGAAAATATAAATTAGATAATTCTGGGTAAACTATAAATACTTACTCGCTTTCCACAAATTCATCAAGCATGAGCGAAACCAAAGAGTTCTCAATCTACAACCAAAAACAATAAAGCTCAATTAAAACAATCTCACTTCTTCAAATTCTTCCCATACAACGGCCAATAAGGTGGATAGGTGTCGCAACAAAACACGGGTGCGGCTGTCGTAATGACCTAGAAGTTAAAATTAACCAAAATTTTAGAAATTTAAAAACTTGTGGCAACAAATTGATAGAGAAGGTATGACAAAAACAAATTTGTTCCTCTTTTAACCACTACCACATCCTCTTTAATCGAAATTATTAGCGTGGCCACATCTGGAAAGTCGACATCTTCCTAAATTAAAAAATAAACCCAGATTTTCAAAGAACAAACCTCCAAATAAGATGTGAAAATTTTTCGGGACTTCACAGGAATTGCCAGATATTCCAAAACAACTTGTAAAACATGTTTACAATATAAACTAAATACATTATGAAGTTGCTGCTGAAAAATTTGTACATTGACGTGGAATCATCTTGATCCAAAAAATCGAGTTTCAACACAGTTGCTGCCAATTGGCAAAACGCATACCTACATAGGTTTTCAATTGATACACTTGTAAAACTTTAAACCTTGTCGAAGGATTAATGAGCGAGTTGATATCGACGATTTCTCTAGAAGGCGAGTTAGAAGACGAATCTAAAAACAAAAACCATGCATCATTTCAGTGCAAGTATCAGCAATAGCTTGCAAGTTTGTCGTAAAGTTACCTGAAGAGGATGCACGCGAAAAACCAAGATTGTTTTGTGAACCAGACGGGGTGAGTCTGCTATTCGTGGGCTCTTGTATCGGCTTTTCAACTATCATCGTGCTTCCTAAGTACTAAATTAGGCAAGTATTAGTTAACACTAAAGCGTGCTTCGGCCCCACAAAGTTTTGTTTGTTTTCTATAAAGTAATTTGTTGTGGATTAAACAATAGTGTACTTTCCCCAGGCACCTCTTTCAAAATTTATTTCAGCAAATGCTTGTTTACGTCGGTAAAACAATGCGGGTAGAATAAAGCCAAGAAAAATATCACAGAAACAACCACAGAAACCAGTAGAAATTGATCAGAAACATTATGACGAAAGGAGCTACACAAGTGGAGCATGAGAAATATACAAAAATGAGTGGAACAGGTTATGAGTTACAAACTGTAGCTATACATTCAACTGAGTGGATTGAGTTTGAGAAGGAGCGGTTTGACGGCGTAGCATCTAAATTAAGGATTATTCGTTTTTAAAAACTTGATACTTACATTCAAAAAAGCCCATTTGCTAACAGCGCTGGTAAATTGATTTGTATCAGCCCAACGGCAGCGCAAATATCCATACAAATTTGCAGAAGTCATTACGAATCCAAGCAATGCCACCACAGCCCACTGCCTAAATTGGAAAAAATCTACAAAGAAAAACGAATAATTTAGCGCCTAAATTTAGAATAAAATCCAGTTCCAAAATCCTCAGAAGTATAATAATTGTTACCAGTGTAAGAACATGAACGCAAGGGCGACAAAGAATGACCATGCTAATGGAGCTGCCACTAGAGCCAGCCAGAAGAAGTTTCTATCGAGTGCCGGAAACTTTGAAGGGTCCTAAAACTTAGGTTATAGCCGATTTATTAGAAGTGATGAACCTTGCTGCTTTCGTATTTCCAATGATTCTTTCCTTCGCTGTCGACGAAATTCCACCAACGCAATCCAACCATCAAACGACCCGTGACATTTTTCACCGTCCAAAAGTCCATAGAAAGCAAGGTTAACTAAATAACGCTTTAACAACAGCTAATGACAAGTTTATCACATATAAGTTTGAAAAATCTAACCAAAATTAAGAATTGAACGATGAATGACGAAGTGAGCTGTGTACAAAACACGTAGAAAAATAGAGCCGCTGAACGAAATGCGACATGTGCAATTGCCACAGTCGGATATCTAAAGATAGTCAATTGCTACTAGCCACATCAAAAACGATCAATTTTTCTATGAACAATGTAAAAAACTAACCTGAAAAGTCGAAAGCTGAAACCTTGAGATTGCTGCGGAGCGGCACCAAGATTGAGGGAAGAATCAAAACTGGAGGCCATCTGAAAATAAGCTTTTTACATGCAACAATAAGCATTCGACAGAACTATGTAAAGAGCCCTTTAACGGGATGCCATTTCGACTGCCTACATTAAAAAAAATCATTAACGTTTAAAATAAGTGTAAGTCTGCAACTTTCAATCAACCATGAGATTTATCAAAAATAATTTATTCAACAGAGATCTTGCTTTGCTTTTAGAGAAGACAATTTGAAGAATTTTTAGCAAAACTACAGCCAAAAATGTGAAAAATAAATGAACAATGTAAACATCGAAATTTCAACAATAAACGTTAACAAAGAGCAATTTACTGAATTGGCTTGATCTTGAAATGGAGTCCGATAAGTGAGAAGACAAGGCACTTCAAGTCTTGGACGAGGTAGTAAAAAGAGCGAAGACCATCTGGATCCTAAAAAAATTAAATGCCTTTTTCACCTTAAACATTGGGCGAACCTTGCTGTTGTTGACATCAGCCAACGATCCGATTTTTCCAGTGGTGAAGGAAATGTGTTCGTTGTTGATGAGGATCTCGAGTTCTTGGCGTCCAATTTTATCAGGTTCAGGCCATTGACCGTCATCCTCCTATAAAAAAACGTAGATTTATTCAAAACAAATAAAAGATTACCTGCATGATTTCTGAATCCTCGACAATTCGCTTCAATTCATTCAAAACCTGTGGACTCACATAGGCCTAAAACAACTTTGCATAATCACTAACATGAATTTGCTAAATTTGTAAGCAGAAAATTTCGTAAAATCGAATCTTTACTTACTTGTTTCCGGATGCATGTGTCATTTTTGTAATTCGAGTTGTTCGCATAGCGGAGTTGGCCATCAGGACGGAATTCGAATTCGAGAAACTCGTGGCCAAACTTTCCTAAAAACAAAATCAGAATAGCTAGAATAGTGAAAAGCAATACCTTTGTGTCCAACATAGTAGCGTACGTAAATATCCTCAGCCGACAACGTGGCAGACATTTTGTACCTAGAAACGTCAACATTATGCACTATCTGAATTCATAGAATGAAAACACAAAGAGAACGCAAATCAAACGATCAAGGGAGTAGATGCTTTCTAAATACGAAATCCGAGCGCAACCCTACGCGGCAAACATGTCAAAAGTATTGTCAAGTTGTAGGTAACGATCAATGTGAGACAGAGACAAAAGAGCCGTAGGCCGTAGTTTGTTCATCATGGTTTGGTCGAATTTCGAGAGTGGAGCGCAAAATTTCAACGCCAATTCGATATTGTTGCTTTATTTTTTCCGTTAGAAATTTTCTAGAGCTACGTTCACGAAAAAATTAAAAATACCTATGATGGAAAAAAAAACTCCGTAACTTACTGTATTACGGCTTCCACATCCGCGCGAAATGGTGTTCTCTATCAGAATTCCACATTTGAATATCCATTCGACGCAGAAAATTGTGCTGAATCGAATGGTGAAGAAATTATCGAAATCCGTCTGACTCGATTTTTTAAAATCGCCTTTTATCGAAAAAACCGCACTTTTACAACCAACTCGCTCGCCGCGACCAACCTTCGGTGGCTCGTTCTCAGCGTGGTCGAAAGATTGTGCCCTCAAAACCGATAACTTTTGTGTGGACTTGTGCAAAGATCATTTTGATACCAAAAAAATAACAATTGATCAACTCTGCGAAGACTTGATGCCTTTTTGGTCAATCTTTCGCAATCTTTCGACCACGCTGAGAACGAGCCACCGAAGGTTGGTCGCGGCGAGCGAGTTGGTTGTAAAAGTGCGGTTTTTTCGATAAAAGGCGATTTTAAAAAATCGAGTCAGACGGATTTCGATAATTTCTTCACCATTCGATTCAGCACAATTTTCTGCGTCGAATGGATATTCAAACGTGAAATTCTGATAGAGAACGTTTTTTGCCTTATTTCGCGCGGATGCGGCCTCCGCTGTTTGTTAACTTACTGTATTTTTGTTCTGTTTCTTGTTTTCTTACTGTACTCTCGATACCGTTGATGGGGGCGGCTAATTTGCGCCAAATTTTTTGCACAACTTCCCATAACTTCCCATCTTCTAAGTAAGCCAATCTTTATGATTTTTGTGTCATTTTGTAGATCTCAACAAGTGTAACAAAATGACACAAAAATCATAAAGATTGGTAGACTTCGAAGAAAGTTATGGCGAGTTGCGCAAAGTAGCCACCGCCGATTTGACTTTAGTGCAACTTTAGATTTGACAAAAAATGGGCAAGAAAAAGTCATCGCGAAAGCCGCCACCAAAAGCGAAGATAATTGTTCCACTCGACACACAGTTCAATTGTCCATTTTGCAATCATGAGAAAGTGTGCGAAGTGAAAATGTAATTTTACCTTTTGCTTTAACGCTTTATCAAATTTTGAAAACAGGGATCGCGATCGAATGGTTGGATTTATTAAATGCCGCGTTTGTCTGGAAGATTTTCAGGTAGTTTTCATCTATACCGCTAACTGTAATGAAAGTTTAGACAAAGATTAACTATCTGTCGGAGCCTGTTGATGTGTATTCGGATTGGATTGATGCATGTGAACAAGCAAATCAATAATAAGGTGGGTAAACTTTGGATGTCTTTGAAATAGTTAATATTTTTTCTTCAGATCGACGCTTTCACGATTCTGAATTACTTAAATGTTTGTGAAAAGATTTTATCTTCTTTTGCCAAACTTACCTCTAAAGATCTCCAATCGATTTTTGACGTTGTTCAACTGATTGTATATATTTTTGATTGGTTTTGTTTACATCATTTTGAAATACCGGTCTTGTTATAGTTTTTCACTTTATTTAAGCGAGTTGTTTGACAGTGTTATTCCTAATGTTCAGCTACGTTACATTTTATTGTCTACACATTTTTTTAAATTGGCACCACAAATGACTTGATCTAATTTACACAAAAAAATTCACATTTCTATGGTCACATTCACATTTTGGATTGCAAGTTGATCAAATCCACATAGGCTTCGAGTATAACGCCAACGCTCCACGCTTGAGCTGGGCAACTTCCGTGACAATGTTCGCCATTTGCCTATGAGTTAGCTTTTTGAAAAGTTTCAAGTAACAGCCTACCTGTGTCAGCTCAGGAAGTGAGCTCCATGTCGAACAGTCAATGTGCTCTTGACATCGCCCCAAATGTGTTTCAACCTAAGTTGGACCTAGGTAGCAGTTTTGCAATTATTTTACCTCTTTCTTTGCAGCATTCCATTTATCAGCACCCATTTTAGAGCCAATAACAGTTTTTGCCTTTAAGTAATATCCAGCTACCCAAAGCCATTCCTAAACAATCACTTGGAAATTTTTGAGATTTACTAAACTAACAGGTCCTTGATGATAGTTCCATCCTTTTGCGGTCTTGCGATCTGAGCCATCATCGTCATTATTATAACAGCCGTTATATGCCCAATCACTAGAAATAAATTCTGATTTATTTTTAAAGTCTGTTAAAACAAACCTCGAATCTAAAGTTTTAATTCCCAATGGTCCCAATAAGTGCTGTTTTGTCATTTCCAAAGCATTCCAGCTCAATTCATTTGGTAACAATTCGGGCGCCTAAAATTTGAGTTGTAAAACTCCACATTAGCACTTACAATTGCAACAGCAATGCAAGCGTTCGGTCTCAATTGATAGTCGGTATACCCCTGTGAGGATTCAAAAGTGTCTTTGATAATACCTAAACATTGGCTTAGGTATTCAACTCATTCAAAAATTTTTGCCTTTTTTGTTCACAAATTTGTCAGCGCAGTTTTCTTCGATGTAGAAACATTTACGGAAATTCGACGTTATGCGTTTACTCCATTCTCCCCAACTCCATTTCGATTCACCTAGACAGGTTTTATTTTTGGCGACAATTTTGGCGACAGCTTACCATCAGAGACTCCTAAAGTAGCGATTTTTCTGGATTGGGCCCAAGTTTCCATTTGATTAAGCACGGCCACAGCTAGACCCTGAATTTAAGAGCTTTTAAAATAGCGTTGAATTAGTAAAAATTCACTTGGATTTCTACTGCTGCTCCATCTCTTGGCGTTGCCGGGTGCCCTCTATTCCCAGCCTGAAAAAATTAACATGAGTCAGTGATCAGGTGGGTTGCATACTTACTTTATCAGAGCTGCCCATTTTGTCCATCCATGTGCCACAATTCCACTGGTTACCTCCATAGATAAATCCATTGTCGCGATTCACCCATACTCGAACGTTAAAACCTGACCCAAAGGCTTAACAGTATAGCAAATCTCCAAACCTTCATCTTTCATATGTTCGTCAATTGCTGTGCCAGCATTACGTTCACGATACGCAATGCCCGAGAAGTGTCGTTGCAAAGCCTCAGTAACTGTCTCCGCAAGAGATTCAACCTAAATTTTTATTGTTTGTTTTTAAAACGATACAATCTACCCTCGAGTCAACCATAAATTCAGCATCATCAGTGGAAAAGATTCTCAAAACAGATTCTTTTAAAATCGCTTCACCATCTGGGGCCATATGTGCATAGCGAACAATTGCGTACAGCCAAAACCATGTAGCATCTCTGCAGTTGTAACGAGCGCCTAAATGAAATGAATAGTAGGTAAGATGTGACAATAAATTCTCAAACCCTTTCCTTCTGCAAGTAAATTAGGGATTAATCCATGTCTCATTGAGCCAGCGTATGAAAGAATGATGTTTCTAGGCGTGCAATAATTTAAAAACCTTGGAGTTGCTTACTTCGCTTCTTCGAATCGCCCAGGAACAAGCAGACAGCCGGGTAGTGCAATGAATGTGTCTCGACCCCAGTTTCTCCAAATGCCAGTCGTGAAATGTGGTAGTCCAGCAGCAAGTGAAGGAATTTGCCTCTAAAATTAATATTTATTTATAGTATCAAAAATCGGCATTAAAAAGTCGAACTCACTTTTTCTGAATCAACCAAAGGAGACAGTCGAGCTCCCGGAATGTCGGCGACAAAAGAAATCGTTGATAACAAAAGAGATTTTGCCAAATGCGAGTTCATCAACGGATTTGTTCTAAACAAATAAACTCCTAACGAAACGATAATGTCTTACGCTAAAAAGCGATCATTCAATGTTCTCCGGATCGCAGTATACAAATATCCAACCAATGCCTCAAAATAGCAAGGCCGGAGATAATATGGAATAGCGGGTAAAAGTCCAAAAATTTTTGAGCAGGTCTCAGCTAACTAAAAAGTTGGTTACAGAGTGCATTCATACGTCTATAAACTACCTCTTTAAATTCTCCGCTCCTCTCGCGTAGACGATTGACCATGTAGTCGGCCAACCAAGTTCCATCTCGCAAATTCTGAAAATAAAAGTTTTAGTTCTATCAAAATTCAAGTTAAACCTGACATATCGGATGGCCAAGATCATTGTTTTCCCGAATTCTTTTCAGCAGAGGTATTATTCCTAAGTTTTCATTTGTGTTAAAAAAGAGTGAGCCAAACCTTGTAGTCCACAATATACAAAAGATCCATGATTTGGAACATCATATGCCCCTTGTCCAATCAAGGTCTGATCTTCTGCAGCAGTCGAAAATAGCAAAAAGTGGAATGCCGAATAGGATAGCGTTGATAAAATTTTATCCAATTCTAAAATAAGGTTGGCACTTTTTTCATTTTCTCTTAGGTACCTTGATTTAGATCATTGTCCCGCCCTTCACTGTACTTGCGAGCTAGATCCATAGCAAGCTGCGCTTCTTTGTCAAGTTGAACGCTGAGTGAAAAGATAAAAAAACTGGGGGAAAATGCAAAACCTGTAAGCGAGAATTGTGCCGGATGAAAAATTTTTTAATTCAAGAAATTTATCGTGAAGGCAGCAAGTTGATGCCTCATCAACCAGCAAATTTTCCTTGACGTTCACGGAAAAATTTGTGATCCCGATCAAGGCGGTGTTACTTTCTAAAAAATTATTTGATAAAAAATCAATTTCTCAAAATTTAACCTGGCTCAGAATCTTCTGCAACTTTTTCAAACGTCATTTCGAATAAGACTTCTTGTAGAGAACCTAAATAAAACAAAATAAAAATCACGCCATAGAAAGGAAAGTCTGTAAAAAACCAACCACCAAGGGGAATCCATTTTAATCCAGGGCTGCCATTGGGTCCTTTGAAAGCCGTATGCGCGACAAGAACCACCTAAAACATAAAATTATTAAAGGTCTTGTAAATTAAGAGCCCAATAATGACAATATTACCGTTTGATGTGTTTCCGGGTTGTGCCTCGTAATTCCTACAACATCTGTGTTCATCTGATCAACGAAAACCTAAAGCTGGCAATAAAAACAGTGCCATTTTCAAAAACCTGAGTGTATCCCTCTAACGCCAAACGTTGGTGTAACTGATTGAGCACTCGCCGGCCACGTATCAACCCTTGTTTTTCATTCACACTGAGATCCCATTGTGCATAAAGTCGCGTCTCGGAAACCACATGGATCTAAAGTTTACTGGCTATACACGATACTTTGAGTGTCATACCGCATGCCTAACAAGTTCATCGTATCCGCGAGTTGAACCAACAGCACACGAAGCCATTGATACCATGGCAGCTGTTGGTAGTAGATCCCAAATAGATCTAGTCTAAAAAGTTTCGTTTTAAATAACCACATCAAGGGCAAACCAATATTGGGGTTGGATTGTCGTGACTTTGGTCTAAAAGCATTGCGTGTGCTACAGATCGTTCTGCCGGTCGGATTGACTAAATCCATAGTTAAACAGATAAAAAATGTATTTAACTTTTTGCCTCATCGCTCCAACACAGTCCCCACCATAACGATAGACAAGGCGGCCTTGTTCGTGGGAATCCGGAGCTGCCATGGCTTCTAAAACTGCTCTTTAAACAGATAAAACCAAACCTTTTCGTGGGCCCAATAAGAGACAAAAAAACCTCGAATTAATGAAGTAATCCCCAGTCGATTAACAAAAAGATTGTCGGCGTCTTCACTTCCAGTAAAAAGCTCAGCAAATACATACAAATCTGGTCGAACTGCACGTGCGGAATTAAGCAAATACTAAGCACAGATAACTTTAGAAATTTTAATTAAACTACCTCGGCTACATGTATCGGTGTGCTGTGAGCATTGTCGATTCGAATTCCATGAAAAATTTTAGCGACTTGTTGCCTAAAATAAGTTGTGCCTAATAAGTAAACTTCAACTCACGTATATTTTCGCATGTACTCCCATAAGTAAGGGCTGTCCCCAGGACAATTGCCGTAATTTAGTTTCACCGAATCACCCCAGCAAACCAATAATCTGCTGATATACACCTATATTTCATCAGATTATCAGTGAAAAGTTTACAAATACCTCAGAATCGGCGAGAGCAAAATTCTTCATTGGGTCAAGTCCCATCACCCAACCATTAAATGCCATCAGTTTCTCAGCAGTTCTCGGATCAAATGCAAGCGCTTCGTCGGTTTCCCATGATGATTCTTCAAATGTGTGCAGAAAATAGCTGAAATAACAAGTAGGTACTGTAGATAAATTAAATTGTTCGAAGTGGTTGATTAAGCACTTACTCGCATAGCAGGGGTTCCTCTTCACGCACCAAACCTTTTCGTGGGCCATGGCCTTCCACCTAAAAATCATTATTGCCAATCAATACTGTACTTTAAAACCTACTCTTTCATAAGATATATGCCCAAGAATGGCTTTCAGTCCAGTCATTAAAATATCCCAGGATTTTTTAGCTCCTTCATTGTTTAGATGCTCCAAATGTCCTCGAAAAGCGCCAGCGCATTTCTCGATACGGTCGTTTTCGTCAGTGGCATCATCCCTAAATAGTCTTACATAGCACGGCTTGATTTTATTTATGCCCACTTGTGTATATTGAACTCCTTTAGGGCTTGATCAAAGTCGATTTCTTGTCCAAAGCGACGCCATTCTCTGTTCAAACCAAATTGTAAATTCGATCTTTGGAAATCACTCCGAGCCTCTTCTAGAAATTTTTGATTTATCTAATTATCAATAAAATTACTTCGACAGAGCTCTTTAAAATTTTCTTCCAAATTATCGACATTGCATTGGAAAAACTCGTGAAAACGGAGCCGAGGTAAAACTTCCGTTCGCAAAATGTATTCAATGTTCTGAAATCGAGTAATTTGGTTAAATTTTCATTTAAAAATTTACATGAATATGATGAACACTGTCAATGACGGGTGGGACTCCGCGATCGGCCCATTTTCCCTCTCCAATCTATATTTCCAAAAAATAATTTTAATTTTCGTAAATAACACACCTCTTTACCAAAATAATGCAAAATCCTATCTAGAACGTAAGCCGGTCGTAAATGGGGACTATTCAAGCAGTTGTACGCACATTCTGGGTGTTCCTAAATAAAATTAAAAACATGTGAAAAAAGAGACAAAGTTTCACCTGAAGCCACGGGGCATTTTTAGCTGCGTGATTCCAAACAACATCTTGAACTGTGGCTATATTCCATTCTTTTTCCAATTTCTTGACAGTTTCGTGCAGATCATCAAATGTAAACTTTTCATTATCCTATAATCATCTCGAAATTTATTCGGAAATTAGTGTTTCAGATACCGTATGAAATGAATCATTCAAAGCATGATGATCCATGATTGAATAGGCGCTTTGACTGATCCCAAGCCTGTGTATTGGCGTTAAATGAAGCATATTGTATCCACATTCACCAACAATGCGTAATCGCGATTCCCATTCACTGAGTGGACCTAGACTGATATTTATTTTCGAAAAACATCTGGCAAACCTAGTAGCTTTGTTATGTGAGTAATGCAGGCTATTCCATCTAAAGGTAGTTCTTGATCGTTGATGACAAGTGAAGGCATAACAAGTAAACGGCCACCGCCAGAGGACGACGACCTAAGATTTCGTTATATAGTAGTAAACAAAGACAAACGCCTACTCATTTTCAATAAAGAATTCGTATTTGAAGGCGCCCGCTTTTTCACATAGCACCTGAAGTTTCTGGTAAACAAGTAAACCATTAGTTGATCATACCTCAGCAGTTGACGCTAAAGGATCCTCAGCATGCGACCATTTTACCGTTTCACTTGAGCTAACACTGCACGTTAACCGAATATCCGAGCAGCTGAGAAGGGAGGCGCCACGAACGAATCTCACTCGCCAACCTAGAAAATTTCAAAAAGTGAAAGTTTCTACATTTACTCTTGCTTTATTCTGTCAACCATTAGAAGTTTTCCTGGAAGTTAACGTAAACAAACCTTTTTGTAGACGATGAATTACGTCATCCCGATGTTGCCCTTTCTCAAGCGTAATAATTCGAATTTCTTGTTTGCAAATTTCCATTAGAATTTTCTAAATTTTAGAAATCCACAAAACCAATGTAAAATAACAAATAACAAATATTTTGTGTGATTTGGGAGATTATTTTGCGAAGTGATGTGATCATTTCTCCTGCTCCCTTTTGACGGAGACGGTGTAAATGAGAGAAAAACAACTGCCTGTTGCTTTTGCCAAGCGAGTTTCTTTTCGGATCAATTAAAGACAAACAAGTCCACAGTTGATAAGAAAGGTAAACAGCCCCCACTCACGGAAAAATACAAGAACACAGTTTCGCCACAATCTTCGCTTGTACATAGTTATTTTATTAGTGTGTACGAGTTTTCGACAGTAATTTGAGTACCTGTGCTCGCAAGAAAATACGAAAATGATGAGATTAATTTATTCACAACGAGCCAGAAAACAATAATGAGCGATACATAAAAATAAGCTAGATATTTTCAAAGTCAAAAGGCATAAATAAAGTTTGTACACTGCATTCAAAAAACTTCTCAAAAATCCACACTTCTTTCTGTTCCGCTGCCGCTGTCCATATGACGAAAACTTCCAACAGAAAATGATCCCGTTTCATCGACCTAAATTATCATCAACTAAAAGTTGAAAATTAAAAAAAACCGTATTTTGTTTGTGATTCTCTTCCAATCGAGGGCTTTCCAGTTCGTCATCAACTTTTGCGTTGGCTTTCTTTTGATTCGAGTTCTTTGTCGTATCAAGAACCTATAGAACAAAATGGAAATAATTAAAATTTTTAAAACTTACTTCTTGTTTTGCATCTTTGAGACTCTCTCCAACTAGTTTCTTTGGCCGAGTTGCAAATGATGGTGATAAGCTGATATTTGAGTCGCTCTAAAAATTCTCAACTCCACTCACTTCATCGCAGAAAAGCCTACCTGTCCTCTTTCCTCTCGAATAGTGGACATAGTGGTCAGTTCTAGTTCTTCTAGGTCCAAACCATTTCGCTTATCAAAATCGCCACGCCCTTCTTTCTTTGGAGTATGCTTTTTTCGATGGTGGTGTGACAATTGACTCACTTTTTTCTTTATATGATCAACACCTTAAATAAATAATCAAAGCTCAAATTTTTAATTAAGTACCTTCCGCTATGTCTTCAATGAAATCATCCATTATTCTTTCACCCTTGCTTTTCTTTTCATTTAGATCTTCTTGGATTGGAATGTCTTCAGGCATCTTTTTCATTCGTAGTGAAGCATTTGTCACACAATCTTTAATCTTCCGTTCCTACAATTTAAATACACACCAAATTTGCAAAGTAGCTACTTTTGCTCGATGATAACGCCACATGAGCTCCTCCCTTCTTTCTTTCGACAATGGATTTTCGAGAAGCGAGTTTCTTATTGAGTTCGTCAGCAATATGACATCTGCGAGCATTTCGTATTTTGCACGTTGATGAACCGCATCAATAGCTCTACATTAATCCATAGCATGGTTGGATACGGTATTCTGTGCTTGCATATAGCTTTTAAAATAAAATACCGCAAAGCCAAATCAGGCATCCCGTTGTAAAGAGCTAGGTAGCACCCGTTGAGAAGTTCCATTAAGAGATTAGAAGATACATGTTGACGTGACCGTCTAGATCAAGCAAAATCATAAAAATCGATTTAAGGAAATGTTACTTGCTGTAATCGTCTAGCACTTCTTGAACTGTTTCCATACCAAGCACCCTAGTTCGAAGGTTTGATTCAGCAAAAGAAAAACTGAAAAACAGGATACATTTTTCTTGAAGGTTACCTACCCGCTGTTACAAATCGCCAAAGAGGTTAAACACATGGCACGGCAAACCGGTTCACTTGTAGCACACATTGCGGAATTGACAGAACTCAAAATTCGCGATAAAATGAAAAATTTCTTCTCGGCAGTAAAATGATCGATTGCGGGAAACGGTCCAATTTGCACAACTGCCTAAAATAGATAGTGCTTGCGAATAATTTTTTTACCTAACATTCATTTTCTTCATTGGACCTTGTTTCAAAATAAGAGTAAAATGAGATAAGCGAAAAACTGACTTGAATTCCAGGGTTTCCTCCTGGTCGCATTGAGGCAATCTCTGGAAGGCTAATAATTTTGCTGGGATCATGATAAATAGAACGATATCGTACCGAAGGTATTCGAATCTAAAACAGAAAATGTAATGCAAAAAGCAAGACAAACCTCTTCCACTTTCTTTTGAGAATTCTCTACTTTTGGGTTTACAACAATATCCTCATTGTAAACAGAAAGGAAAAAGGCTTCGAATAAACTGGCACTCCGATGTTGTTTTTTTGAAAGGGCTAGCAAGTACGTGCCAATGAAATCCGGAATGAATTGCAAAGCAAACTGTTTGAGAGTTCCTAAAACATCTTTAAGTCGCATCAAGGTTTTAAAGCAAACCTCCTTTCATATAAAGGTCAAGAATTTGCGAAATCAACGGCTGCACCAATCCCACGTCCGTATAATTTAGGCCGATGTACTGCATACAAAGAAGAGTGTTCGGAGATAGTTTTGCCAGATAACGTCTAATCTAAAAAGTTTGCTTATTCGATTGAATTACACAGGAAATATTTACCGCCACTCCTTCATCGCCTTTTTGTGCTTGATCCACCTTTGAATTCACCTCACTAAGGTTAACAAGAAAATCCTATAACCCAAACATTACTTTAACAATAACAAAAGTTCACCTGAAATTGCTTCGAATCCATTTGTACTCGATTAATCGGCTTATCGTCAATTGTGTGTGATCAAACGCTTATCCGCATCTAAAGAGTTGAAATAAAGGTTTAGTTTGCTAATTGTAAAAAGACCAAAACTGGCAATTTTATCGGAAACGCTTAGAGGGCAGGAGGTTGAGGAAAACGAAAAAGGGAACACAACATCAAATGTGGCCTTAGTAGTGTTGGGTAGGGTGAGAAAATTGAGTTCGAAATTAGAGAAACGTTGGGGAAACGGGTAAATTTTGGCGCTATCTTGGACCCGTAAAGCAGAAGCTTTGAATTATTCAGCTTGTCCGTTTGAATACTTTTTGGATTATAATGATTGAGTAGAACCATGCTAACATATAAATCGCTTTGTAAGTCTTTGTCCATTTTTGGCTTCGCATTTCATATTTTTGTTCGGAGTTTACATACTACCCGAGAATTTATATTCCTTAAACTTTTTGTGTGGCTCTATTGTTCTGAATGTAATTTTATTTGTTTAGTGTAATGGTACGTGGCGAAAATAGCCGCTTTCTACACGATCGTGGACGTGGACGAGGATTTCATCAACGAGGACGCCCACGCCGACATACATTTAGTGAGTTTAAACGTTTTCTGTTCTGTTTTAGAAGGCATCTTCGAAGCAAAGTAAGGAAAGTTTAAAATATTCGATCAGGTGTTAAAAACATAAGAAGGTCACAAGTTTTAAAAACTGTTTATAATTTCACATTTTAGCTGCGGAAACGTTTCGCAAGAAGTTTGAAGAAAGTCACTATGCGCGAGGTGGATCAAAACAGGATCCGCTTAACTTGAATGGGCTCGAAGCTGATCCCCAAGAAGCATGCTCGGCACCTCAGCAACTCGATGTTTCGCACTCGGACACAGAAGAAAATTCCTCATTTCTTCCCAAGAACAAGCGCGATCCGCTTAATTTGAAAAGCATCGGGAAAGAGAAAAAGTAGTTTAAAATTTAATCGAGTAATTTTTTCTGTTTAGGAAGCGCCAAAGAGATCGGGACCGTTCACGTTCACAATCGCCAATTCCCGCAAAACTGGTTTGTTTTGATTTTCCTTCATGGAATTCAAAAAATTTTTAGGCGAAAGCTGATTCGAGCCAAGAAGTTCCAAGTGGTAAAAGTGAGGAGCAAAAAGAGGCTGGGGATAACGCGGTTGATCAGATTGAAAAAGAGAAGACAGCAAAAGACAAAAAGGAGTTTTTCAATAAGAAGTGACTTTAATGTACTAATTGCTTTTATACAAGTTTTAAGGTATTGTTATGGAAACTTTGATCGATATTATGGTATTCGTTTGGATGCTGGGCAACGAGACAGTCGCTTGGAAGTATTACGCAAAGAGTGGTTCGAAAAGAAGACTATTTTGGACATTGGTAAATTTATTATCTTTTTTAAAAATGATGAACTCAGGTTGCAACGTTGGATTAATTACCATAGCCATCGCCAAAGATTATGCGCCTCGCCGAATTCTTGGAATTGATATTGATGATCACCTAATTGGTGTTGCTCGAAAAAATATTCGTCATTATTGCGACGAATCGATTGAGGTTTGAATATATACCTAAACAAGATAATTCTTTTGTTTTTAGATTAAAGGCAAATATCCCGCTTCATTTTCGCAGCAGTTTGGCCCAGTTGCTCACTTGCCAACCACTTTCAAGACAAAGTTCCCTGATAATGTATGGTTTCGTCGGGAGAATTATGTGCTCCAAAGTGATGAGCTACTTGAAACGGTTTGTGAAAAATGTTAAACATTTTAATGAGTGTATGAAATAGTTTTGAATTTGGAAATTTTAGATTCAAGAAGAATTCGATGTCATCATGGCATTGTCAATTACTAAATGGATTCATTTAAATTGGGGTGATGATGGAATTAGGTTAGTCGTTTTGAGTATAAGCAAGTTAATGTATTTTACCTAGACGCTTCTTCCTCCGCGCTTTTCGCCAATTGAGGCCCGGCGGTCGTTTGATTTTGGAAGTTCAACCGTACACCAGTTATCGCAAACGTTCGGTTATGACTGTAAGTTGGGTTTTCAGTTCTCAATTTTTTTTTTTCAGGAAGCCCATCGCGAGAACTACCGTCGAATTGAATTTCGTCCATCCGATTTTGAGATGTATTTGCTGGAAACTGTTGGCTTTGAATCTGTTGAACACGTAGAACCTCCCTCTGCGAAAACTAAAGGTAGTCTTCGGAGTGGTATAACCGTACAATCTAAAAGCAAACTGTTTTTGTATCAGAAGCTTTATATTTTTAATGATTTTAGTATTCAGGTTTCCAACGCCCAATAAATGTTTACATAAAGAAAGGACCTAATTCGATCTCCAGTGAGAAAGCTTCGGTTAGTTTTAACTTTGATGACTTTTCTTCTAGATCATTGCTAAACGTCGTGATTTAGGAAAGCACTCCGACTTGGACAACCCCCATTGCAACGCCAACTCTTGGTGCAACTCAAACCCCATCAACCGGCGCCGAATTGACGGATATTTCGCCTGCTTATAAAAGTTCTGATGTTGCTTCTGCGTGAGCTAGATTTGTTTTCGCTTGTTGAGTTCTTTGTTTTTGTTAAGATCTCATGTTATCCTTTCCGGTATCCTTTTTTTCAAATTTTCTACGTTTAATAAATTTTTTTTCTTAAGCAAAAGACGTGAAGTGGCAAAAGTTGCCAAAAATGTTTTTGAAGAGTTGTTTGTTTGAGCATCGTTGCTCGGTTTTTCTCGCCTAATGCTCTCTCTCTTCTCTCCTTTTCTCAGACAAACGGACGATCGATAAGTCGCGTAGTCGAAAAAGTCTCTTCGACCTCCTTGCAAAAACAATACTTGCTTTACAATCAACGAAAAACTTAGATTTTTTTAGTTTCTCGTGAAGAATGCATCCACAAGCTAAGAAACCTCGAATTATTCGCCAAAAGAAACAAATATTTTTCAACGAAGATGAAGAAGTCAAAAAAGGTACATTTTTCACCATTTAACCAAGAGTGTATCTAAATTTTTCTTGCCATTTCTCATTTTTACTTTTAGCATCTAAAGAAAGAAGGGAGATGGATGAAGATATCACGAACGTTGTTGTTGTTAATGGGGTCATGCTACCAATCAAGCGGATCGAAATGGTCTGAATAATTTTCTGGAATTTATTTCTGGGTTTTAGCAAGGAATAGGAAAAGCGCAAGAAAACCTGGAGATGATAGGATCTGTGATCGAAACGCCATATGATGACCTGATTCAACCGTCAACAAGTGCAAGAAAAGGCAGGGTTACTCATCTTCCAGGTAAGCCGACTCCAAACTAACTTAATATGACTTTATATGCTAAATTGGAATATGAGATCATCTGTAAGAACAAAAGTGGTTCGAATTAGGAATTGCTGACGAAGTTGAGGCATATCCATGTCGATTTTGCGAGAATGGCATCTTTTTGACCGGTGAAGGATTAATGCGGCATACCAAGGAGATTCATGGGCAGGATCACATTGTTGAGGTCAACAATTTGCTTAAACGAAATAGACTTCAAATAGCGCTACTTAACTTATTTTTAACTTTAGACAATAGTGCACATCCAGACAATATCCAGCGAATGGCGACGTAGGGAGAAGGAACATGACAAGTTGGAACATTTAATAATAGATTCTCTAATGTCAATGTTACAGGGGACGTGAAAGAGTACTAATGCAACGTCTTCGCCAAGAAGCCGTAACTCAAGCAGCCATCCGACAAGTATTATTTAAAAATTTTTCCTTAGCAAATATATGTTTAGGTGAAGATCAATAACATGCTCGGAGGCGAATATCAACCAATGCCGATAACTTCTGCGGTGTGTTATTTATTTGTTATTGTTATAAGTAGGTTTTAGGATAAATTTGAAAGTTGTCAAACATGCGGTCTTCTCATAAATCAGAGGCATCCAACAGCCATAGAAAACCATTTACGGGCGCACAAGAAAAATGATGAACTGCGAGAACAAATGCTACGAGATTATGGAGCCGAGGCAAGTTATTCTCGTAGATTCTTTAATTCCTTGAAGTTTAGCTGGTTCGTCGTCTATCTTGCAAGGAATGTCATTTAGTCTTCACAGATGAATTCAAATTACTTAATCATAACGAGACTATGCACGTAAGAAAAAGAAAGTAAGTCCAAAATTGTTAATTTATTAATTTTCTTTAATTTAGGTATACTTGCAAATGGTGTGGCCATGTGTGCCTTTCAGTATCCGAACTTAATGCACATAAAACAGATGTGCATGGAGTTAACTTGTTGCGTAATAGCAGCTCATTAAATGTTTGTTTTTATCTATAATAAAAAATAAGCGTTTTTTAGACGAATAGAAATTTATTTTATGAATCAGTCCCGTTGGGAATACAAAATCCGACTATGCATCAATTTTTTGGGTCTTATGGGTCACGATCATCGGCTCCTATTTGTCGGTTAGTCCCGTATTTGTTTATAAATCACCAAGTTCTAGTACTGTCTGTGATGTGTGTGGTCTTTTGATGGTCCGACCCTCGTTATTGATAAGGCACATGCTTCGTGTCCACAATAAATCTCAATTTGAGGTTCGTGATTAATTTTCAATATTCAATATTTTTTTGCCAAATTCTTTAATATTGATGCCCTTTAAGGCTACAATTCAATTTCGCGATTCGCTTTCCTACAACGTTAAAGTGGATTCCGGGCATGTGACATGGATCTGTTGTCAACAAGAGTTCGCTGACAGGTTTTGTTTATTTGTCCTAAAAGTTAAAGACATAAATTTAGGGACGCTTTTTCGGAGCACAGACGCTCCCATATCCCATCCACCTCGGAAACACAAAATCACAATCAGCCTATGTCAGAAGACCAACAACTGGAAAATCCGCCTACAGAATCTCAACTCATTGGTAACGCTGTACTATTTTCTTCATTAAACATATTTTGCAGATTTCAATTCAATAAATAATGCAGAAACGATTCATGGCGAACTAGTGGCTGGGCCGGATGGGTCAATGCAGGTTTTATATTGAATTTTCACAGCAATTCTATAGATTATATAGGTCATCGTTTCTGAACCAATGGATAGTAGCCAAGTTTATACTCTTGTCATGTTAAGCGATGAGGCTGACGAGGCCGAATCAAAGGGTGTAATGTTACAGGTGTGATTTTTGATGGTAAACTATTTTTATTTGGTTGGTTTAGGATGCATCGCTGTACGACGAAACTCTCTCAACTCTTGACCAACAAAACTATTTCATCGAAGCGCATGATTCGATAGCGATACAGCATGAAGATAATACTTTCATTAATAAAGAAGATCAAGAGGTAATTCAATGTGTTTTCGAAATAGAGGTACTTGGTTTTTTTCTCTAGATTGAATCCAACGATGTTGTCACATTTACGGAAGAAGAGTGGAACGACCTTCAAATGCAATACCAAGGAAATATCCCGGTAGGCAGGAATTTGGCTGTGAAATTATTTCTCTCTTTTAGCCTTTACTGGTCAAGAGAGATGATGGTGAAATGGTCCCAGCTCGAATCGTTGTTGTGCGTGATGAAAATGCAATAAATTAAGAACTTACAGGTGTTTTAAATTGTATTTTGATCTCTTCTAGTTTAGCTTCGGGTATTTTTTACTTAATAGCACTAATTAATAAATAATTTATTTGGATATAATTTACACACCAGTATTATAAGCGAAACAATTTCCTTGCATTAGCGCTCGTCGCCTCGATGACATTGATCTCGGAAAGGTTTTTGACCTAAAGATTTTAAATTAACAAAACTTGCCAACACGATTACCTTTGCTATGAATTTAGCTGATGCTATTAGATTTGCTGGCACATTTCGCTCACCTATAAACTTGAATACAAATTACACTCAAAAACAAGCACCTTTCACCGGGCCAAGTACCGGTGAATCGGTCTCTAACAGGAGATTCTCGAGTGGAATGGAGGCAACCAAAGCGGCGCCCTAATACAAATCTCTTGAATTTACATATCAAACAAAACTACCTGGTCATTGATTGAAAATGATGGAGGGATGCTAAAGTAAAAGCCATGCTCAACACCGTGTTTAGCCTCTTCTGGTGTCCCTAGAATAGATTTTCAGTAGTTTTCCTTTCTTGAAATCACCTCCAAATGCATGCATAGCCACTCGTTTCGCGCCGTTTTCGATAAGAAGCGCGATCGTCTCTTTGTGAGCGGTTCTCGAGTGAACTGTCCTAAAGTTTAAAATTAACCTACCAAAAGGAAATTCATTTACATGGGTAAGTCATACAGTAGAGCGAGTCGAGTTTCTTCTTTTAAAACATCTCTCATCGCTTGCATGCTATCCTCGTCGATTTTCCAAAGAGTCACTGTGTAGTCGAGTCCAACCTAAATTTCAATAAGCAGTTAGCCATTAAAAATTTCAATTCACTCACCTCACCGATACATTTCACCAGCCCTTTATACTTTTCCAAAGCCGCCTCGAGTTCTTTCAGCTCCTCTCGATTGACACCTTTGTGATTTTTCTGTGAGTGGTGAATTTAAGTAGATAAGTTTTTTTACCCGAATCGGATGGAGACCCAAGGATGGGACGATAAAATCGGGATGTCTCGCGAAGAGCTCAAAGACTGCGTCGAATTGTGACGGCCACTCGGGGACCACCACCACTTTTGATACTCTAGCCTAGAAGTTGAACAAGTTATTCGCTCCATCTTACAGGTTTATTAAAAAAAATTAAATAAAAAAATCCCCAATCCAGTTACCTCTTTCGCTTTCTCGATCACCTCGTCGATATCATTCTTGAATTTTTTGTCGACGAGATGCGCGTGACAGTCGATCATCACTAAAAAGAAACCTTTAGAAGTGAAAAATGAGAACATTTGTTTAGAAAGAGTTCAAACAAAGAAATTTCGTGCTTTACTAAAACTTTGAGGTGCTAGCAAAAGAGCCAAATTATTTGCGCCGCGTATCATTTGCGCCAAATTTATGCTTTTCAACACACTTTCCTACCAACTTTGATTGTTTATTTTTATTTTGTTTTCTACTTTTTTCCCATTCACTGCTTGCTGCTTTGACGCCTTCGCCGGATTTGAAAATGGCATAAAATCGCTATAAAGAGCAAAAAGCCCAATCGGTGACACAAAAATTTACTGTTTTTGGGACTGTATATGTGTTTAAACGTGTTTTTTTAATTGAAAACAATGTGAATTAAAATTATGAAGCAGAAAGCTGAAAAAAGTTGGTTAGAAGTTGGGAAAAAGGGGGTGGGACTTCCCCCCTTTTTTGGCAAAGCTTGGCAAGCCGTCGAGATCTTCTCCAATAGGGAATCGTATGCGGATTCCGAATTTCGACAAATCCCCCGCTGACCCGTTTTGGGCTAAAAGGAAAAACTGCGGAAAAGCGTTAAGTTGCGTAGTTTTTGCCTTTAGCCCAAATTTGACGGGCCCCCCCTTTTCTTTTTGAAGCTCTACCCAAGGCCGCAAGGCGCCAGGTGCCAAAAAAAAGGCCGCATTTGCCCCAATCCCGGAAAAAGTGATTTGTTACAATGATTTTCATAAGCGTAAATGATTGGCGCAAATGATACGCAGCGCAAAAAACGTTTTGACAAAAAACGCAAAAAGTTTCAAAACGTTTTGAAACACAAAACTTTTATTCTCTAGTTGTCTCTAGTTTGGTGTCTGTTCTAGTCTCTCTAGCCTCTAAATTCTCTAGTTTGTTGTCTGTTCAAGGATTTCTAAGTAGCGCTCAGATACCGTACACATTTTATTATATGTAAATTACTTGTAATTAAATGATTTTTTTTTTTTGAAAATCTTTATTTCTGAAAAAAGCAGCACAACACAGTGTTTGAGAGTGAATGTTGAGGATGAGAAATCAGAAAAAAAAGGCACAAAAAAGAAAACACGGGGAATTCAGTGATGATCACAGTGAAATTATCTGAAAGTCTCGATCAAAACACTTTTGAGCGAAAGAGAGGAATTTCCATAAGAAAAAAAATGGGGAAAATTCGATAGAGGCAAGACGAGAAACCCAGTAAACGAGAAATTGATCAAAAAAAAACACAGTTGGCATGCTAGTTTGAAAATATAATTGAGTAAGTACAGTTATTCACAGATTTTTCTGAGCTTTAAAGAAGCTGGATTCCTCTTGATCGAAGAGTTTCGTTAAAAAGCTTAAAAGCTAGCTTAAAAAGTGCTCAGAAAAGCTACCGTAACCCTGTTTCTTTTCTGCATATCGTAGCTCTGATATTGTTTTCAACAACAAGACTATCTGATACAAGAAAGTCTTAATCAAAACACTTTTGAGCGAAGCCCTGTTAGCTTTTCTAAAGCTACCGTAACCCGGTAAACCTTTTAAAAGTAACTAAAGCTTTATTAAACACCAGTCACTACCAAGTAAAATCAGGCAGGTACAGTAGTTTTTCATTGCTGGATATGGTAGGAATACGGTAGTCAAAAGGAACACAGCGTAGTCTAATCGACTCAACTCAAAGAATAAGGCCACCAGGGACTATACTTTTGGAATGATATCTGATAGGATCAAACATAAAAATTTGGCAATACAATAGAATACCATAGAAATGGCTCTTGTTCTTCAATGACTTCACGAAGTCGATGCGGCTAGTCAGGGACTGCATGACCCTTCAGAATCGATGTCACTGTCGCCGGAATGGAGAAGAGCTGCAACGAAGCGATTGAGTGAGTGAACACCGAGAAGAAAGCCTTGATCAGCGCCCACATGACTCCCACCGGCTAGTGTTGCGTTTGCGAAATCGACCACGCGAACGCTCACTAACTAAATGAGGATTTGATTTTAAACGAAATATTTGTTTTGTAGATCTAATCTTTCTTCGCTAATATCCTGCTTTTGTTTACTTTTTTTTAAAAAGCCACAATCCATTTCCTTCTACACAATATTTCCTTTTAGTTTCTTTTAGAGCGAATGTTTTAATTCAATTTTAATGCAAATTGAGTGATTGTTTAATTTTTAGATGTTTAGATGAATTTTTAGCTTATCTTTTGTTTACCTGTTCAGCCTCAGCCTCACTCTGTGGCTCCTCCAAAGCGTCTCCTTCATAAACAATGAGCAACGAGGAGCCGAATAAACGAACCCCGTCCATTAATGTTATCGCCTAAAAAGTTTTTGATTTTAGAGTTTAAAGTTTAGAATTCAAATATTGGGTTGTCCAGTTATGAATGCGCGTTTTTTACTATTTTCTAAATTTCTCAAGATATCGAACAGATGTATATGAGTGTTATATATCATTCGAAAGCTGAAGATCTCCTCTACATTTTGGAATAAAAAAGTTTTTGAATTCATTCAACTTTTTGGGAAATTGACCGCACAAAGGGAGAGGTCGTTTTCAAAAAAAAAACCCCATTTCAGCTTAGCTATTCCTCAAGTTTTGATGGTTTAAAATAACCGCCCAGAAAAGAAAAGAAAAGTAAAGATGCTCTGAAATTGTTATATTTAAAAAAAAGTTGTATTGATATATCTATTGGCCAAACATCAAACGGTTAACTCAATTTGAGCGGAGCCAAAACTTGATCCAAAGGCACCCTTCCATTTTTTGGCCACCTCTTCTTCTGTGCAGTCAATTTGCCCAAAAGCTGGACAAATTCAAAAGCTTTTTATATCAAAATGTAGAGGAGATCTTCAGCTTTCGAATAATACTCATATATAACTTTTTCTTGATTTCGGTATCTTGAGAAATTTACAAAATAGTAAAAAACGCGCATTCATAACTGGACAACCCAATAGAATCAACTTTTTTAGATTCTCACCTCTTCAATTTGTTCGATTTGTCGAATAACCCCTCGAATAACGGCTTCTCTCGGGCGACCATCGGGATACGAGAGGAAACCACGAACGGCTCTCCACAGCTCTTCGATCTCAAATTGAGTGATTATATGCTGACAAGATACGGACTTGAGATACTATTTGGCTAATTTCTTTACGTGAATGCTTAGAGAGTACTGTATATGGATTAGAATCCAGGAAGATGAAAGATAGCTCAATTTCTGTCTACTGGCAAGCATTAGACATGGGAAAATTCCACGCCGAACCTAATTTCACCTTCGTTTTCTCAACCGTCTCTCAGCCGATTGCTCTGAAATTTTGTCTACAAGCAGAGAATACCAATTTCTATTTGTGGACAAAATTTTAGAGCAATTGGCCAAGAGACGGCTGAGAAAACGAAGGTGGAATTTTCCCAAACACTAGCTCCTCCATTTCCCTCACCTCAATCGTTCTCCCCTCGTACTTGTCAATGTGCGTAGTTCTTCCCGTGGTAGCATCATAGTATTGGAGTCCTTAAACGATTTTGATTACAAATTTCCAAATCTTTTCCCAACCACATAATCGAATTCCCCACATCAGCGATGTGCTTCTCGCGCATTTGTCTGTTTGTCGTCGAATTTTCTCAGGCGCTGCGGCATCGCCGTGTTGTCGAGTGCCCATTTTTAAATCAACAATTGATGGGCGACGAAATGTTGATGTCAAATCGGATAGGACAACACATGCACCGCTAAAGTTAGAATTACATTTATGCAATGGAATCTATTGTACTTGCTTACATACCGTAAATACTGTAATAGAAGCCCACCCCCATAATGACGATGCGGAGTGTTGCGTAGTCTAGCTTTGAACGAGTTTTTCTCGACACTGGTTTATGCTACAGTGCGCGCTTAGGTATCAAAAAATAGCTGAAATTCAGGGCTATTTTTTTGATACTAAAGACGCATTTTTTGAAAGTACGGGTGCTTTGTAAAAAATGAAATACGAAAAAACTTACGACTACGACTACGCGACTGTACGCGGTGGGGGGTGGGGTATTATTACAGTATTTACGGTAACTAATCATAATAAATTAAAGAAATAAATGGCAAAAATAAGCTATCATTTAGTACCTGGATTTTGTCGACTTTCTTTTCGGAGTTGAGGGATCTTCAAGGAAACCGGGAAGTGTCGGAGCTCCATTTACAAGGCAATTCTCGCACATGGTACTCGTCGTAGCTTGCAACGGATCGGAATCGCTCTAGAATTCATTGTGATTGATTCATGAATATTATTAGCTATTAAGGCTTTGCACTTAGTTAAACACTAGAATTTTTTTCAAAACCCTACCTCAGCATAGGCGCAAAAGTGCGGCACGTGTGCCCGAAGGGGTGCCGGGGTGTTCAGATAGAAATCGGTCTCATTCGTGCACGAGGGTTTCGCCACGTGAAAGCGATCCAAGCGCACTAACTCGTGATGTCCGCCAACCTGGAACATTTTGCTTGGATTATATTGAACTCTATAAAGTACTCGGTTTTGGTTTTAAAACTTTTGAACAGACATAAGATCAGATTTGTTGTCTCATTTTCAGTACAGTATCCAAGGATGTCTGATTTGTTGTTTCATTTTCAGTACAGTATCCAGGAATGTCTCATTTTTCGTCTTATTTTCAGTACAGTACCCAGGAATTTCTGATTTGTTGTCTTATTTTCAGTATAGTACCCAGGAATGTCTCATTTTTTGTCTTATTTTCGGTACAGTCACCTAGAATTACGGCTATCTTTAAGAGTGATCTTTTTCTGAATAATAGGCTGATCTCTGTGTTAATTCCAATCAAATGCCATTTGCAGTGTTGTTTGCATGAAACTGAAAACAAAACTGCAGCAACTGATCGTTTCGAGAGAAAGGCCGATTTTGATAGCGAAAGGACCGGAAGTATTGAGATGAACACCCGAAGAAAATGAAAAAAGAAAGATCAAAACAGGAATCCATTTGGGTGTGGTCATCAATCAAACACAAAAGGGAATCATTTTTTGAGAAAAGGAAACGGTGATGTGATTTGGATAGAGAAAAGCACGTGAGCCATGAGCTGCGCAACTTTTTTTTCTCGTGATAAAGATTTCATTTTAGAAAATACGTATTATATGTATTATATTATGATTTGATTTGGAGAAGAGGATAAAATTTCAAGAATTTGAATCTAAATCAAAGTTGGATGAGAGATTGCTCGGTCAGTCCTAGGTCAGTGCTAGGTCAGTGCTAGGTCAGAGAGATCACTCTTTTGAACTTTAATCCGCTCTCAACCTTGTTCAGTTTTTTTCAAATTCAAATATCCAATTACAAATCAATTTGCATATTATAATATTATATTATAAATATGTGAATATTTGAACTTTCAATAGATATAGATATTTCCTTGACCAACAATTTACAATAGAATATTTCCTTGACCAACCTGATGTCTGAATTCTCCATCAGCCTCTTTTTTGAATGATGTCGATCGCTTTCGACTGCTCACCAATAAAACCATTCACGTTTCTGAAAAAAAAAGGATTGAAAAGATCAAAGCAAACATTAAAATGAGAAAATTGTTGAAAAACGAGTTTTCAAATGAACTTAGGAACTCGGGGAGAGAATGTATAAGTGGATTGGAGAGATGGCTTCTTTTAACAAAGTTGATGACGTCGAAGAAAAAGGGAAAAAAGGACACCCAAAACAAGAAAATAACCAATTTAAGGTGTTTTTCTAGTCGAAAAGTTGAAAAGATTACTTGAAAAATTTGAGGAAATTTAGGCAAACTGGAGTTAAAAAGTTGCGTGATCGGTGGAAAGATTCAAAGCTTATAGCATTCAAATTCAAAGCATTTGAAATTTGAAAGACTCAGTAGGTAACAAAGTTTAGACATTGTTAAACTTGTTTAGAAGTTTGATATTATTTATTTATTTAGACGTAAACGGATATTGAGTTGTCTGGGGTAAAAGTCTTACTGATAAACACGGGAAAATCATGCCTTGGCACCATAAAACCTATCAAATCGCTTTATCAGATATTCAGCAGAAGAAGAAAAAGAAAAAAGGAAAACGAAAAGAAAAAGGAAAGAATTGAGAGAAATGTGATTGAGAACAGAGTTCAAAGTGACGAAAAAGAATCAAAACTGGGAAGGGAAGGGACAGGGGAATCATTCAGATGACAGGGATCATTAGTTTAAGCAGGAATTTCCCGGACAAGAAGAAGAAAAAGGATAAGAACAAGAAGAAAAGACAAGAAGGGAGGCAAGAAGAAGAACAAGAAGAAGAACAAGAAGAAGGGCAAGAAGAAGAACAAGAAGAAGGACAAGAAGAAGGACAAGAAAAAAAACGATCTATGATACAATGGGAAGACTTGTTTTCCTCTTGATTGCCTAAAAATAGATAAGTCGGTGATAACTGTACATGGCTACTTAGAAGACTCAGTGATTCTTTTAGTGCAAAATAGAAAACAAAAGTTTACAATTAACACAGGATACGTGTCGGTGAAGCTCATTGGTAGAAACATTCATATAGTAAATAAGTGGTCTGTTGCCTAAGCCTCATCGTTTGATGAGGCCGGTACTCATCGTTTAATGTGACAAACTAATTAAAAGAATCAAATTGAAATTTTAGTTATTCATTGTTAGAAAGTTTATAACGCTTTTGTGGTTCTTAGGTAAAACTGCTGGTTGACTATCAGACCAGAATACTTATGCTTTATTTCTTGCAAAAGAGAAATTCCCGTTTGGATTCGTGTAAAGGTGAATGGATTGAAAGGCTCAAAAACATTAAAAAAAATTTTAGAAAACAAAGTGAAAACAAAAACAAAACCTCAAATCTCTAAAGGTGGATTTGCTGATTGAAAATTTTCACATTCCATTGGGCGGGGGTAAAAAAGGTCGTCGATTTTAATGGGCGCTGTTTTTTTCTGCGCCAAAAATCGACAAGAGAATCGTTGATATTGGAATGAGAAAAGAAAATATATTGAAAAGAAAATATCAAGAAAACGATCAAGACAAGAAAAAAGGGACAATTTCTCATGTGTGTGCGGGGCGGGGGGGGACGATAAAAATCGACGATTCATTTTAAAGATCAGCTTCGCGTTCGTTGAATCCAACATGAATTACTTCCAAAAATCTTTCACAGATAATAATTCAATAGATTGGTTACATTAGATTATGTATAATTTTGCAAAACAAATCCTAGAATGGTTCTAAAAACTTTGTTAGACTCAAAACTTGTTAATTAATTTTCATTGGGATTGCAATGGATTGCAAAGCCCTTTGCCTGACCCGGTTAGGCAAAGCTAGGCAAAGATCTAGCCTTGCAACAATGGATTGCAAAGATCTAGTCTTACAACAATGGATTACCAAGATTGCTTGCACCCCCAATCCATTGTTGCAAGTGAAAAATTGAAAAAAGGGGTAACAACATGCTTAACTAGAAAAAAAATAGAAAATAGTCAGTGCACCCTAAGCATTCAAAAACTTGTTAGAAACTTTCTTTGCCTGACCCAGAGTTAGGCAAATTTAGGCAAAAAGATCCTAAATTCCTCAGAAAATCTCGAGAACCACTTATCCAGAACCCTATCGATTTGAGGTCGAAAAATGTAGCTGACAATGAGATCTTGTGGGGGATTAGAGTGTTGAGCTTCTGGAAAAACTTTAGAAGCGTAAAATAGTCATCAGCTCGGCTCACATCTCCTAATTTTTGAATCATCTTTTGAAAAAGCATTCTCAGTTCTTTAATGACACATCGGAATCTGGTGACAAAATGAGTCATAACTTGAAGAAAACAGAAAGCAATTAGATAAAAGCAAAGCACAAATAAACAACATAAAAATAGAAACATGAAGCTTTCACATTGTATTATTTTTTTGTTCAAGAATATGGTGTTATTTCTAAACATTTTATTTCAGCTAATAGAAGTTATAATTAAATTTTTGATGAAAAATAGTACAAATCAAGTACCAGAGTTTTGCTAAGAGCCAGACCCATCACATCTGTCCCCGCCCAGGTCTAATACTAACAACCGTTCTAGTGCTTGATTCTTCATTCAAAAGCCTGCCCCACAATGTAGTAATACCAGAAAGTCTTTTCTTCTATAAAGAGCTAAGCATTAGAAATCGTCAGTTCGTGCGACATCCCGCCGGATCTCGATCGGTCAGATCTGGCGCGGGGCACGCGCGGGGAGAATCGGCAGAACGAATCGGGGGCGGGGCGGGGAAAGGAAATCGGCCCCCCCCCCCCCCCCCCCCCCCCCCCCCCCCCCCCCCCCCCCCCCCCCCCCCCCCCCCCCCCCCCCCCCCCCCCCCCCCCCCCCCCCCCCCCCCCCCCCCCCCCCCCCCCCCCCCCCCCCCCCCCCCCCCCCCCCCCCCCCCCCCCCCCCCCCCCCCCCCCCCCCCCCCCCCCCCCCCCCCCCCCCCCCCCCCCCCCCCCCCCCCCCCCCCCCCCCCCCCCCCCCCCCCCCCCCCGGGGGGGGGGGGGGGGGGGGGGGGGGGGGGGGGGGGGGGGGGGGGGGGGGGGGGGGGGGGGGGGGGGGGGGGGGGGGGGGGGGGGGGGGGGGGGGGGGGGGGGGGGGGGGGGGGGGGGGGGGGGGGGGGGGGGGGGGGGGGGGGGGGGGGGGGGGGGGGGGGGGGGGGGGGGGGGGGGGGGGGGGGGGGGGGGGGGGGGGGGGGGGGGGGGGGGGGGGGGGGGGGGGGGGGGGGGGGGGGGGGGGGGGGGGGGGGGGGGGGGGGGGGGGGGGGGGGGGGGGGGGGGGGGGGGGGGGGGGGGGGGGGGGGGGGGGGGGGGGGGGGGGGGGGGGGGGGGGGGGGGGGACGATCCCGGGGCAGGTCGGCGCGGCGATCCCGAGGCTCGAGAATCAATCAAAGCAATCTGTCTTTCTCAATATGATTTTAGAGCTTCAAGAAAAAGGTTATAAAAAAAAAAAAAAAAAAAAAAAAAAAAAAAAAAAAAAAAAAAAAAAAAAAAAAAAAAAAAAAAAAAGGGGGGGGGGGGGGGGGGGGGGGGGGGGGGGGGGGGGGGGGGGGGGGGGGGGGGGGGGGGGGGGGGGGGGGGGGGGGGGGGGGGGGGGGGGGGGGGGGGGGGGGGGGGGGGGGGGGGGGGGGGGGGGGGGGGGGGGGGGGGGGGGGAAAATAGAGCTGATCGAATGAAAACTGAAGTGTACAATAGTCTAGAAAACTATTGTACACTAATAGTACAATAATAGTACACTAATAGTACACTAATTGTACACTAATTGTACAATAGTGTACAATACTTTTCTAGTTCTAGAATAGATGCTTTTTAGAAAAAGCATTACTTGAGAATGCAAAAAAAAAACTGAAAATCAAAAAGTGAAAGTATTTTTCTAACTGTAAAAATCCCCACTTTTCTGAGCTATTTCCGGTGAAATGACATCAAACCCAATCAAACCCAATCAAACCCAATCAAACCGAATGAGGCGCAATCAAACAGATAAAGCCCAATGAAACCCAATGAAACCCAATCAAACCCAATCAAACCCAATCAAACCGAATGAAACCCAATCAAACCGAATCAAACCCAATCAAACCCAATCAAACCCAATCAAACCGAATGAAACCGAATGAAACCGAATGAAACCGAATGAAACCCAATCAAAACCCAATCAAACCCAATCAAAACCCAATCGGCTTTTCGTGAAATGTGCAAATTTTCCCATGACACTTCAAGAAGAAATGGGGAATTAAACGAAACGATTTAGACGTAAACAAGTTTCACTTTAAAACGAGCATTTTCTCACCGCAAATCCTTCCATGAATTCTTTCAGTAAACAGAAGAAATCAGAGAAGAATTTGAAAGAAAGAGAAAAAATTTTGAAGGCATCAAATTCTTTTGAAGACATTCTGATTAAAAATGTGAAATGTTGAAATGTTTTTTTGGGAGTGTAACTTATAATGGCTTGTTTTTGCCTTACAATTATTGATTTGGAAAAAGATTCAAAGAAAATCTCTGACTTTTGAAAACCTACTATTAGCCTGGCTAGTTTAACTAGTAAAAAGTTTAACTAGTGACTAGTAAAAAGGCTTTTGACAATAAGAACACCAATGACAATAAGAACACCAATGAAAGTAAGACCATATTAAAAACCATATCAAAAAGAAGGCCATATTATCAAAAGCTAGTCTTATTTACCTCTTACCTAGTTTATAAATCAGTCTTTTATATCTAAAAGAAAAAGTTAGCCATGTAAAAGTTTATAGTCAAAGAGCAGAATGACATTCTAAAGTTACCGAAGAAAAGAGAGGGGATTCTCGGAAAAGCACGTGTTGTGGGAAAAGAGATGTGGGGGTGGAGTGGATCAGGGACACTCGAGATCAGCTTCAGTCATTTTCTTTTCTTCTTTTTCTTCACACATGTTCTCCACATTTATGAGGATTGAAGAAAATCGAATGGCAAAAGCTGGATCAGTCGATAGATTACCGATCGATAGATTCTCGTCGATAGATTCTCAAATCGATGAATTCGTCGATAATTCTCGTCGATAGATTCTCGTCGAT